ATTTTTGATAAGGTTAGTGGTGACGAATTGCAATGTTCTCCATACATTAGCACGACAAAGGATAGAAAAATTCTCTTAACAATGAAAACTATGTCTCAGGGTTTTTATAAGGACTCATAATCCAAGCTGTTCTATCCAATATGCATGATCTGTGGCATGCAGCTTAGAGATCTAGCAGATGTTTCAACAATTGTAACTAAATCAGTTATTCGGCAAGGATCATGATTATCCTAAACAACATTTGGAATATCAAAATAGAGAAAAGCTTTTGTTGAAAAGGTCAACTAAGTAGAAAAGTTTAAGAAACAATTAAAAATATTATTATAAAGATGATGTATAGAGGGGTTACATTTACATGTGTCAGTTAATAAGTACATTTTCTCTTGTACAATTCTCTCCCATTCCCTCCTTCCATCTCCACCTTTGAGTTATTCACTTTCATCAGTGTCCAGTGCTCTCTATTGCTGTACTTTTTCACCCATTTTTCTAGGAAGGAAGCCAATTTTAAGTAGAAGATCTTAGAAAAGAAAATGTTTCATATTTGGTCAAAATTAAATGCCAACATAAAAATACTAGGCAAATGCACAACTTTATTGTCAGCTTAATAAGTTGATTCTAGGGATATGTCACATGATACTAAAGAGACTTTGTGAAATCAGTCCAGCCTCCCAATCTGGGTTTGAGTTGATAATATATTTGTCATGCTGTAGCATTTTTAAGATTTATAAATAATGATGGAATGAAAAGCCTTTTCTGTTACTAGAAGTGTGTCAAGGTGCGGGTGTGGGTGCGTGAATGAGTGAATTTTGTGTGTGACAGGGTCTTGGTATGTAGTCCATGTTGGCCTAGCTCTTCTGATCCTTTTGCCTCAGTCTCTTTGAGTGTTTTACCACTTCACTAGAGGCATGCACCACTTCATCAGAAAAGCCAATATATAACATCATGTATGTTCATATTTGAACATCAAAGTCATCTATTCTCCTGGAATGCTATCATCTGTATCATTTGTATTCTCATCAGTAGGGAGTCAGGTCCATGGTAGTTTTGCCTAACTTAAAAAAATTAAAATAGGGGCTGGGAATGTGGATTAGTGGTAGAGTGCTTGCCTAGCATGCATGAGACCCTGGGTTCAATTCTTCAGCACCATATAAACAGAAAAGGCCAAAGTGGTGCTGTGGCTCAAATGGTAGAGCGCTAGCCTTGAGCACAAAGAGGCTCAAGGACAGTTCCCAGGCCCTGAGTTCAAGCTCCAGGACCAGCAAAAAATAAAATACGTCCCGATATTGATCTCTATAGCATTGATCTCTATTGATCTCTGAAATGCTGCAATAAAAACAACAACAAAACACTTGGAAATGAAATGCAGAGAATTTTCTGCCAGGCATGTCATTGTAATCATGCCTTTTTGGGAGGAGGCTGAAGGATCACTGACTCAAAGCCAGCCCAGGTAAAAGTAACAACGCTCTATCTAAAAAAGGAAATCAATAAGGATTGTGGTGGTAGAGTGCTTGCCTAGCAGGGGGCAGGTCCCTCTGAGATTAATGCCCAGTGTCAGCCTCTCCTCCAAAAAAAGAAAAATATATAGTACTTGAGGTTATAGATCAAGTGGTAGAGCCCTTACCATGTACAAGGCCCAGGGTTCAGCCCTCACTTCTGTTGTGAATGAATGAGTGAATGAACAAAATAGTTAATCAGCCGGGCGCTGGTGGCTCACGCCTGTAATTCTAGCTACTCAGGAGGCTGAGATCTGAGGATCGCGGTTCAAAGCCAGCCTGGGCAGGAAAGACCGTGAGACTCCTATCTCCAATAAACCACCAGAAAACCGGAAGTGGCGCTGTAGCTCAAGTGGTAGAGCGCTCACCTTGAGCTGAAGAGCTGAGGGACAGTGCCCAGGCCCAGAGTTCAAGCCCCACGACTGACAAAAAAAAAAAAAAGTTAATCATTTATGCAAGGGTGTTTATGAATAAAGTCAGCCAGGCACTGGCTAGATACTCAGGAGGTTGAGATTTGAGGATTGTATTTCAAAGTGAGCCTAGTCAGGAAAGTCTAAGACTCCATTTAACCACTGAAGAGTCAGAAGTGCAGCTGTGGCTCAAGTGGCAGAGCTTTAGCCTTGAGTTAAAAGCTCAGGGACAGGCCTAGGCCCTGCGTTCAAGCCCCAGGATGGCACCAAAAAAATAATAGATAAGAGTCTAAACTAAAATCTGGAACAAGAGCACATAAATGTACACCCAGAAATCCAGTGGCCTATCAGAGGAAGTTCTGCAACAGGATATTTTTAAATGGAAAGGTAACTTGCTAGGGTCCTTTGAAGAACTTAGTATGTCAGGTCTTGCTGAGTGTTTGACAAGGAAGAATGGTACAGAAACTAGTCTATTGAGCAGATATTTCTATTCTAGAATCAGGCTAGGCATGGTAACCTATGCTTATAAACCCAGCACTTGGGACATGTTGGCTAGAGGCTTGAAAGGTCTAGGTTAGCTTAGGCTATATGGATAGACCCTTTCTCTAAAAACAGTAACAAACAAAACCCCCAAAGTAAGAATCTTCGGTTGTGGAAGGAAATGGACGGCAAGTCATTTTCAGAGCTTCTAAAGAAGGTCTTAGAATGTTTCTGCAGCCCTGTCCCTGAGCTTCTTTTGCTCAAGGCTAGCGCTACTACTTGTGCCACAGGGCCACTTCAGGCTTTTTATGTATATGTGGTACTGAAGAATCAAACCTGGAGCTTCATGCGTACTAGGCAAGCACTCTACCACTGAGTAACATTCCCAGCCCTCTCTCTTTTGAGGGAAGAGAAAGACACTATTTTAGTCTGATCTGGATTTCTCTGAAAGAGTATCTTTCCCCTTAGTGTTCACACTAATACCCAGGGGCTAGAAGTTCCTTGAATTTGAAGGTGTCTTCATGGGTCCCTCCCAGGTGAAATTTTTGGAAAAAGCATTATGAGACCAGTGGCATTGCAAAATAACTAGACTGAGAGCATGTAGGGGTTCTCACAGAGGGGCTGAAAAACTGGTTTGGGAGTTTGGTTTATTCTCAAATTACAAAAAAAAAGGAAATGGTCTAAATGTCAAGGTTTTCTGCATAAGTAGGTATGTTTATTTAATGACTAGTGAATATAAGAATGTATTCCTACTATTATAGCTAGTGGCTATGCTTGGTAAGCCAGACTAGCTGGATTTGGGAGGGGACTGAGAACAGGCAGGACCTTGCTAATATAAATGGGACTGGAATTTCCTTAGATGTCTTTATTCCTTAAGCATTAATGAAGCTGAAGTCATCTAGCAAGGGTGAGAGTGTTAGTATCATTTGAGGGAATAGAAGAGATAGGGTCTTGCTTTTTGGTTGGGCTTGTTCCAAGACAAAGATAAAGGCACTGATATATCGGTCATATGACCATAGAATATAAAACCCTGCAAATGATTCTTTTTGTTTTGTGATGCTGATACTTCACAGATTTTAATTTTTCTTATTTTTTGGCAATACTGGAGATTGAACTTGAAACTATATATGCTTGCTATACAGATGCTCTTCCTCTTGAGTCACCTCCAGACCCTTTTGATTTAGTTATTTTTCAGATAGAGTCTCCCACTTTTTGACTGGGCTGGACACAGACACATATCTTCCTACCTGATTCCAGTTTAGCTAGGGTGACAGGTGTGAACAATACATTCCTGGCTAGTTCTTTGAAATAAAAATCTAACTTTTTTGGTCTGGGCTGTTCTCAACCAGGAGCCTGCCATCTCTGCCTCTCAAGTGCTACAAATTTTAATTTTATAGTTGGCTGTTTATTGCCTTTTGTATTTGATAAGACTTGAGAACTGATTGCTTTTTTTTTTAACTTTCCATTTGTTTGTAACAATCATTTGCTTTAATTTTAATTTTTAAAAAATTGTCAATTAAAAAGAAAAAGAACTCCAGTGTTGTGGATTTCTGAATTTATTTTGCTCTATAGAGTAAGAGTTAAACTTGGTATTTTAAAACATCTTTTTGGTATAAGTTAAAAAATAACCATGTTCAAATGTTCAAATGTTATTTTTACTTGTATTTTGCTTTGGGTACAGCCAAACATGTGTTTTCATAGTTGCTGATATATGTATATATACATATATATATATATATATATTTTTTTTTTTTTTTTGGGTCCGGTCGTGGGGCTTGAACTCTGGGCCTGGACACTGTCCCTCAGCTTTCAGCTCAAGGCTAGTGCTCTACCACTTGAGCCACAGTGCCACTTCCGGCTTTTTTTCTTTTTGCTTATGTGGTGCTGAGAAATTGAACCCAGGGCCTCATGCATGCAAGGCAAGTACTCTACCACTAAGCCACCTTCCCAGCCCCTGAGAGATTCTTATCTCTAGTTAACCAGCAAAAAGCCAGAAGTAGAAGTGTGGCTTAAGTGGTAGAGTGGTAACCTTGAGCAAAAAAGCCAAGGAGAACAAGAGACCCTGAGTTCAAGCCCCAGTGCTGACACACACAGCAGCAGGCACTGGTAGCTCATGCCTGTAATCCTAGTTACTCAGAAGACCCATTGTAACAATGAGATGTACAAGACACTGGAAAACGAACCTTACAACTTTTGGGCGTGGGGGTGGGGGTGGGGGTGGTATTAGGGGAGATGGGGAGGGAAGGGATGGTAGGGGAAAAACAAAGGAGGTAATAATGCTCCGTAGGAAATGTTCTCATTACTTATGTAACTGTAACCCCTCTGTACAGTATCTTTACAATAATACAAGCTATCTATCTACCTATAAACGAAGACAGATCTGATGAACACAGTTCAAAGCCAGTTGGAAATTCTGAGACTTAATCTCCCACTAATAAATGACCAAAAAGCTGAAAGTAGAGCTGTGGTTCAAGTGATAGACTAGTAAGCCTTGAATGAAAAAAGCTCAGGGGGCAGCACCCAGGCCCTGAGTTCAAGCCCCAGGGCAGGCACACACAGAAAAAAAAAATCATCTACTGGCCTTTGAATTATTTGTGCTTTTCATCTTAACATTTTTTTATTCACCTAAAGCATTGAAGTTGTTAAGCTGAAAAAATTCTGTATTGAACATTTTTCATAGTTTTGTCTTTATTACAGATTAATCAGGGCAAGATAAACAGATCCATTGAACACTGTCCCCTTTTAAGTAATCATTTGACTTCTGTTATTTTAAGTCCTTGCTTTGTCAGTTTGGTCATAACAGTAATCTCCAAGTATGATTAAATTCTTTTTAGTTAAGTACAGAACAACTCAGTTTTCATCCAGGAAAAATCTTACATTTTTAGGAGAGTAGTTACTAAATCTTCAGAAATATCCTAGAGCAAGTACTGAAGGAAGGCAAGCATCAGTGCTCTTATTAAACTATGCTCGACCCCATTCTTGTTCTCGTAACACGTTGCGTTTGATTTTCCCGGTGATTGTCTTTGGAAGTTCTTTAACAAATTCCACCTAATTAACAGAAGAACATATGAAACCTTAGATTCCACTTTGATTTATTCCAACTCTCAATGTTGTGAGCACCAGAAACTGTTATGTTCATATAGGAAGGACAATAGTACATGACATTCCATTATGCTGTGTGTGTGTGTGTGTGTGTGTGTGTGTGTGTGTGTGTGTTACTGGGGTTTGGACTCAAGGTCTTAGTCTCACTCAGTTTTCTGGGTGATCTTGCACTCTTACCACTTGAGTCACACCTCTCTGTTCTATTGTGATTTTGGAGTTCATGTAGACTTTTCAGCCCAGGATGGCTTACAACAGAGATTGTCCAGACCCCAGCCTCCTGAGGGGGCCAGGATTACAGGTGTGAGCCAGTCATCATAATGATTTTTAGTGCAAACTCGTGCTTTGCTAAATGAGCAGAGAATAATCCCTTGGCTTTCTCCCTAGGCCTCTTCTGCTCCAGAGAAATAGAGGTTAAACTTAAAATGTCAAGAAGTTCCTGGCATTGGAGAGGTGTGTGTGTGTGTGTTACTAGGTCTTGAACTCAGGGCCTAGCTGCTATTCCTTAGCTCAAGGCAAGAAGTTCCTGGCATTGGAGAGGTGTGTGTGTGTGTGTGTGTGTGTGTGTGTGTGTGTGTGTGTGTGTGTGTGTGTGTGTGTGTGTGTGTGTGTGTGTGTGTGTGTGTGTGTGTGTGTGTGTGTGTGTGTGTGTGTGTGTGTTACTAGGTCTTGAACTCAGGGCCTAGGTGCTATTCCTTAGCTCAAGGCTGGTGCTTTATCCCTGGTGCCAGCCCTGTACTTACAGTTTTTGCTGGTTTTGGAAATAAGATTCTCATGGACTTTCCTATCGGGCTGGATAGAACCATGATTCTCCAATAACAGTGTCTGGAATAGCTAGGATTAGAGTCATGAGCCAATGGCACCCAGACCATTGAAGGCTCTGAGAAGATTTTAAAGATAATTTGGAGTGTATACAGCTTTCTTGTACCCTGAGTTGATCATAAAATCATGTCTATTTTTCCTTTTCTCTAAATGAGTATATGTGTTTACAATGCATTCAAACTTATTTTCTGAAAAATCTAAATGTTACTCATTCAGTTTAATGGAGATATGGTTAAAATGGTTCATATGTTAAAAAATAAATTATCACTGGGTACACGTGGCTGAGATCTGAGGATCACCAATTATCTACCAATTATCTACAGTTAAGTACCGAAAAGCTGGAAGTGGAGCTGTGGCTCAAGTGGTAGAGTGATCCTTGAGCAAAACAGCTCAAGGACAGCCCCCAGGCCCTGAGTTCAAGCCCCAGGACTCACACACAAACACACACACACACACACACACACACACACACACACACACACACACACACAAAATTAACTGCCATTTGGTTGAAATGATGGCAACTGAAAGGAAACTGGAAGATCAGTCAACCGTCAACCAGTAGGGCTCCAGAGTAGAAGAAACTGCAGTACCATTTCTCTGTCTTGATATAGAATTTTCCTAAAGTCTTTTTTTTTTTTGGGGGGGGGGGGTCAGTCATGGGGCTTGAACTCTGGGCCTGGGCACTGTCCCTCAGCTCTTCAGCTCAAGGCTAGTGCTCTACCACTTGAGCCGCACTGCCATTTCTGGTTTTCTGGTGGTTAACTGGAGATAAAGAGTCTCACAGGCTTTCCTGCCCTGGCTGGCTTTGAGCCACAATCCTCAGATCCCAGCCTCCTGAGTAGCTAGGATTACAGGTATGAACCACCCGTGCCTGGCCTAAAGTCTTCTTTCAAAGGAAATTTCAGGAAGAAATTCATAGGTCTTTGGATCCTATCCTTTAGAGTCTTAATCTAGGCCACCTGATATTTAAATGAGGGCCCTTTAAATGTATAGGGGCATTAGAGTAAGACTACTGGATAGATGGATCCAGTGCCAATCCTAAAAATAAATTTATTGTATATTTTTTTTATCACCATTCCCAAATTCCTAATTAGTCTTATAAAGATACTTAGTGTTAGGCTGGGTGCTGGTGGCTCATACCTATAATCCTAGCTACTTAGGAGGCTGAGATATGAGATTCGAGGTTCAAAGCCAGCCTGGCTAGGAAAGTCCATGAGACTCTTATTTCCAATTAACCATCAGAACACTGGAAGTAGAGCTGTGGCTCAAAGAGGGTAGATTACTAGACGAGCAAAAGAGCTCAGGGACAGTGCCCAAGCCCTGAGGTCAAGCTCTACAACTGATAAAACAAAAGTCTTAGTGTTAGTAGTTTAGAGTTCATAAAATTCCTAGTTTATCAAGCATTTGTAGTGCCCTAATACAAAGCATTTTATTTTATTATTGTCTTTTAGTAGTTGTGCAGCAAAACATTTTAAGTCGAAATTCTTGGCTACATAAGCTGAAAAGTTAATTTCTATTACACAATGAGCTGTTGTAAAGTTAAAATCCAACAAAAGTCTATCTTCTGGGTTATACTTTGATTTGGTAAGGCAAACTTTTTTTTTTTTTTTTTTGGGTCCGGTCGTGGGTCCTGAACTCTGGGCCTGGGCGCTGTCCCTCAACTCTTCAGCTCAAGGCTAGCGCTCTACCACTTCAGCCACAGCACCACTTCCGGATTTTTCTTTTTGCTTATGTGATGCTGAGGAATCGAACCCAGGGCCTCATGCATGCAAGGCAAGCACTCTACCACTGAGCCACCTTCCCAGCCCCTGGTAAGGCAAACTTATACTTGCCTTTCTTGGATATTTGTAAGGTGCAGTTGATTTTTTCACATGATCCTGAAGCTCAAGAATTAACTGTTCAGGGTTAGATGATTTGAAGGGTGCAGATAAGACAATAAAAGCTTTCACCACCTGAACAGAAAAGTCAATTAGTATTGCCATTTGTTTTTCAGACACATGAAGGGCTCAGAACTATTGCAGAATATAGACACTGACTTAATAGCACATACACACAGGCCTGATGATAGCAAATAGCAGAGATTGCCTCTGAACACAGCTGAGTACAATTATAAAGTAAGGTTTTGAGATGGACATAAATGGGCTGTGAATGTGAAGGGGGCTAAGTTATATTTATATGTCACACCCTTAACAATTCAAAGAGAAGTGCACCATCACTGTAATCCTAGCTATGCAGCTGGCTGAGATCTGAGGATTATGGTTGAAGCCAGCTGTGGCAGGAAAGTCCCTGGGACTCCTATCTCCAGTAAACACCAAAAAAGCTGGAAGCAGAGCTGTGGTTCAATTGAGTACAGTGCTAGCCTTGAGCAGAGACAATCAGAGACAATACCCAGGCCCTGAATTCAAGCCCCAGAACCAACATAGAGAAAAACAAAACAAAAATAACAAACCAAAACTCCACGTACCAAAGAGGAAATCCTGTACAGTGTTCAGAGGAAGCTCAAAGGTCACTTCCACTTGAGTGCTGCTTTTAAATTGTTTCCACTTGCTGAGTCTTCAGGAAAACTTCCATGAGGAAAGGGACATTTTCCTCCTTTCCATACCCTAGAGCTTCCTAACCAAAGGCTATGTGTGTCATCCCTGTCATTAGGTTTAAACAGGCTGTTAAGATATTTGAGGACAATCTTCTGTGAGAAAATGTATTCAGAGCTCCATGACAATTATGCAGATAGTGAAATTTAATGCAGGCATTGTTCTCTCTCTCTTTTAAAAGGAATACTGTGGAGTATTATACTGTCTCTGGTGGTCTTGACACGGACCCTTACTGCCAATGACAGGCCTATGACCCAGATCTGTCTAGGTGCAGGGTGCTGTCCCTGACCTTTGTGCTCAAGGCAAGCATTCTACCACTTTAGCTATAGCTCCATTTCCAGCTTTTTTGGTTAATTGGTAATAAGAGCCTCATAGACTTTCCTCCTGGGGAAAGGACCACGATCCTCATATCTCAGCCTCCTGAGTAGCTAGGATTACAGGCATGAGTCCCTGGTGTTCAGATCATACTGGCTAGGGGTGTGGTCTAAAACAGGCAAACAAAATCTTGAGAGTTATTTGAAACAGTTGAAAAGAAAGCTTTCTCCTTCCTTAGAAGGAAGGAGAGGGGTTAAGCTGTATAACAACAAATTAAAGCTTGATTTATGTAACCGTAATCCCTCTGTTTTTAGCATTTTCAAATAAAAACAGTAAATTAGAACTTGCTGAGGTGAAGGCAACACAGCAGAGCCAGATGTGAAGAACGTCAACTTCACATAAATACTTAATGCAGCAATTGCTGAGTACAGCTCACTTACATGAGCTTCCCAAAATTATTTTATTTATTTATTTTGTCGGTCATGGGGCTTGAACTCTGGGCCTGGGCGCTGTCCCTCAGCTCTTCAGCTCAAGGCAAGAACCCTACCACTTGAGCTACAGCACCACTTCCGGTTTTCTAGTGGTTTATTGGAGATAGGAGTCTCATGGTCTTTCCTGCCCAGGCTGGCTTTGAACTGCGATCCTCAGATCTCAGCCTCCTGAGTAGCTACGATTACAGGCGTGAGCCACTGGCGCCTGGCCCAAAATTATTTTATAACAAGTCAGTTTGAGTTGAGTTCTGTTACTTGCTATCCAACCAAAACAATTCTCATCTTCTTGTGTTGATTTCCTGGGATACATTTGTGTTACATGTGTGCCTTAATTTTTGCTGTAGTAAAATGAGGACACAACTTGAAACTGTGAAATTGCTGCTTTAGTTAAAAATATTCATTGTACCTCTCCTCGGATTGGATCTGGACTACTGACAACAGCTGATTCCACAACTGCTGGGTGCTCAATCAACGCACTCTCCACTTCAAAGGGTCCGATGCGGTACCTGCAGAGGAAAAGGAGTTTGTGATCATCACAATCCCCAGGTAGGAGATCACCTGTTCTGAAACCTGCTCTTTCTTTCTAAGAGTGGTAGAATGTACAAACCCAGAGGATATAATGACATCATCAGCTCTTCCAACAAACCAAAAATAGCCATCACTGTCCATCACTCCTCGGTCTCCAGTGACATAGAAATCTCCTCTCATGGTGGCAGCAGTTTTTTCTGGATTATCCTAGGAATCAAAGATGACATTTGAGGATTCATTTGAACAGACTAGAGATCCGTGTGGGACACCCATTAAGTGACTAGCATATTATTCCTCCTGCTTTAAATAGAAATTATCTTTCTTTGGTGTGAGTATGCCGGTCCTGGGGTTTGAACTCAGGGTCTGGGCACTGTCCTTGAGCTCTTTTGCTCAAGGTTAGGGCTCTTTTACTTGAGCTACCTCTCCACTTCTGGCTTTTCTTGGTAGTTCCTTGGAGATAAGAGTCTCACAGGCTTTCCTGCCAGGGCTGGATTCAAACCATGATCCTCAGCTCTCAGCCTCCTGAGTAGCTAGGATTACAGGTGTGAGCCAGCAGGACTTGACAAGAAATTGTCTTTTAAAGATAGTTTTTTTTAAACATAACCTATAAAGGTCTAGAAGAATGTAATAAAAATTAAGCCTCTTTTCCTCCTTTATGGACCCTGTATTCTCCTCCTCCCCAACTGGTCCACTTTCCCTTTTGCAGGACAACCATTACATAAATTCTTATTTGTAGAATGTAATCTTTACTCTCAAGAGAGATGATATTCTCCTGATTTTGCAGCTGATAAAAATGATGTGGGATTTGTCCTTCGTTCATTTGTTATAAAGCAAGACATGGTGGATATGAACCTTGAATCTATATCTGTATTGAAGTGTTACTAGCCCTTTCTACATTTTTCATACCACATATTCAGAGAAGAAACAGAAGGGCCGTGTGGACTTTAGTCTGAGGGCAATTTCCCCTTCTGTGCCAGATGGTAAAATATTGCCATTTTCATCTATAATCTAAAATGAAAGAAATAATTTATGTTCTTACATTTTTTTCAGAAAGAGAAAACGAATTGAATAAAAAAACATTAAAACATTTGAAACATTCTTTGTTGAACCAGTTAGGTGTTTTCTCAACCGACCTGGACATCATAGGGTAATACTCCTTTCCCCATGGAGCCTGGCTTAATTTCTTGTCCTTTCTGATTGGCACAAATTATTCCCTGTAGAGAGGACATGTTTTACATAAGTATGCGGAAATTCATTTTCTTTCTCTTTTTCAGTGCTAGGGATTGAACTCAGGGCCTTATGTATGCGAGGTATGTACTCTACCACTGACTGAGCTATGAGCTATACCCCCAACTCAGAAATTCATTTTCTGTGGCTTGCTTATATCTTGACCATGAAACTTTAGATTCAGCTTTTTTTACATATTCTCAATATGAAAGATCATCTTCTGAAGCATATTATTTTATGGATTAGTAGTCCATAAACTTCGTGTGCATTAGAATGACTTATTCCGATCCAAGGAATTTGTTGGGAGATTTGAGAATTTACACTTCTACTAAATTCCCAGGTGATGCCAATGCTGCTGGGTTGAGGATCACAGTTTGAAAACTACTCCTTTTAGACTCTTTTTATGTACACTTTAGAATAAAGTCCCCACAGAGGCTGCCAGAGGTCCTTTTTTAGTATAGTGGAAAGATGAACCGCTCAGTTCTGAATCTCACCAACCCCTAACACACCTTTGAGATTTTTCTTGTGAAGGGAAGAGGCAGTCATACTGAGTAACCACAAAATTCTGCTTCTGCTAAACCTGATTGGGCTATTTACATGTCTTGGTAATTACTAAGAAAGCAAGGTATATCTGGGAAATTCTATAAAAATTTTGAGTATGAATGGGCACTTCAGGGGTTCTGTTATCAGTCTCGGGGGGCTGATGGGGCCCCAGATACAGTCATCTCTCTATGTGTATGGGTTCTACACCCTTGGACTCAACCAACCCTAAATTAGAAATATTCAGGGGAAAAATGAGTGTGTATTCAATGTGTTCTGGAATTATATGCCATTATTTTTTAAACAACAGCATAGGGCTGGGAAGGTGGCTCAGTGGTAGAGCGCTTGCCTTGCATGCTTGAGACCCTGGGTTCAATTCCTCAGCACCACATAAGCAAAAAGAAAAAAGCCAGAAGTGGCACTATGGCTCAAGTGGTAGAGCGCTAGCCTTGAGCTGAAGATCTGAGGGACAGCACTCAGGCCCAGAGCTCAGGCCCCACGACCGGACCCCCCAAAAAAAAAAAAACAAAAAAAACCCCAACAGCATAGCAACTAAACAGCATTGATACTGTTAGGCACTCTAAGAAATCTAGAGATGATTTGAAGTGTATATGCTTCTGTAGCACATACATGAAAATTAGAATGATACAGAAAGATTAGCATCAGTCTTAAAGATGACATGAAAATTCAGGAAGCATTTCACTTTTCTTTTTTTAAAAACAGTTATAGGGGCAGGGGATAAGAAAAAGTAATAAAAGGGGTAAAATATCACAGTGAAACCTCTCACATTATGCAAATAATATGTGCTGGATACAGTAATGTATCCAGGAGGTCTGAGGGTTATACGAAAGTTCTATGCCATAAGGGAGCTGAGCATCTGAGAATTTTGGTATCTTCTGGAATTGATCTCCCTTGACTTTTTTAAATGCTGGCTTTGGGCCTTGAACTCAATGCCTGGGTTTTGTTCCTTAGCTGTTTTGGTCAAGGATGGCACTCTACCACTTGAACCACAGCTCTACTTCTGGTTCTTTTGCTGGTTAGTTAGAGATAAGAGTCTCATAGACTTTCCTGCTCAGAGAGAACTGAGATTCTCAGATCTCAGCCTCTTGAGTAGCTAGGATTATAAATGTGAGCCACTGGTGCCTAGCACTTTCTTTTTCTTTTTCTTCCTTCCTTCCTTCCTTCCTTCCTTCCTTCCTTCCTTCCTTCCTTCCTCCCTCCCTCCCTCCCTTCCTTCCTTCTTCCCTCACTCCCTTCCTCTTTCTTTCCCTCCCTCCTTCCTTTCTGCCAGTAATGGGGATTGAACTAAGGGCCTCACACTATTCCTTAGCTTTTTCTATACCTCCACTACCAACTTTTTTGATGATTAACTTGAGATAAAAGTCTCACAGGCTTACCTGGGTGGCCTGGCTTTGAATCTCAGCCCTCAGATCTCAGCCTTTTGAGTAACTGGGATTACAAGTGTGAGCCACCAATACCTGGCTTCCCCTAACTTCTGAAGGACAGCTATTCTAAACTTAAGCTTTGCCCTTTAAATATACCACTTCTGTCTGTCCATAGCCTTCATACAACTCCAGTCCAGTTTGCATCTTCCACTGTTCTAGCACCTCGGGGTTGAGTGGTTCTCCTCCTGTTAAGCAGTGCTGCAGCTTCTTGAATTTATATCTGGAGAGACAGAGTTGTACTTAGTCTTTGGGGGAAAATCTGATTATCTCTCACTGTAAGATAATTCAGATATTCAAGCAACAACCAAAACAGCTAAGACCAAGTCTTAGGAAAGTTCATTCCACAAATATTTCTTTTCTTTTTTTTTTTGGGGGGGGGGGGTCTGGGCACTGTCCCTCAGCTCTTCAGCTCAAGGCTAGCGCTCTACCACTTGAGCCACAGTGCCACTTCCCGCTTTTTTCTTTTTGCTTATGTGGTGCTGAGGAATTGAACCGAGGGCCTCAGGCATGCAAGACAAGCGCCCTACCACTGAGCCACCTTCTCCAGCCCTCCACAAATATTTCTTGAATCCCTCTTATATTCTGGGCGTTGTTCTAGTCATGTGAAGTGACATTCATCACATTAGTGATGAATAAATGTTTTCTGAACAAGCTTACATTTTGGAAGGAAGAGGTGAATTTAGTTATCAATGGGATAAAAGTAGAGAGAAATTTTAATGATGATATTAAGTGCTCATAAGATAAATGAGTTAACAGCCCACATTAATTGGATAGTTGTCTTGCAGTAAGGACTTTTTGAACACTCTTAGGATTCTCACTACCCCTATGTATATGTGTGTCTGTGCATGTGTGTTGGTCTGGAGCTTGAACTCAGAGTCTAAGATCTGTCTCTGAGCTTTTTGCTCAAGGCACTTGAGTCACAGTTCCCCTTATGGAGTTTTTGGTGGTTATTTGTAGAATAACAGTTTTACAGACTTTTCTGCCCTGGCTGGCTTTGAACCATGATCCTCAGATCTCAGCCTTCTGCACAACTTCTATATTACAGATGAGGAATTTGAGGCCTGGGGAAGTTAAAGAACTTGCTAAAGCCTTTACAGATAATAAAGTACTGAGTTCTATGTTTTCTACTGTGCATTTAACACTTGTCAGGCTGATCTCACTAGTATGTCTTTTACACCAAATTTCTGTCACAATCCTATGGAGTGACTCAATCTATTTATGGATGGAGTTTATGGAGGTCATCTGGAGTGTACAAGGTCACATGATTAGAAGTAGCAAAGTGCTGTCTATTTGTATTCGAAGCTTAGGTTTTAACTAGTGGGCTTGAGTAAGAAAGCCTGGAACAGCCAAACTTTCATATGAACAAGTCCCAAATGGGAAGAAAGATGTGGCTTGGACACAAATTGTGTGTATTTTCCATAATCCTTAAAAATAGCTTTTGAGTTATCCTTGAAATGCAAACAATATCTATCTATCTATCTATCTATCTATCTATCTATCTATATATCTATATCTATATATAGATATATCTGTATCTATATCTATATATATCTTGAGGGCTTTGAGGAATTGGCACTGACCAGGAAAAGGGGAGATTCACATAGGTGCTTTATTCTATTTTATCATACTTCCTGGGCATCTTAAACACCGGTAGGAATGGAAGATGAACAACTTTGCAAATCTCTTATTGGTTCTTTCTTCCTTTCTCTTCTCATTTATGGAATTTTAATTTGTTCTATGAATGTACACTGAAACTCTCCTGAATGGGTAGTTAATTTGGTTAAACTGAATATAACTTTCAAATCATAAGGGTAATCGTAGCTACTCAGGAGGCTGAGATCAGAGGATCAATTACAATTCAGAGCCAGCCTGGGCAAGGAAAGTCTGTGAGACTCTTATCTCCAATTAACCATCAGAAAAACAGAAGTGGCACTGTGGCTCAAGTGGTAGAATGCTAGACTTGAGCTGAAGAGCTCAGGGACAACATCCAGGCCCAGAGTTCAAGCCCTATGACAGACAAAAAAAAATCATAAGGCTATATTAATTTATGTCCAAGGCAGTATAAATAGGTTTATTTTTTGTTTTATTTGAGGAGACTGATTCTAAATGAGTGTTTCCAAAAGTGGTACCAGCTAAGGGCTGATGGCTCATACTTGTAATTTTAGCTATTCAGGAGGCTGAGATCTGAGGGTCATGGTTCAAAGTCAGATGGGGCAGGAAAGTCTATGAGACTTTTATCTCCAATTAACCACCAAAAATCTGGGAGTAGAGCTGTGGCTCAGGTGGTAGATGGTAGCCTTGAGCAAAAAAACCCTCAGGGATAGTACCTAGGACTTGGGCACACACACACACACACACACACACACACACACACACACACACACACTCATACAAAATGAGAATTTTTTTTTTTGGGGGGGGGGGGTCCGGTTGTAGGGCCTGAACTCTGGGCCTGGATGCTGCTCTTCAGTTCAAGGCTAGCACTCTACCACTTGAGCCACAGCGCCACTTCCGGCTTTTTTCTTTTTGTTTATGTGGTGCTGAGGAATTGAACCCAGGGCCTCAAGCATGCAAGGCAAGTGCTCTACCACTGAGCCACCTTCCCAGCCCTGAGAAAAATTTTTAATGAGAGTCCTGAGATTACAGGACTCTGGTAAATGGGAAGATATCTACATTTTCCTAGAAAATAGTCTATTTTATTTTGTGCCAGTCCTGGGGCTTGAACTGAGTGACCTTGCACCCTTTTCTGTTTTGTTCAAGGCTGGTGTTGTACCCCTTGGGCAACACCTCCGCTTCTGGCTTCTTTTTTGGTTAACTGGAAGTAAGTATCTCTTGGATTTGTGTACCTAGGCTGGCTTCAGACCATGATCCTCAGATCTCAGCCTCATGAGCAGCTAGGATTACAGGCCTGAGCCATCAGCATCTAGCTTTAGAGGATGTTTTAAATTGGGATATGCTTTTTATTGTTACAGGGCTTTAGTCAACAGCTAGTTGCAGTTTGTCCTAAGCTGGATGAAGGGAGATGCAATGCATCTAGTCAGTGTGCTGCTCACCCTCTTTTACCTAGGATGCCCCCCAGGACACAGAAGTATTTGGTCCAGAATGTCAGTAGTGGGGAGACTGAGAAACCTTGAGCGGTCCTGTGCTGACAACAGGAGTTCCAGGTGATGGCCTCTATTTGTGGCTCAGGTGGAATATTGTGTTCACATACCTTTTAAGGTCTTTCTGCACAAGCATCCGGTACACGGTAGGAGCACAGCACAAGGTTGTGATGGGGTAAGTGGTAAGCGTCTGGATGATGGAAAATGACAGACATGTCAGAAGAGGTCTGTTAAAGGGCACAACTCTTATTATCTACTATGAGTGTTGCTCTACCTCATGGAAACTGCTAGAAATAAGAAAACTAAAGCCAGGTGCAGATGGCTCAGGCCTGCAATCCTAGCTACTCAGGACGCTGAGATCTGAGGATCATGGTTCAAAGCCAGCCCAAGCAGGGAAGTCCGTGAGACTCTTATCTCCAATTAACCACCAGAAAACCAAAAGTGGCACTGTGGCTCAAGTGGTAGAGCACTCACCTTGAGCTGAAGAGCTGAGGGACAGCACCCAAGCCCAGAGTTCAAGCCACATGACCAATCAAAAAAAAAAAAAATTGTTAGGCACACTATGCCCCCAGTTCCTTAAATCAAATAATGACATAGGCATCTTCAAACTGGAGATAATTTAGAGATCCTCTTTCTTTTCTTTTTTTTGGGGGGGTCCAGTCGTGGGGCCTGAACTCTGGGCCTGGGCGCTGTCCCTCAGCTCTTCAGCTCAAGGCTAGTACTCTACCACTTTCAGCCATAGCGCAACTTCCAGCTTTTTTCTTTTTGCTTATGTGGTGCTGAGGAATTGAACCCAGGGCCTCAGGCATGCAAGGCAAGTGCTCTACCACTGAGCCACCTTCCCAGCCCAAGATCCTCTTTCTAACAACTTCCACTGTTCCATTGTGTCACTTAATATATTAGCATTTTGTGTTAAAATTAATTATTTGGGAGATGTATGTATAGGCTATCTGGATTGCTACAGATCAAGAATCATTTTTGATCTGTAAATGAGCATTTCTACCATATGTATTTAGTCCTTCAATCTATAGAGTTCTCAAAATGCATAGAATACACACACTGTCTTTGTAAACTAAACTGAATCATGCCAGATGTATGGTGCACATCTGTTATACCAGCTACTTGAGAGCTGGAGGCAGGATTATGAATAAAAAGCCTGACTGGGCTACCTAATGAGTTCAAGTCCAGCTTGGGCAACTCACACAAGACATTAGCTTAAAACAAATTTTTTTTAAAAAAGCATACAGGATTACATGTATAGATGCCCAAACAAATTGACTGAAGTATGTTATACTCAGAAGAGGATTCCACTGGCATAACTCCTTTAAACAACTAACTTTAACAAAATGCACACTAAGAAGCTGAAACGTGTTGTGGGAGAGGTAGAGGTAAAGGAAAGAATGGACTGTGAGTGAAGAGTGGACGAGTGGGTGAATACAGTCATAATATTTCATGTGCATATGTGAAACTGGAACCAGGTTACTTGAAAGGATGAGTGGGGTTGGAAGAGATGGGGAGAATAATGGTTGGGGTAACATTAATCAAGATGCATTGTATCATATCTGACATGTTGAATTGAAACCCTTTTGTATAACTATTTAAAGATAATAATACAGAAAGCTCTGAGGGATGTGGCTTAGTGGTGAGTTCAATTCTCAAGGAATACACAAAACACCTTGTTTTAAACAAATACAAGGTTTTAAACTGCAAAGTAAACTCATCTTCATAAGCCTCTGTAGAACTGATGTAGAGGACTGGGAAGGTGGCTCACTGGTAGAGTGCTTGCCTTGCGTGCATGAGGCCCTGGGCTCTATTCCTCAGCATCACATAAGCAGAAAAAAAAAATCTGGAAGTGGCACTGTGGCTCAAGTGGTAGAGCCTAGCCTTGAGCTGAAGAGCTGAGGGACAGCGTCCAGGCCCAGAGTTCAGGCCCCATGACCGGACCCCCACAAAAAACCAAAACCAACCAAACAAACAAAACTAATATAGAGACGGTAGTTCTAATGTTACTCTACATTTCTCTTAAAGCTCATCAAGCTCCTGGGTGCCAATGGCTACTCAGGAGGCTGAGCCCTGAGGATAGTGGTTTGAAGCCAACCACGGCAGATAAATTTATGAAATAGTGGTTTGAAGCCAACCACAGCAGATAAGTATATGAAACTCTTATCTCCAACAAACTACTCAGAAAAAGCCAGAAGTGGAGCTGTGGCTCAAGTGGTAGAGCACAAAGAAGCTCAGGGACAGTGCTCAGGCTGAGTTCAAGCCCAAGACAAAAGAAAGAGAGAGAGAGAGAGAGAGAGAGAGAGAGAGAGAGAGAGAGAGAGAGAGAGAGAAGGAGAGAGAGAGAGAGAGAGAGAGAGAGAGAGAGAGAGAGAGAGAGAGAGAGAGAGAAGAGAGAGGAAAGAAGAGAAAAAAAGACCCTTAAGCCTGGGCTGGGAAGGTGGCTCAGTGGTAGAGCACTTGCCTTGCAAAGCATGAGGCCCTGGGTTCGATTCCCGAGCACCACATAAGCAAAAAGAAAAAAGCCGGAAGTGGCGCTGTGGCTCAAGTGGTAGAGCGCTAGCCTTGAGCTGAAGAGCTGAGGGACAGCACTCAGGCCCAGAGTTCAGGCCCCACAACCGGACCCAAAAAAAAAAAAAAAAAAAAAGACCTTTAAGCCATCTTGTCAGACAAGTTAGAAAACTAACAGAGTGAACATTGCTTTATTTTCACGCGTGTGGTGCATAATTAATAATCTATTTTGTTAAGCTTAATTGATTTTTCATGGGTAAGAAATAACTGGCTGAAATCACATTTTTCTAAAGGTTAGTTATCAAATATCTCAATCTAGTTATTTCTGGTTAAAAAGTAAGTTCATGCCTGGTTTCTGGAAGAGTACTAGGGCCTGCAAATTAAAATGGGATGTATAGTGTTTAGAGAGGAGGGAAAGAGAGAATAGATACAATGACCCCCTCCACCACCAGTCTCTTCCACAAGGAATTCAGACAGATCAACTATTATCTTTTCCCCCCTACTGAATCAGAAACAAAATGTTTACTAAAATTTAAGACTTCTATGATTTAGAACAAAGCTCCTAAGCAGCCACATTTTAGTGATATTAGTAAATCCCGAACAGTGGGAAGCAAAATATATATTTTGTACTGACCAATTTTGTGGGTGATCTCTTTCTACTCTGTTAAATACATCCAGAAACCAGATCTCTAGAGGCTATTCTGAAGCATCATTTCCATGTGGTTTTTGTGAGAGAAAGGAGGTCTTCTAGAGATTATGTAAATAGAGGTAAATACGTACATCTAGGAAGGTGTTAGTGTCAAACTGGACCATCTGGTGCACAAAAACACAGGCACCCCGAAGCCAGGAAGAAAATACACTACCAATGGCAGCTTTGATCCAGCCTGTATCAGACATATTCCACATGATATCTGAGGACTTCAAGTCTAACCAGTACCTAAGTGATACACAGAGGCAACAAAACAGCAAAAATAAATTATGAGTATGTATTCTATTTATTATAGATTTAAACATACTATATTATATTACAATATAATATAGAGCATTATAATATATAGTAGTAATATATGTATGTTTGTATATTCTATGTATTTGTATTATGGCACACAATATTATCTATTTATCTGTGATTATACACAATATATTATATATTATGGTTTTGGGTTTTTTTTGTTTGTTTTGTTTTTGGGCAGTTGTGGAGTGGGAACTCAGGGCCTGCGCACTGTCCCTGAGCTTTTCCTACTCAAGGATAGTGCTCTACCACAGCTCCACGTCTGGTTTTCTGGTGGTTGATTGGAGATAGGAGTTTCACAGACTTTCTGCCCAGACTGGCTTTGAACCTGGATCCTCAGATCTCAGTCTCCTGAGTAGCTAGGATTACAGGTGTGAGCCATCAGCACCTGGTGATATTAGGTATTTATGATATAGATAAGATTTACTATAACATATAAGACATTATACACTATATTTATAGATAATATATATTTACACATTTATATTATAATTGCATATGTATATGTAATGTTTAATTATATATTATAGTTATCTATGTATATAAATATACTGATATATATATAAAGATAAAAAGAAATGTGTATGATTCTATTTCTCACTTGTCTTAGAGTTTTTAGAATCCTATGTGTTTTGGGAGTGGAATGCGAGACTGAATTTGGCATAATTTTGTCAGTTTGTCCATTGAAGAAACAGGTCTTTATTGAGCAATTTATGCTATACTAGGCATATATCTTCCGGTGAGCAAGATAGACTAGATCTCTTAGTGTAGAGGGACAGGAGGGAATAGTATACAATAAGGTAAATTAAGTATATTAAAAATATTGTAATTTCAAGAACTGATAAAGTGATATGAGGAAAATAAAATAGAGCAATGTCCCAGTTTTAGATAGCCTTTCTTTTAGGAAGTCCCTCTGGATAGACTATTATTTTTTCTGTAATGAGAAGAGAATGTCAGACATGCTATTATGGGATTGAACCAAAGTTGAATGATAAGTTTTTGCTTGTTCTGGTGGATAGATGGCACTGTATTTACTGAGCCAGGGTGGAGCAAAGGCCTAAAGGGTTCTGTTTTATAGATGGTATATCCACTCAAGGAAAGGTATCAGGTAGGCAGGATTAGCTTAAGAGAAAGTTTATTAAAAACAAACATTTTCTCCCTACCTTCCGCAAAGGGCATACCCAATACCAAGGCTACTCTGTGAGTGCTGAGCCATCTTAGGGGAGCCCGTGGTTCCACTGGTGAAATAAATGGCCATTGGTTCTTGACTTCCTGTCTCCACACAGCTGTGCTCTTCAGAAGCAGATCTGCAAAATATGGACCCCAAAATGGTAGCTGAAAATGCTGCATCAGTTTCACTTTGCTATTGCTTTTGTTCTGCTACTTTTACCCTTTTGTAACCACAAGATAGTTAATAGAACTGAACCTAGTTCGAAGCTTTGCCAGGTGCTAGTGGCTCATGCCTTTATTCTGTATTCTCCTACTCAGGAGGCTAAGATCTGAGGATGGTGGTTTGAAGCCAGACAGGTTAGAAAAGTCTATGGCAATCTGATTATCTCCAATTAACCAGCAAAATGTTGGAAGTAGAGGCTCAAGTGGTGGAGACCACCAGTCTTGAGTGAAAAAGCCAAGTCAGCGTCTGAGGCTGTGAGTTCAATCCCAGTACCAGAATCCCCACCCTCACCCCGGCAAAAAAAAGTCCCAAGTTTTCGTGTGTGTGTGTGTGTGTGTGTGTGTGTGTGTGTGTGTGTGTGTGTGTGTGTGTGTGTGTGTGTGTGTGTGTGTGTGTGTGTGTGTGTGTGTGTGTGTCAGTTGTGGGGTTTGAACTCAGGGCCTAGTAATCCTCAGATGGCAGCCTCCTGGATAGCTAGGATTACAGGCGTGAGCCACCGATTTTTAAGATATCTTAGAAGGGACTTTGAAAATTAGTGCCAAGTTTAGTAGCTTAAGTATTTTTTTTTTTTTTTGGGGTCTGGTCATGGGGCCTGAACTCTGGGCCTGGGCGCTGTCCCTCAGCTCTTCAGCTCTAGGCTAGCGCTTTACCACTTGAGCCACAGCGCCACCTCTGGCTTTTTTCTTTTGCTTATGTGGTGCTGAGGAATCGAACCCAGGGCCTCAGGCATGCAAGGCAAGCACTCTAGCACTGAGCCACCTTCCCAGCCCATAGCTTAAGTATTTTTTAAGCTTATCTTCCTATAGACCAAATAGGTAGCCAAGGTAACTTTCAATATTAATTTTACAAAAGGATATGCATTTAATTTCTTTAATTTTCTTTCCTAAGTCTGTTTTAATCTGAGAATAAAAAAAAAAAAACAGCATTGAGCTAGGTGCCAGTGGCCTACTCCTGTGATAGTTACTCAGGCAGCTGAGATTTGTGGTTTAAAGCCAGCCAGGGAAGGAAAGTTTATGAGACTCTCCAATTAGCCCCCAAAGTAAAAGCTAGAAGTAGAGCTGTGGCTCAAGAGTGCTAGCCTAGAGCAAAAAGTCTCAGGGATAGCACCTTAGCACATAGCACCTTAGAACTGAGTTCTAGTCCTAAGGCCAGCACAAATAAACAAAGAAAATGAAAAAGCTTTTAGCAATGAGATATGATCCGTGGCTGCTTTGAAATTATGTCATTCTAAAGTCTTTAAAGGAAGATTTTCTCCATCTTGAAAACCACTCCAAAGATACAGATTTCAATTGAAATTCATGTAATTGTAGAGCCCTTTTCCTTTTGGGACACTTTTAAAATGTCTTAGAGACTCAATTGAACATTGCTGCATTATTTTGGGTAGGAGTTGCTTAAATTAGGGTGTTTGCTGTTCACAGAATGACTAAAATAGCTGGGATAAGGAGAAAACAGAAAACTTCAACTTACATGTACTTGAAAAAACTCACCCTTTAATATTTTTGAGCATTTGTATAATATGTAAAAGCACAGGTATATCATTTTAAAGTAAATAAATGTGTTAAGGGAATGTGTTAACATATTTCATTGATATTTGTGCATATTACAATAGACTGGAAGCCACTACCTTAGGAATCACTTCAGTGTTGGATCACTTGCTAATAATAATAGTAATTCCAATTTAGTAGTTAGTAATTATGGAGTAATTTTTTGTGTGCTGGTACTGGGGCTTGAACTCAGTGCTTGCTTACCTTGCTCACTCAAGTGCTCTTGCTTAGCTTTTTCATTCAAGTTCTCTACTGCTTGAGCAGATACATCCACTTCTGACTTTTTGCTGATTAAGCAGAGATAAGAATCTCCCAGACTTTTCCTCCCAGACTGTTTTCAAACTATAATCCTCAAATCTCAGCCTCTTGAGAGTTTCACAGATGTAAAGCTTCTACACCCAAGTGATAACTTTTTGTTAAGCATCATGTGGAGCATTTGTCATGGTCTATCATATTTGATTCTGCTAGCTCCATGCACTAGATACTACTGTTACCTTTATTTTTTTGTTTTTGTCAGCTGAGCCTGAACCCTGGGCCTGGGCACTGTCCCTCAGCTCTTCAGCTCAAGCTAATGCTGTACCACTTGAGCCACAGCGCCACTTCCAGCTTTTTCTGCTTATGTGATACTGAGGAATTGAACCCAGGGCCTCATGCGTGCAAGGCAAGCACTCTACCACTGAGCCACCTTCCCAGTTACCTTTATTTATTTATTTATTTATTTTTGGGTCTGGTCGTGGGGCCTGAACTCTTGGCCTGGGTGCTGTCCCTCAGCTCTTCAGCTCAAGGCTAGCGCTCTACCACTTGAGCCACAGCGCCACTTCCGGCTTTTTTTTCTGCTTATGTGGTGCTGAGGAATCGAACCCAGGGCCCTAAGCATGCAAGGCAAGCGCTCTACCACTGAGCCACCTTCCCAGCCCCGTTACCTTTATTTTATAGAGGAGTTACACACAATATAGAAGTGTTATTTGACTTAATTAAGGTTTATAAAAGACACAAGGATTTTTTTAAAAAAAAGTAACCAGGTGCTGGTAGCTCATGCCTGTAATCCTAGCTGCTAGAGAGCCTGAATTATGAGGATCATGGTTTGAAGCCAGCCCAGGCAGAAATGTCCATGAGACTCTCATCTCTGATTAATTGCGAATTAATCACCAGAAAACTCAAAGTGGAGCTTTGGCTCAAGTGGTAGAGAGCTATCCTCAAGAACAAAAGCTCAGAGACAGTGCCCAGGCCCTGAGTTAGAAAACTAATAAAAAGAAAGGAAAGAAAAACCTATTTGACATCTCCTTGAAGCATAACACTATCAATCTTTTTCTTTTTTTTTCTTTTTCTTTTTTGTTGTTGTTGGTGGTGGTGTGGGGCTTGAACTCTCAGGGCCTGGGATACTGTCCCTAAGCTTTTTTTGCTCAAGGCTAGTGCTCTATTACTTTGAGCCACCGAGCCACTTCCAGTTTTCTGGTGGTTAATTAGACATAAGAATTTCACAGACTTTCCTGCCCATGATGTCTTTGAACCTCTATCCTCAGATCTCAGCCTCCTGAATAGCTAGAATTACAGATGTGAGCTACCAGTGCCTGGCCTCTATTTTTTTTTTTTTTACATCTTAGGAAGCACTTTTTCCAAGTATCAGCTTATTTTATCTTTTAAACTAAACTAGATATGTGTAGCATAATAACCTCATTTTACACAGGAAGAAAACTGAGGCTAACATCTTTGTTTATTCATAAGTGAATAAATAATTGATTTATTTAATAATTTTTTCCTAAGCACTCAGTGATGTGTAGTTAGTTCCTGGGGATAAAGTGATCAACAAAACAGACAAAGCCGTTATTTTTTTAGAGCATATAGTTTAGGGCAGGAGTTGGTAAATATTTTTTTATTAAGCATCACCAAATATTTAGGATTTATGAACCCTAGATGTTTCCGCTGCAAGTACTCAACTCTGCTGTTATAACAAAAGCAATCTTGAACATTGTGTGTATATATATATATATATATATATATATATATATATATACACACACACACATATATATGTGTGTATATTATATATATGAATTATATATAAATATATATGTATATATATATGCACAGCTGTGGTCAAATAAAGCTTTATTTACAAAAACAAGTATTAGGCCAGATTTAGCCTCTAGGCCCTAATTTATGGATCCCTACTCTAGAGGGAAAAACAAAATCTAAGGGAGCAAACAATTGGACCTGATCATTTAGGTAATGAGAATGCTGTGAAGAAAACAAGAGTGTGATGTGATAGAAGGCTTTGTAATTCTACTCTGGTTACGTTATTCAGGAAAACCCTCAGGATACAGCATTTGAAATAAAATCTTTCCTTTCCTTTCCTTTTTCTCTCCCTTCCTTCCTTTCTTTCTTTCTTTCTTTCTTTCCTTCTTCCTTCCTTCCTTTCTTTTTCTTTTTCTTTTTTTGCTTATGTGGTGCTGGGGAATTGAACCTAGGGCCTCAGGCATGCAAGGCAAGGCTCTACCACTGAGCCACCTTTCCAGACCCTTCTTTCTTTCTTTCTTTTTTTCTTTCTCTAGCTCTCTCTCTCCCTCCTTCCCTCCCTCTTTCCCCCTTTCTTTCTCTCTCTCCTTCCTTCCTTCCTTCCTTTTTTTCTTTATTTCTTTCTTCCTTTCACTGGGACTCAAACTTAGTTCCTGACACTTCTAATCTGACATCCAGAAACAACCATGAAAAGGAGTAGGGAAGAGTATTCCAGGCCTAAGAAACAGATGGTGCAAAGGGCATATTTGAGGAATAGAGTGTGGTAGATGTGGTGCAGGAGTTAAACCACGATCAGATAGTTATCACAGACCACAGGAGGAAGCAGAAAAACTGGCGCTGAGATATATCCCTTCTTTCTGCCTATAAATCATTTTATCAGGCAATTCTCTTCTTGGGGAAGGAGTCCAGATCAACTCATAGTGTTGCTGAGTCTTTGGGCAAATAGACTCTGAGATGTAGCTGTGATTTGTACTGTTGCTGGTCCTACAGAGGCTGGGGAAAATACTCACTGAAATAGGTCTTGGAAGTTGAGCCATCCATGGTGGCTTTGTGGAGACACCAGGAGTTTAGTCTTCAGGTTAGGGCACTCTGATGCAATGGACTCCACTGCTTGGGCCACCTCTTCACTGGCCACAATGCACTTGGCCTTGGATACTTTCAGTCGGTAGAGGATGTCTTTTGCTGTCAGCTGGGTTGTTCCTGGCATGAAGACAAGCCCTGTGAAGGATAGCGATCTCTGAGCTGAACAGTACTGCTGTCCATAGTGTATGTCTGTGGATTATGGGAAACTTGGGCTTTGGACTTGGGTGAGGAGAAAGCTCAGAATGCAGCCATCATCTAATCCTGCTTGGTCTTCAGGGCCATTCCACAGGACCCTGATCACTAGGAAACTTTTAGATTACTGGCTTTGGAGTCTGACAGACCTGGGTTTAATCTTAGCCTTAGTATCTTTTTGACCTTTATTTCTCTGTGCCTTTCTTACTTCATCTATAAAATGGGTAAAATTGTGTCTTCTGGCATATAGGGGACATTATAGTGGTTGGGTATTAATATGTAGCATGTTAATGTAATATTTGAATAATTATTAAGCAACACTTAAATAGCACTTTGCACCTTGTGACACATCCTCACAAATACCATTTCATTCAGCTCTCTCAACCAGTAGTCTCCAAAGTGAGTTTTGCAAGAAAATCCATTGAGAATTTAAAAAAAAACAAGAGAACATCAAGAAATTATTGATAACAGGATTTTAAAAATGTTGTTAGCTTTTTGTATGCTTTATAATACTATATTAGTACAGCAGAATAATATTGGAAGATGTGTCCAGAAATTTTACTGGCAAATTTTGAACTCTGATATGCTCAGAAGACTGCTGTGCTAAGCAGTCCTAACAGGTCCATGCAATTGTTATTTGGTAGAACATGAGATTTGGCATACCTGATAAGTGGTAGAACCAGCTCTCAGATCTCTAGATCCCAGAGGTTTAACAACACAGAAAGATGCCTAAAGTATATGACTATACATAATGTATCTTCCTTTCTCACTTCTTTTTAAACTGGCTGTAGCTAGCCCTGGTGTCAAATGTACCAGTTCGAAGGAAATGATAAATGGCAGAGTTAGATATTAGACAGAAAAGAAGTTTGTACTTTTGAAGTAAATCAATGAGAAGCAATGGCATTACAGGTAACCTTGTACTGAACACACTGAATGCATGGTATTTTACTATAAACTAGTAACAACTCACCCAAGGATTGTATATTTCTTTTTTCTTTTTTTGCCAGTCCTGAGGCTTGAATTCAGGGTCTGGGAACTGTTCCTCAGCAATTCAGGTCAAGCACGCTATCATTTGAGCCACAGCTCCACTTCTGTCCTTTTCTGTGTATGTGGTCCTGAGGAATCGAACCCAGGGCTTCATGCACACTAAGCATCACCCCCAGCCCTCACCCAAGGGTTGTAAAGTCAGTAAGGTGGCAAGAGCCAGAATTCAAAGACATATTTTCCTGGGCTGTATACTTACTTATTTCATGGTAAGTTCCTGAAGTAAGCTAAATAGGAAGATGTGTAGTTACATTTCTAGGAAGGAGACTGTTAATGAATATATATTTTTAAAATTTTTAGATAGTATTCCCTCTTGGTTAATAAATATGTGAAGATAGGAAAATTGATTAAGAAAACATCTTAGAAGAAGGTGCCAGTGTCTCATGTTTGTAATCCTACTTACTCAGGAGGGTGAAATCTGAGGATCACAGTTCCAAGCCAGTCCAGGCAGATAAATACAAGAGGCTCTTATTTCCAATTAACCGGTTAAAAGCCAGAAGTCAAGGTCTGGCTCAAGTGGAAGAGCATCAGCCTTTAGCGAAAATGCTAAGTTAGAGTATAGGGACCTGAATTCAAGACTCAGTATTGACACAAAAACAAAGAATCCCCTCAAACTCTGACATGTACTCACAAATGGACATGTTTGATCAAAACTCTTTTGTACAATGACTTAAATATTAAAAAAAAAGTAAGGGACTGTGTTCAGGCCCTGAGTTCAAGCCTCAGTGACAGTACACACGTAAAAAGAAGACAAAAATAAGATTGGCATTTTTTTCAGTTCATAAAATGCTTATTTATTGTTTCTGACTTGACTCATGACTCAGAAAATACAAAACTTAAACATTAAAAAAGATTATGCAATGTTCATTCAAGTATAAATATAAAATATTGTAATTCTAGCTACTCAGGAGGCTGATCTGAGGATTGTGGTTCAAAGCCAACCTGGGCAGGAAAGGTCATGAGACTTTTATTTCTAGAAAACTGGAAGTAGCTCTGTGGCTCAAGTGGTAGAGTGCTCTCCTTGAGCTGAAGAACTCAGGGACAGTGCCCAGGCTCAAAGTTCAAGCCCTATGACCAAAAAAAGAAAAAGAATATATATATATATATATATATATATATAAATAAAAAAAATATTATGTATCTTAAAAATCACTTACATCTTACAAATCAGTACCAGGACTTAAATCCAAGACCTTGCACTTTCTAGGCAAATACTCTACCACTTGAATCACATCCTCAGTCCCACCACTTTTTCTTTTTTTGGTTGGTCATGGGGTCTGAGCTCTGGGCCTGGGCGCTGTCCCTCAGGTCTTCAGCTTAAGGCTAGCGCTCTACCACTTGAGCCACAGAGCCACTTCCAGCTTTTTCTGCTTACGTGATACTGAGGAATCGAATCCAGGGCCTTATGCATGCGTGGCAAGCGCTCTACCACTGAGCCACCTTCCCAGCCCCACCACTTTTTCTTAATGACTAATAAATAATTAATCTCCTGGGTGGATTTGTGATGTGGTTGTGGTCAATGGATAGATCTCCAGCTTGGGGACTGGGAGACTATGTATAGTGGATTTCAAATAGCAAATATTTTAGGCTTTGTTGCCTACACCTCACAGTTATATTAATGTATTTTCCCATATGCTATATAGTACAAGTCATCTCAATATTAATATAAAAGATTTAATAATTACAAGTTAGAAGACAGTATTTTCAGCTGCATGCTTTACATTTGAGATGTGTGCGTGTGTTGTTTGTGCTGGTCCTGGAGTTTGAACTCAGGGTCTGGGCACTGTCTTTGAGCTTCTTTTTGATGCAAGCTAGTGCTCTTCTACCCCTTGAGCCATGTCTCCAGTTCCAGCTTATTTTTTAGTAGTTTACGAGACATAGAATCTCACTAGCTTTCCTGCCTACTCTGGCTTTGAATTGAGATCCTCAGATCTCAGCCTCCTGAGTAGCTAGGATTACAGGCGTGAGCCACTAGCACCTGGATACATTTGAGTTTTTGATGGTACCAAGGTTTGAACTTAGGGCCTCAAGTTCTCGCTCAGGTTTTCTTTCTCACAGCTGATACTCTGTCACTTCAGCTATACCTCCAACCTGGCTTTTTTGCTGATTAATTAGAGATAAAGTCTTGCAGGTTTTTCTGCCCAGCTGGCTTTGGACCACAAATCTCAGATACTTAAGAAGCTAGGATTACAGCTAAGAGCTACTGGCTTCCAGCTTGATTGAGTGTTTTGAGTATTACCTTCTGTTTGGTTTTCATAATATGTATAAGTTCATTTAACTACTATTAGATATGTATTTTTATGACAAACTACCCTAATCTTCTCCCAGCTCACAATGGATTTCACATTTTAAGTTCGCTTTTGTAGTAATGCAAAAAATTTAAATAACGCTTTTTGATGTATCATATTAGTAGCAAATCCATTTTTCAATACTATTATGAAATTCTTTTAAAAAAATTCTTATTAGGTTAACAGTATGATTTTATTATCTCACAATAATTTGATAAAGATAATTTGATAAATATAATTAATATTTTGATAACTATAATTAATGATCAAGGACAATATGTAAATGAATGATCATGGCCATATCAAAACTTTATAAAAACAGATTGTTGGTTTACAGGACCTGGTTTGCTGATTCTGCTGTAAAGGAAAAAATTTTATTTGGGGTGCATTATATTGCTACTTTGGGATGAAGTGTGTAATTGAATATGTTAATCTTTTTGTGGAAAGGAATGGAGTTTTTTAAGCTGAGGTCTACATTTGTTCATGTTCTCACAAATCAAGGAATTCTAAAATACCTCTTTTCCTTTTTTTTTTTTAACCTCTTCTCTTTTTTGTATTTTCTTTCTTTCTTTCTTCATTTTTTGGGAGGGGTGGGAGGTGCTGGTCATGGGGCTTGAATTCAGGGTCTGGGCACTGACCCCAAGGGGTTTTTTTTTTTTTTTTTGCTCAAGGCTAGTGTTCTACCACTTTGAGCCACAGCTCACTTCCAGTTTTCTGGGGGTTAATTGGAGATAAGAATCTCACAACTGGGGGTTGGCACTGACCTGTCCGCATGCAAGCCACATTGATAAGCCACCATTCAGGGATTCTGGGTAGAATCACAGCCACTCGGTCTCCTCTCTGCAGGTTGCAAGGCTTGGTGAGCATATTGGCAGCCTTTCGGGATAAGGTACTCAGGTCTCTGAAGCTCCATTTCACCTCGTCTCCTTGGCCATTCACCCACCACAGGGCTGGGTTGGCTGGTCTCTCCCCAATCTGGCCCGATGACATATCGAAAAGAGAAAAAAAAGTTGCTATGATTTGGAAGTGTCATGGAAAAGCCCACTTATTAAAGGTTTGATTCTACCACCTCCCAATAATCTGTGGCACTAGAGTCCAAGCTGGGGCCTAGAGGGAGGGAGTTAAGTTATTGGGAGTCATGCTCTTGAAGGGGATGTGGGATCCTAGACTCTTCCTTTTTCTTGCTCACTTTGCTTCCCAGCTACCCTGAAGTGAACAGGCCAGGCCTTCTCCCCCATACATTCCTCCCACAAGGTACTATGCTGTTACAGGCCCAAAGCAGCAGGGTCAAGCAGCCATTGACTAAAACCTCTAAAACTGTGAGCCAAAATAAAGAACTCTTTCTTTTAGGTTATTTATCTCAGCTATTCTATCCCAGTGATGGAAAGCCAACTAATACAGAAGGCCTATATGTCTGGTTATCACATAGCTAAAACACCTGCCATTCCTCCTCCTTAACACCTGTTCCTGAGCAGTCTAGTTTGTCTTTGGGGAAACTATTCCTTACCTATTAAACATGACCTTGCTGAGACAATTCATCCAGGAGCTTAGGTGGGCATGTGACCAAAGTTGGGCCAATCAAATCCTTTATCCTTGGACTTTTGAGTTTTCCAAGAACCAAAAGGTAGCAAGCAATTGCAGTAAAATAGTTAATATTTATGAACTTCCCAAACTCCCTGTAGTTTTCCTGGTTTCTTTCTTCACTAAGACAGACTCTCCAGAATCTACCCCAATTTGGGGAGCTCTCACATATTTTTCTGATAAATTTCTTTCTTGCTTAAGTTAGATTCTGTTCACCCAAATAACCTTAAGGGGAATACCAAGTTTGATCAGGAACCTGACATGTTTTAGTACCTGAACTTTGAAGTGTAGGTTTTATAGGCAGGGATAGGATAGAGATGGGTATCACTTAATTGATTTCTGGAGGAAGCTTCTCAAGGATCATACAATAGAGTGAGTCACAAGTATTGGAAAAACCTCTGTGCTTGTTGCATTTCCTGGGAACATATCATTCCTTCCTTTTCTTCCCATTCCCCCCAATCTGGAATACCATCCTGCTTGAAAAATACTTCAAAGCACAATTTACATTTCAGTACATCTGTGAGCTTTCTTAAGCCTCCTTCTTTTCCTCATGATTTTGTCCATGTTCCATATCAGGCAACTCCATTGCCCCTGAATGGTATCATATTACAGGTATGTCCTAATATGGGTGTAGACCAGTAAGATCAGGGACTTGGTTCATGTTCTTTTGGAGCTGTGTGATCTTGGATAAGCAGCTTAACTTCTGTGAGGGGATAACTTGTTATCCCCTCATGAAATTATCCCCTCCCTGGCGTAGTTATGGGGATTTGATGAAATATTATAGGTTAGCATTTCTCAATCATTTGATCAGTGTTTCTGCCAGATCTGTCTGCATCTGCACTATTGTGCTTGTTATTTGTCTTTAATTCAACTCATTTGTATATGTCTACTTGAGAAGGGAAATGCATTTAATTAGCACTATAATTAGAAAATCAGCAGTCTTGTTTAAAAAAGGCTGCAGAAATATTTCAGTGAAAGTAAAAGTATCACCATAAATTTTACGTAAAGATTAACAACGTTTTTGTGTGTTTGTGTGTCAGTACTGGGGCTTGAATTTAGGGCCTCAAAGGGCTTCACAGTCTTCTTTTTTTTTTTTTTTTTTTTGCTGAAGTCTGCTGCTCTACCACTTGAGCCACACTTCCTCTTCCAGTTTTTTATTATTGTTATTTTAAGATAAAAGTATCTGGATTTGTCTGCCTAAGATATCTTGGAACTCCGATGCTCAGATCTTAGTCTCCCGTATAGCTAAAATTATAGGCACAAGCCACTGGTGCCTAGCAAATTTTCTAGTTTTTGAGGCAGGATCTTACTTTGTAACATAAGTTAGCCTCTGCCTCCTGAGTGCTGGGATTGTACATGTACACTACCATTCCTGGCTTGCAATTGATTAACTCCTATCTGCTCTCTCTGTTCAGAAGAGACTTCAGCAATGTAAGGTATGAATGATGCTGATTTTCAAGGACATTTTTCCTCATGTAATTAATAGGAGGACTATTTTAGTGTTCTTGAATATCTTGTATATTGAGGGCCTAACATCTACTTCTGAACCACAAGTCCCACAGTGCATTTTGATAAGCACTGAAAGGTAAAGTGCTTAGCTCAGTGCTGGCATAGTGTGGAGGAACAGTAAAGAAGGCCCTTTTCCTACTCCAAGATTCTGGAAGGCATGCTTGCTTGATTCTTGTCGCTCTCTGATTCTTCTCCAATTATTCCAATGATTACTATACTGATAAAACTAAAGCTGAAATTACTACCTTTTTTTTTTTTTTGTTGTTGTTGTTTTTTGGGTCCAGTTGTGGGGCCTGAACTCTGGGCCTGGGCGCTGTCCCTCAGCTCTTCAGCTCAAGGCTAGCACTCTACCACTTGAGCCACAGCACCACTTCTGGCTTTTTTTCTTTTTTCTTATGTGGTGCTGAGGAATCGAACCCAAGGCCTCAGGCATGCAAGGCAAGCACTCTACCACTGAGCCACCTTCCCAGCCCTGAAATTACTACCTTTTTGGATAAGCCTGTGACCATCTCAAACCCAAAGAGATGTCTTTTGATTCATCATAGTGGAGGAAGTAGGGAAGGAGTGAAGGAACTAAGGAGGTTCCAGAGAAAGCTGTAAGTAGTTGAGTATCTATGATCACTGAGGAAAGAGGAAGGAAAGTAGAAAACAACAAAAGCTAAGGCAGGCTGGACACCATTGGCTTACACATGTAATCCTAGCTAGTCAGGAGGCTGAGATCTGAGGATCACAGTTTGAAGGCAGCCCAGGCAGGAAAGTTTGTGAAATTCTTATCTTCAGTTAAGCACCAAAAAAATTTAAAAAAGCCAGAAGTGGAGCTATAGCTCGAGTCGTAGAGCACTATCCTGGAACACAAAAGCTCAGGGACAACAGCCAGGCTGAGAATTCAAGCCCCAAGACTGGCACCAAAAACAAATCAAAACAAAACAAAAGCAAAAAACAACAAGTTAAGGCAGGTAAAAAAAATGAATTAAATAGAAAAGTTGACCACAAAGCAAGGAGAAAAAAGACAGAGATAGGGGAAGCATACAGTGAAGTCCAGCCATAATATACCTTCTCTTTTAGTGACCACTGATCTATCACATCCCCAGCAAAGTTAAAGTTCTTAGGCAGTGACATTTCACAACGATTGATGGCTTCCAAGTCAGCAAGAGCAAGGTGTGCCCCAAGTTGATGGTTTCTGTGGAAATGTCTGCCAGCTGGCTTGGTGAACCAGCTGAATCTAAATATCTGGTAGTGAAAAAAATTCATGATTCCACAGGACTTTGCTGGTGGAGAAGTACCACGGTCTGTGGGGAAAGATGGGTAGGGGGGTATCAGAAAAGATTTGGAAGTTGTCTTGTGGTACTACCTAGCAAGTTGAAAAACTTCCACCTTCAACTCCTTCCTTTGGAGTTGTTGCTCTCAGCCATTGATGGGTTTCCTTGCCATGGACTGTTCCTCTTCTTTCTGTCTATGACCAGAATGAATTCATAAATCACTATAATTCTGGATGCCAGTGCCTCAAGCCTTTAATCCTAGCTACTCAGGAAACTGAGATTGTGGTTCAAAGCCAGCCTAGGCAAGAAAGTCTGTGAGAGTCCAAAAAAGTTGGAAGTGGAACTGTGGCTCAAGGACCCCAGGACCAGCGCGCGCGCGCACACACACACACACACACACACACACACACACACACACACACACTCTCACACACTCACTCATTATTACTATAGGATTGTCAAGTTCAAGTCTTCTGTCTCTACTTTCTCTCCAGCAGTGTTGCCTGGATTGGCATTCAAGGCCTCCTTCCAATTGTCTATTTTATTCTTGTATTTATTCCATCTGCTACTTCTTCTGGGTGAATATCTTCTTTCAGTAAAAGTAGTCCATTTACTTTTCATGAATATCCATGAAATCAGGTAACTTGAGGGGGTGAATGGGGTTGGGATAGATGAGGAAAAATGATGGAAGGAATGGCATTGATCAAGATGCATTGTACTCATGAACTGACATACTGAATTGAAATCCTCTTGTATGCCTACTTAAAGATAATAAAAAGGGAATATTCATATTCATGTTTACCACTGAGATGTGGCTTGCCATTTTCCCTGATACTGGTTGCCCTGCCTTCCTCTTCTCTTCAAGCCTCCAATATAATTGGTTAGAAACCTTCAATAACCTGGCTCAGATATGTTCTGGCTATAAGACGTTACTCCTTAATGATCTCATCTATCAAATGGGAAAATATAAGACCTAACTCCCAGTGTTATTACAAAGGCTTAATGAGAAAATATGTGCAACATGCCTAGCTTGTAAAAAAGAGTTCATTTGTAAACTTCTTATATTTTAAGATTATTTTCATTAGTGCTATTGTGGTGCAGTTTTCTGAGACAGTCTTCCAATATTAATTAGGAGAGCTGGACTTTAATCCCAACTCTTTCAAGACTAGCTTTGTGACATTAGTAAAGCCACTCACCCTTTCTGAACTCCATCTATAATCTAACTTTTTTCCACCTAATTCCATAATCCCCCTTTCCTTTGAATTTCCTTAACTTGGATCATACTACTCATGTGAGACTTATCCAGCTTGTATTATTAATTATTGTTTTTATATATGTTCTTTGTTTCTGGAACACACCCAGAATGTATAAGCAGAAACAGTATATCAAATTAATAGTATAAATATGACTCAATAAGAAAAGCCAATGTTCATGAAGTTCCTGGTCTAGGCCAGGTCGTTTATGTACCTGATGTCATTCAACACTGATGCCAAATTTATGAGGCTGAAGCTTCTTTTATTTCAATTTTGCAGATGAAGAAACAAGCTCATTCAGACTGAAGGACTTGCCCAAGGTCATTCATCTTGTGGTGGCAAGGTCTGAAACTTTAGAGGCTGACTTCAGAGCTTGGTTAATCAATCTTCTTGCTATTGTATCCTTTATGCTACTTTCTTCAATAAAGTTTTCCTCCCACACTCCTTCCCTCCCTTCTTTCTTTCCTTCCTTTCTTCCTTCTTTCCTTTTCCCCTCCCTTGCTTCCTCCCTTCCTCCCTTCCTTCCTTCCTTCCCTCCTTGTTTTTCATTCAGTGGTACCAGGGTTTGAACTCAAGGTCTCACATTGGCTATGATCCCACTGACTCACATCTCCACTGAAGGTTTGAACACCATCACTTTTTGCCCTTCAATTCTACGCAGTTGATTTGCATAGAATGGAAAAATCTGCAGGTGCAAAGGGAACCTGGATCTGCAGCATTAATGACAACTAAACAAAGAACAAATAGTGCAGGAAATGCTTTTGTCTCATTGTTATCAACCTTTTGGCTGCCCAGCTTCATGTAGATAAGTCTATTTGGTACAAATATAATAATTTAGACCCAGAGAGCTATATCTGGCAATGTGGTTGATGTTCAGCTCTCTGTTGTGTCAAGGCAGTAAGCAAGATCATGTATGGAAATATTACAATATGTGTTAATAATTATAATATATATCAAAAAATAAATGAGACATACTTCAGTAATTTTTAGGAAATGTGGTAGAGGTATCACAAGAAGAAAGGAATAAAAAAATAAGAGTAGGCTGTACTAATGACTCACTATCTGCCCAAAGTGAGACCCTCATTCTCCTAACACACACACAACATACATGTACACACATGCATATGTGATACATTGACATACTATGCATATACATACACTTAAATTCACAGTTATTTCTCTGAATGACTTTTTCCAAGCTGATGAACCTTTCAGGCTTTCATTTTCATTCATCAGTGACAAAACTATATTCACTGGCTAGTTGTGAGCTTTTTATGATACTGGGGACTGAGGACATGGCTATGACCCAATAAATACTGAGCATGAAAAAAATCAAGTGCTATTTATGCTGGAAGACTTTGGCTGTTTGACATACTAAAAATAATACAAAAGCTATTGGATTGGAGCCATTGATATTTACTTCTGCCTGTTCTAATGTCACACCAGTATGCCTGCCACCTGCTACTTTGAAGCATTGTGGGCACCACTTCCATCACTTTAATCTTTCTTGGTTTGGTTTAATAATAAACTGGAAAGATTTCCAAGACATGAGATATCTAGAGCTCTCTTGCTTCCTGATCCTAAGGAGAATAACATGAAATGATACCAGATAGATTTTCTAATGCAAATCTCTTCTCAATCTTCTCCAAGTTAAAAGATGATGATTTTCATGAATCATTTTTATTTCCATGGACAAATTTAACATATTATAATAAATCATAAATATATCAACAAATAAAAAATTACAGTATGTAAATAGAATGGAAATGAATACATACTTTAGCATTTTATGTATTCTATACATGAGCAATGTGAAGTAGGTATTACATAAGCACATGTAATTATTAGTAATCCATACTATCATCTTAAAGAGTAAGATTTTTAATTAAACTATTTTATGATTTTGTCAATAACGTGTCTTCTTTTCTGTCTCTTTGATTTGCTTTTGAGTTTTCAGAATAGATTCAAGGCTAATAAGCCTGATAAGACCCTGTACAAGGGAGGCTAATAAAAATATAGCTTGGTTTTTTTTTTTGGGTCCGGTCGTGGGGCCTGAACTCTGGGCCTGGACACTGTCCCTCAGCTCTTCAGCTCAAGGCTAGCACTCTACCACTTGAGCCACAGGGCCACTTCTGGCTTTTAAGTTTTTGCTTATGTGGTGCTGAGGAATCGAACCCAGGGCCTCGAGCATGCAAGGCAAGTGCTCTACCATTGAGCCACCTTCCCAGCCCAAAAAAATATAGCTTGTTAAGACAGTTTTGAGAACATTGTGGTAATATGTATATGGTGCTCAACACTTTGCTGTCACAGCTACCAATGCAGAAAGTGCTTTAATTACTACTTTAAAATATGACATATAAATTGGGAGCTTACCTTTTCTTCTTTATCGAGATAAAAGTCAGTGGGCTCTGTCAAGAGGATGGGCCCAGGAGAATTTTGTTGACCTCACCCTTTCAATAAAATCAACAGAGTGCTCACTTCAGCAGCACATATACTAAAATTGGAACGATACAGAGAAGATTAGCATGGCCCCTGCTCAAGGATGATATACAAATTTGTGAAATAAAGTCAACAGAATATGAATTTCATATTAATTTATGTTTCAAAATAAGACTTACCCATATAATACTTCGAATCCTGAGTTTCTCAAATTTTAAAACATAAAGCCTGGCAAATACATAATATAATTTGGAACGATATTATGTTTCTCATTAATACAAGTATATAAATACCTTATATAAATATATAGAATTAACCATTGCTATGGTTAAACATGAATTTAAGACATAAAAAAGACATGTTGGTGGCTAAAAAATAAAGAGAAAGCATTAAGGAGACTTTAAGGAGACTACAAAACTGAGGGGCTGCCATTTTGTATTGAGCAGAATTGTTTCCTGACTTGGGGTTTTGTGGTAAGTTAATCTGATTCTAGGTTCAAATATAAGAGTTGTTGACAGGTTTAACTGAAATATCATTGTAGAAATTTGAATATAATCACATGAACAAAATAAAATACCTTTAGAAAATTCCTCTGAAGGGCTGAGAGTATGGCTCAGTGGTAGAGTGCGTGCCTAGCATTCATGAAACCCCAGGTTCAATTCCTTAATACCACATAAACAGAAAAAGCCTGAAGTGGTGCTGAAGCTCAAGTGGTAGAGCACTAGTGTTGAGCCAAAGAAGCTCATATACAGTGCCCGGTCCCTGAGTTCAAGCCCATGACAGGCAAAAAAGATAAAAATAAATAAATAAAATAAAATGCCTATGAAAGTAAGAGTTGAACTAAGTAATTTCTAAGGCTTTAGTGACTTCTAGAGTGTTAAGAGAAACATTATCAGTGGAAAAAAATTATTGAGCAATTGAAGACTTATCACATTAATAACATCTATTTGTTATCTTGTTAAATTTTTCCCGCAGTCCTGAAGGAAGGTATTTTACCTCACATACATACAATTATTTTATATACAAGACATTGGGGGGCATTAAAAGGAAGTAATTTAGCACAGGCTGTTCACTTAGCAAGCAGCAGACATTCTAGCCCACATTTGTTCTCACCAGGTCCAGTGAAAGGAAAAGCTATCTCTGATTTTTGTACATTTTTACCAGTCTTTATAGAGTAGAACAGTTCAACTGTCAAAGAGAGACAATCTTCTTTGCTTAGGTTTTGCAGTGATCCAATTATGGCATTGCAGTGTGCCTCTTTTCTGCTGCTGTGCTAGAGTCACAGTCATTTTGATGTTAGGACATGCACCTACCTTACTAGCAAAAGTTATTATGGATCCAGAAAGATCTTCCGCATCTTCACAAAGACTCTCAGTTCTGTATCTGGTAGAAAGTTGGCTTTTGCCCCCTTCTTTTAGGGGCATCTATGTCATTGTGGCTTCAAGTCTCAGATGTGCAGTTGGGAGGATTGTTATCCTCTGGGAGGAGAGATTTTGTTTCTCTGGACAACCTGTGGTTAAAGAGACAGTAGCTTATAAGACTGAGTAGAGAAAGGAAATACAGGGGCAACCTCCTCCCACGGTTCATTGCCAAACAAAAGCTGAGCCCCAGGAGATTAATGGATTAGTCTCATTCCTGGAAACAATGATATTGAGATCCATGCAGAGCAAATAGTCCATCCCAGAATCTCTTGATATGATTACCAAGTAGTCCAGGACACTAGCATGCTCAGTTATGGTGGTGTAGTGATTCTTTTTTTATTATATATATATATATATATATATATATATATATATATATATTAATGTTTTTTGGGTCCGGTCGTGGGGCCTGAACTCTGGGCCTGGGCGCTGTCCCTCAGCTCTTCAGCTCAAGGCTAACTCTCTACCACTTGAGCCACAGCGCCACTTCCGGCTTTTTGCTTTTTGCTTATGTGGTGCTGAGGAATTGAACCCGGGGCCTCAGGCATGCAAGGCAAGCACTCTACCACTGAGCCAACTTTCCAGCCCTGGTGTAGTGATTATAATCTGGGCAAAACCTAACAAAGTAGGACAACCAAATAAACCACATTTGAACTGTTTTTTGTTTTTTTTTTTTTTTTGATCAGTCTTGGGACTTGAACTCTGGGCCTGGCTACGGTCGCTGAGTTCTTCAGCTCGAGGCAAGCACTCTACCACTTGAGCCACAGTGCCACTTCTGGTTTTCTGGTGGTTAATTGGAGCTAAGAGCCTCAGGCCTTTCCTTCCTGGGCTGGCTTTGAAAAGTAATCCTCAGATCTCAGCCTCCTGAGTAGCTAGGATTATAGGCATTAGCCATCAATGCCTGGATTCACATTTAAACTCTTAACTGATTGATTAGAAGAGATATTGAGAAATCTTTCGAACTTTTGGCTTTTATTGAGCACCTACTGGGACTATGGTTAAAGGAACAGCACTGTTAAATACATGCCTAAGGTTATTTCATTTTGGAATCATTTGTTTGTCTGAACAAACACAACAAAAGAGAAGTACTAATTTTGGCATTATAGTTGTGACAAATGTATAATGATTATGTAAGGTATTAACAATGGAATTTGGGTGAAAGGCATAATGGAAGTCTTTATATTGGCTTTGCAACTTTTCTGTAAATCTAAGACTATAATATAAAATAAAAATCATGTCTAAAATTACAACTACAGAAATATAATGAAAGATTGATTATATACATACATATGTAGTGCATAAAAATCAGTATGTAAGAGGAAATAATGGTGGCTATGTTTAATCTGATCCAACATTTGAGAAGTTGCATCATGCCCACAAGTGGACATATTTAGTGAATAAATAAATATGGCTACTGAGGAACAGAATAAAGTATTTCCTCTAAAGTAGATGCAGATAAGTAAGATAGGGGGGAAATAGGGGACAAAATAGGGGGGGAAATAATGGGAAATAAGTACACAAAATACCAAAGTCTTACACATTTGTTAGAAGAAAGCCAGAAATTTGGCTAGAGCTTTCTTTCTAAAGAGAGTTTGTCTATAAGACAAACGCAACACAGACCAGTTGTTCAGAAATATGTTAACTTTTTCTGTTATTGAGACCAGATGAAAGTTTTAACTTATTTTTACTTTTTTTTTTTTTTGCCAGTTCTGGGGCTTGGACTGAGGGCCTGAGTGCTGTCCCTGAGCATCTTTTTCTCAAAGCTAGTGCTCTACCATTTGAGCTATAGCTCCTTTTCCGGCTTCCTTTATTTTTTTATTGGAGATAAGAGTCTCATGAACTTTCCTGCCCAGTCTGCTCCAAACTTCAACCCTCAGATCTCAGCCTTCTAAGTCACTAGGATTACAGGTATGAGCCACTGGTTCCTGGCTCAGAAGGAAGTTTTTTTCTCTTAGATCTTCCTATGAAAATCATCTTCAATATCATCATACACTAAACTCAGCAATCAGCTTTTTTCTAGTTTATTTCTTTTTTTTTTTTTTTTTTTTTTTGGGTCCGGTTGTGGGGCCTGAACTCTGGGCCTGGGCGCTGTCCCTCAGCTCTTCAGCTCAAGGCTAGCGCTCTACCACTTGAGCCACAGTGCCACTTCCGGCTTTTTTTCTTTTTTTTTGCTTATGTGGTGCTGAGGAATCGAACTCAGGGCCTCATGCATGCAAGGCAAGCGCTGTACCACTGAGCCACCTTCCCAGCCCCTCTAGTTTATTTCTATACCCAAGCAAATAGCGTTTCAGCAACATACATTTTGATAAAAGCAAACTCTATGAAGGTTAGAAGCAGAGACATAGTTGGAACACAGCCATTAAGTCTGTATATTCTGCTGAGGAGGGGGTTTGGAACCAACATCCTCTTTAGAAAGTCAAGTCTGACGAAGACCATACATATATCAACTACACATAGCAATTATTGTCAGGGGAGAAATAATCACTGGACTACTACAGTATTTCAAGCATATAGTAGGAAATGGGGCATCAGAGACGAAAAAGATATGGCATCTTCCCAGGAGAGAAATTCTGGCTAGAGAGCAGTATTTAAAGAAATTAATGTATATGTGATTGGATAAACATGAAAGTGTTTATCGAGGGAACAGCTGGTTATACTCTAGAGATGTAGGAATCAGGAAATAGAAGCTATTATGGTGGTCATAGGGTTGAGAACACAGGCTACTCCAAGAAGTTGGTTGTCTGATAGACAAATCTAGGAATCTGTCTCATTTAGTATATGCTGGTTGTGTACTATATTTAGGTTCTGGAGTGGGGGATCTGAGGCAGGGCCCAATTTTCTCTCTCATGTGTATTTTATTTTTTTGTACTACTTTCTGAACAATTTGCTCCTAAAATAAACTCCTTACATTTCTTTCTATCCTAAGGGCCACCGTACAGTATTTGGGGTCAAGGCTGTCCAATCACTATCACTTGGGACCTGTTTGGCTCCCTGTGTATTCTCAAGTCTTTGATCCATTTGTATTGAAAGAGCTAATGTCTCCTTCTTACAAAGGACAGGGCATATTCTATTTTTCTTGAGAATATAGATGTCTTGTGGGAATCTCCTACTTCAACAAGAAAGCAAGATAATAAGTCATCATTGGATTGCCATCAGCTTTCCAATGCTTCTTTTGGAAGAACCAAGATTTCTTCTGAGGATTTTAAGCACCAAGGCCCTTATTATTCAGGAGACCCCAGGGAGCATGTGGACATGCAGTTTGGTCATTAGCTGTGCCTTCAGGGAGCATACTCCTTCTCTGCAACAGGCGGAACTATAGCAACTGAAACTGGGCATAGGTTTCGAAAGGAACATGTGAAATCATGTCAGAACAGAATCTACAATTAGATAAGTTATCTCCTTGACCAGAGACTTAGAACTTAGAATCATTTCTTAGGGTCTTAAAATCACATCAATTCAGAAGCAGAGTGTCATAAATTCTCAGTGATCTGCTGCTATTACTATGTCTCAGGACTTTCTAATGCATATTACCTTGAAATTTCCTGGTACATGCTATTATTTCCCTAATCCTCACAAAAATCCTGTGAAATAACACTGTAATTTTATAAGCAGAGTCTGAGAGATTAAGTAAATTGCGCAGGGCCAAGTTTTATTTTAACACTGTATTCTTTATGTTCTTCTTCTTCATCCTCATCTTCATCATCAATTTTTAGCATGTTGATGCCCAGCAACCTGTAATGATGACTAATGAATTTTCAAAGTATGATTATGAACTCATAAGTACTATATATAGGTAGTATATATAGTGTAAGTACTGCATACAGTATTTATAATACAATATATAGTAAATATAGATAAGAAATACTATATAGTAAATATAATATATAAAATTTATGTACTTTTTGCATAATAAATAAGTACAATATATAGTAAATATATGCAATATATAAATACTATATATAGTAAATATATAATATGTAACATATAATGTGGATATATACACATTGTTTTAATTTCCCTGTTGATTCCTCAACAAACACACAAGATTTCTGGATATTTCAAAAATTGTTAATCTATAACTGAAATTCAGCTAAAGTTTAGCAAAATACTAAATATTTTTAAATATTCCACCTTAAGATATGACCTTGTACACTGAGTGTTATCTCCTTCTAAATAATTATAAACTGGCATTACAAAATGAAACATCTGTATCATAGCTATGAAAATTATCAACTGGCTAGTGAGTATATTCCAGAGTTGCTTATAACTTGATATATTTTCTCTCTTCTATTAGACCATTAACTCAGTAAGGGTTAAAAACTAACTTCTTTATATTCTGCATGTGCAAAATAAAATTGTTTGAAGTAGCAAAAAAATGCTTAAACTGTCCAGAAGGGAATCTTCAGGCTGGCTTCTTTAGTCTTTTTTTCTCTCTCTTTTTAAAAAATTGTTATTTTTGTCAAGGTGATTTACAGAGGGGTTACAGTTACGTAAGTCAGGTAATGAGTACATTTCTTTTTGAACAGTCACCCTTCCCTTGCTTTTTCACAGGTTTTCCCTCCCTCTCCCCCTAGTTACATAGATCATTTTCAACACAGTCTTTAGTGTGTATCACTGCTGCATTTCTTCACCTTTTGTTCCACCATTTCAGTACTTCCCCTTGCCCTCCCCCTTGCATACAAGATAAAACGTACAGCAACAAAAACAGTGATAAAGGAGAACAAAAAATTCCCATTTCTACAAGTAAACACACTGGACAGTGAAAAGACAAAAAAATACATTTGGACATTCCCACAGTGAGAACAAAGGAGGGTAATCTTAGGAGAGAATGACCAAGGCTCAATATTCTATAGTCTTTTTGATGTGACCCCATTTGCCTTTGAAAGCTTTCTTATTTTCTGACACAATAAAATGCCCCATTTCATTTTGTACTTTTTCTGTCCCATTTCTAAAATCAGCCATATCTCCAAGAAGTTCTGATTTCCTTTAGTGAGAAATGATGTTTGTCATTCATTTAACTGACCACAATTTTCTATGGTGCTTTACTAATATAAGACTGACTAGCTATTAGTAGGAATAGTAATGTGTATGCATCTGTAATCCCAGCATTTAAGAAGCTGAGACTGAGCCAGGAATCGTTGGCTCATGCCTGTAATCCTAGCTATACAGGAGGCTGAGATCTGAGGATTGCAGTTCAAAGCCAGCCCGGGCAGCAAAGTCCATGAGACTATTATCTCCAATTAACCATCAGAAAACCGGAAGTGGCGCTGTGGCTCATGTGGTGGAGTGCTAGCTTTGAGTTGAAATTCTCAGGGACAGTGCCCAGGCTCAGAGTTCAAGCCCCATAACAGATCAAAAAAAAAAAAAAAAAAATGAAGCTGAGACTGGATAGCTGAGGACTGACTATGTAGTACAGGTTCCATAGAGAGACCCTATCTCAATAATTTACTAATAAGGTTTAGCATAACAAAGTGTTAGACAAACAAGTGGCATTTTAATCATGGTGAATTAAGAAGTCCTGTGGCAGGGCAGTAAATTGCCTGGACCTCCTAGCTTGTGTTAATCAGTATTATATGTCTATATCTATAGTTGGTTGGAACCTAGGATTATTTAGGATACAGTTGCTCCTTAAATATTTACTAATTAATTAATTAACACTTTGCACCAGACTGTGCAGGATTCTAGCGCTACATAAGCTACATAAGATACACATTACCTCACCATTGCTGGAATAATAATAAGAAGAAAAACATGGGACATGGCTGTCACTTCTCCCTGTCTTCATTCCCTCTGGAACAAGCTGATGGCACATATTCACACTTAGTTCAGAATGACTGGTGGTATTTTCTTTTTTACTCTTTAAGTAGTTGTGCAAAGGAATTTCAATTCAATATATCAGCTTATGAATACAATGCATCTTGATCAATCCCCTTCCATTGCTCCCGCGCCATCTCTTCCAACCACCCTCATCCCCTCAAGTTACCTGGTTCCATATTTACATAGGGACATTGAATATAATGACTAATTCTGCCCACCATTCTGTTCTCCTTTTGTCTGCCCTCCCCTTCTCATCTCACCCCATATGACAAAACATGTTTCAATTCCTGGTATTCATTTTGTTAAACTGTACATTAGCTGTTCAGAGGCATTACTTCCCTGAGTATACCATACTCTAGTCAGTTTGTGTATCTTATGTGTATGACCTATATATGTTTTCATATATGTTTATAATTTAGTTCTAACTTGAGTGGTAGTAGACAAGTAGAGACAAGGATTGTGTTAGTATTGACTTCAGGCTTTACCTTCTGAGCCTCTGGCCTGAGTGAGCTTCTTCTCTAAGGGAGATATAGTTGCTATACAGCAATAGTACCTTCAGAGACTTTTAAGGGGACAAAAGAACTTTTAGGTACCAGAGTAATTGATTGAAACACTGAGTCCACTTCATCCTTTGGGCCAGTAGGCAGGACACCAGGTGCAGCCAGCAGAAGAAAGAGCCATTGTTTCCTATGAATAGAAATAAAAAACCTATGTTTAAGAGTTTAAGTCAAATTAATGATATACATTTCAGGGCTCCAGGTGGTATAGTTTGGATTATCACATAGTTGACTTAGGCTTTATTCTAAATATCACTAAGGAAGTTTGTTGGCTGGCCACATTTCTCATTTATCCAGATGGACACTCATGTCATGAGAAATGGGTGGGGTCTCTAACAGCACAATACTTATTTTTAGAGCCATGACATTACCTTTCCTCACACCATTAGAATATAACCTGCAAGAAAGCAGGGATTTTTGTTTGATATTCTATCTTTAGCACCTTGGATAATGGCTAGCCCAAGGTAGCTTTCTCAAATACTACTTGTTAGTTGAATTAACACAATTTTCCCATAACAACATGGATTTGTGTAGGCTGTTCTCTGGAGATTTTGTTTTGCTCTTGCTTGGTTTACATAGAAAGCATCTGTGCCTTGAACCAGTCAGGATAAACTATACTATGATGTGAAATAAACAATCTCCCAAATCTCAATGATTTTAAAAACAACAGAGTGTTGTTTATTTCTTGTTCCCATTGCTTATCTGGCATAAATCAGCTGAGAGATTTTCTATGACTTGGAGGACTGAACAATTATTATTTGAAGGATTGTCAATAATGTTGAGGAGAGAGCAGTTGCATATATACTCTAACCTGCAAATGATGTAGATCATTCTAGCTCACAGTTCATTAACCAGAACTTGACATATGGCACTACTAGTAGGTACACATTTTGTAGGGTAATGATTATCAAAGTTGTAGTTTATTTATTTAATGTATTCTTTATTTAGGCAGTACTGAGGGTTGAACTAAGGACTATACTAGTAGGTACACATTTTGTAGGGTAATGATTATCAAAGTTGTAGTTTATTTATCTATTTAGTGTATTCTTTATTTAGGTAGTACTGAGGGTTGAACTAAGGACCTCTACTTGCTTGTCTTGGTTGCTCAGATTGTACCCTCCCACTTCAGTCACACTTCCAGCCTGCTTTTTTTTGTTGGTTGTGGGGCTTGAACTCTGGGTCTGGGCACTGTCCCTCAGCTCTTCAGCTCGAGGCAAGCGCTCTACCAGTTGAGATACAGCACCACTTCTGGTGTTCTGGTCGTTTATTGGAGATAAGAGTCTCATGGACTTTCCTGCCTGGGCTAGCTTTGAACTGAGATCCTCAGATATCAGCCTCCTGAGTAACTACAATTACAGGAATAAGCCACCACCAGCACCCAGCTCTCAGCCTGCTGGTTATGAAATGTCATAGGCTTTTCTGCCCAGGCTGGCTTTGAACTATGATCCTCTAGAGCTCAGCCTCTTGGATTATAAGTATGAGCCATTGGTACTGGGCAAGAATGTTTTAGATTTATTCTATTTCTAAAAGTTTTCATAACAACCCAAGAACACTTTCCTAGAAGAACAATACTTTTAAAAAGAAGTCAGACTGTGGATCTGAGGGTGTAGCTCAGTGAGAGAGTACATGCTTAGCCTCAGACCCTGAGTCTAGTCCCCTACATCCAAACAAAAACAACCCTCAAACTAAAATCACTTCCCCACATCACCCCAAATCAGACTGGTCATATTCAACAGACTTAGTCTTACATGCAACCCAGTGGCAATAATCACCAGCCTTTTGAAATCAGAGAGACTTGAGTTCAATTTCAGCTCTGCCACTTAAAAGTTGTATGACAGTCTGTAAAGATGGTCTATCTTTCCAGGATTGGCATTTTCATCTCTAAAATGGGTTTACCTCCTGAGTTTCTGCTCAAAATTCTACATCTGTAGTAAAGCAGTGCCTCATGCACAATTAGAAATGACCAATCAAATCCATTTCCAAATTGACTTCAGTATTCAAACACTACCAAGCATAACCAGTTGGGCTTAGTTCTGAACTTGAGCTCTGAGACAGAGAAACCAAAAAAAGAACCAGAGTGGTATGGGCAAGACCAACTCAAAGCCAGTGAAAGAAAGACCACGCAGGGGAGGAGATATGGAAGGTGTTCCTGTACTAACAACTTACCTCCATAAAGATCAAGATGGACTCCCAAAGACCTCTCTCTAGGGAGAGTTTATATTCTATTTTTGCTTTCAGTAAACTTGCTGTTTTACTACAAAGAACCAAATAAATAAAATGGATTTACCACACAGATAGGATCCTCTAGGGAAAGGCTTAGCCTACCACCTGTGGCTTGGTGTTTGATTTAGTACAGGTACTCAGGCTTGAGCTCAGAGCCTCCAAATCTTAAGGTGTTTTGCTCAACTCTTGGGCTCTACCAGGCCTTCACTTCTGTTTTTTTGCTGGTTAATTAGAGATAAGAGTTTTACATGAACTTTTCTTCTAGAGCTGGCTTGAGTAGCTATGACTGTAGACATGAGAAATAAGCACCTGGCTTAGTATTAACTTATTAATATTAAAAGAGAAATCGATAAAACCAAGAGAACACATACATATATTGTATGCTGGGCCTAAGCTTTGTTTACCTTGCTGAGTTCTCACAACAAGAGATGAGTCTAGAAGCTGGCCCCAACCCCCTTTCCTTGAGAGAGCTTTCCTTTGGATAGCTATAACCATATAAAGCAGCAAGATACCCTAAACCTCACAGGTCATATGGGTCACCTGAGAAGGCATTCCTTTGGGGCAGCTATGACCATGTAAGGCAGAAAGATTCCCCAAATCTCAGAAACAATTAACTGGCACTACTTCTCACTTCTCCTTTGTGAGAAGGGGTCTTCTTGCTGGACCTTTACTGGCAATAAACCTTTTCTTTGTCTTTTTTTGTACCTGTACATCTGCATGGTTTTCTGGCAAAGTCTAAAATACTTGGGCTGGGAACTAGGTTTATCTCGGTGAATTTGCTCATCAAGCTTCCCAGGAGCCTGGTTCTCAATTGCCTCTGTGCTAGTCACTTTCTCACTCTGAGAGTTGCAACCCCAAAGCCTGGACTTCTGCCAGACTGACACAGCCACCACGTGGTCTCCCTTCTGTTACCGAGCGCTCTCCTACATCCAATTCACCACCCTTCATCTACATGGGGTAAGTGGACTTGAGATTCCTCACAGTTAATCCTTTGAAGCCCTGGTACCAGGCTACTGTGAGACTCCAGCAGAAGGCCTGGGGCCTGAGGTCCAAGACAAATGGGCTGGGTGACAACCCTTCTGCTGTGTCTTGCTACCATTATTCTCTCTAAGGAGAGTCATTCTGGGGATTCCTGGACTGTTTTGGCCTTAGATCAAGTCACCAATTGGTAATTCTCAGCCTAAGATCCATCTGACTCCCCCCTGGGGTGCATACTGACCAATATGCTCTCTTCACTGGCCCCTGGCCTCAAGCTCAGGTGCCTCATTGATCTGTACAACTGAGCACAGCCTGATTATGATCTAGAGAGCCAATTCAAATGGCTGCTTAAAGGTACCTTTAACCCTATCATCATTCTGGCTTTATACAACTCTTGTGAGCACTTAGAAAATGGAGCACATCCAGGACTCCTCATTTCTTCACTCTCTCTACCTCCAGACTAAAAATTATCTCTCTCCAAGCTAAAAGTCATTTAAATTCTCCCTCTCAAGGCTGAACTGTCTTCAACCTCTCTCCCTCCTGCCTTCCCTGCTGTTCTAATTGCCATGGTGGCCATTGCCACTGTGGCCATTGCCTCTGACTTCTCGACTCCTCCCCCTTGCAACTTCCTAGGGGAGGGGTCCCAGGCAGCACAGGGCAGCTCCCTCCTTCCACCCCAGCTGTCACTTCTGCCCCTCTTCAGCAGCTCCTCCTACGCCTCCTCCCTTGGACAGTCACTGGTCACTGTCTCAGCTTCTTCTCCCACTTCACTCCCTCCCATCTTCTTCAGCAGTTCCTCCTCTCCAGCAAGCTCTCAAGACCAAAGCCCTCCTCTCTCTCAAGGCTAACTCTTATGTGTGTGGCACTGCTCCTCATTCCAGGCCTTGGCCGCCCCTCCCTTTTCCAAGTCCTCCTATACTCCCTCTACTCCAACCCATCCCATTTGTCCTACACTGCCCACTATAAGCATTATGCCCACCTTTGGTCCCCAGCTCCACCCAGACCTGAGCTCCTCCCTGCCCTGGAGTTCCTGCCATACAGCTGGCCCCTCCCTCTCTCTGCCTAAACCCACCTGAACTCCCATCTACCTCACTTCCTACCCTCCAGAACCTGCTGCTGCCTAGATAGTGGAGGCTGCCATGTGCTCTCTCTCTGGGGGGAAATATGGCTCCTCTAATAAACCTTATAATAATCTTTCTACCTCTTCGTGGTCCCCTGGGATGGATGGGATGGATCCTTTCACCCACTAAGTCCTTCTCTGCTCTAAATCTCCTAGCCATCTCCTCTGACTTTTCTTGTCTGGTATTTTCTCTTTCCTGAGTCTACCCACTTTGGTATCTGAATTCTTAATTTCTCCTTTAAGCCAAACTCCTCTAGGAGGCTACAAAATAAAAATCTCTTCCTCTCACCTCTTCCCTATCTGGATACCTCTATTCAATTACCTCCTCTCATTAAAAACCTCAGCAACCCCCTCCCAAAATTCTCTTTACTGGCCTTGGAGACTGACACCTACGAAGAGACAAAAGACACATGGTGGGTTTTCTACACTATCTCCTCCTTTTCCACCAGGATAACTCTTCTTCATTCTTCTAGGTGTTAAATGATTCACTCATATTCTGTTATGCCTTGCTAACAGAATTACTGCCTCTCTTCACAGGCCTGTAAATTGAGACCTGACCATCTAATATATTTTGTTAGCAAAGATGTGTAAACAGCAGGACCTTAGGGTTTCATGCCCAGAATCTTAGCTACTCAGGTGCTAAGATCTGAGGATTGTGGTTCCAGGTAGGAAAGTCTGTGAGACTCTTATTTCCAAAAAAAAAAAAAGAAAAACAGAAGTGGAACTGTGGCTCAAATGACAGAGCTCTAGACTTGAGAAGAAAAAACAATTCAACAACTTTCTCCCCGCCTTTCCCCCCTCCCCACCAAAAAAAAAAAAAAAAAAAAACCACCTCAGGGACTATGTCCAAGCAGCCCCAGGACAGGCACATGCGCACACACACACTCACACACACCCACACACACCCACACAAAATAAAACATATATAGGAGCCAGAAGAGATTTATAAGCCACATCATAGAGTTCTACCTTTGTGCCCAATGATAAAACACTAGGTCTTTGTCTCTGACTGATAATCTAAGGAGTTGAAAGTTCATGTAAGTAGGAACTTTACATAACTTTGGTACAGCATTGCCCAAAAAATCTTTCTTAGTTATAAAAAATAATCAAGAATAAACAAAGTTTGGAATGAATGGGAGAGAATGATGAAAAAGCTGATGCATTGTACTCATAAACTGACATGTTGAATAGTAACATCTTTGTACAACTTGTACATAGTTATTATTATTAAAGATAATAAAATATCACCACCACAACAATAATAATGAAAAGAATAAACAATGGCTAAATTATTTAGAGCTGAACTAAAAGCCTGCTTTAGGGGATTGAATAAAAATATCATTGGCAGTTGCCACAGGATGACAGGGCAATTAATATAGTTCTAGAATCTAGACTAAGTGGTTAGTCAGCGAATTGGGATATATCTTGCCCAGTCAACAACAATTAAGTGTAGTAAAATAAGGGCTGATTTTCAACTTTAATTCCTGATTTTTAATTCTAGCATACAGTAATTCTAGCATACAGTATTCAAATATATTTGGGATTCAAACTATGTATCTTATCACCGGCAGGCTAACCTCTTCTATCATAAAGACAACTTCTATATGGACAACTGAAATCCAGCTAGTTGACTGGAGACAGATTTGAGGAGAGATCAGTGCCATTTTCTAATTCCTTTGACTTGGTTCAGTGGGATCAAGCTTTGGACCTATTTTCCCCTTCCTAGCACGGATTTTAACCTTTTTACTCTCTAGTGAACTTTACTTTTGTCAGTTATGGGGCTTGAACTTTGGGTCTGGGCACTGTCCCTGAGCTCTTCAGCTCAAGGCTAGCACTCTACCATTTGTGCCACAGTACCACTTCCAGTTTTCTGGTGATTAATTAGAGATAAGAGTTTCTCAGCTTTTTCTGCCCGGGCTGCCTTTGACCCTTGATCCTCAGATCTCAGCCTACTGAGTAGCTAGGATTATAGGTGTGAGCCACCCAAGCCTGGCTTCTAGTGAACATTTCTAATATTAAATACAGTTAAAACATTTCTATGTAACTACCATGCACAAGGCACTATATTAGATACTGAGGATGAAAAAAATAAACAAGAGTTTAAATCCACTTTCTGTGCTTAAGCCACAGCAATTCCAATGTAACAGACTTTTCTTCACAAGCATTCGAACACTTGCAGAAGTCCAGGCTGTGTAATTTCAACCAATGAAATTCTGAAAAGAACTGTACTGAAAATGTAAGTACAAGTATAAAATAGAATAACAGTAACATTTTTGAGAGTCATGTAGATCAGGAATGAGAATCAGAGGGTATTGGCTATGAGTTCATTTCGACTCTATCAGATTACCTGTTTTAAGATTTTGTAGGAAGTTAAACCTGGTACAACTCTGAAGAATAATTGGAGTATGTATGGCAAGTACTCAGTCCTCTGAAACATTCTGTAAAAGTAGCATTTTTCTAATGATATCAAAAAGTTAATACAGTATAGTTATAATGTTAATAAAGTTAACATATGCTGAGGCTCTGGGTAAAATGACTACCAAAAGGGAAGTAGAGCTATGGCTTAAGTGGTAGAGTACTAGCCTTTAGCAAAAGCAGCTCAGGAACAGCAACTAGGTACTGAGTTCAACCCTGAGGACTGGCAATTCAAGAAAATGACAACTAAGAAAGCAGTATGAGCTGGGCACCAGTGGCTCACACCTACTCAGGAGGCTGAGATCTAAAAATCATGGTTCAAAGGCAAGCCCAGGCAGGAAAAGCTGTGAAACTCTAATCTCCAATAAACTACCAGAAAACTGGAAGTGGTGCTGTGGATCAAGTGGTAAAGTACTAGCCTTGAGCTGAAGAGCTGAGGGCAGCGCTCGGGCCCAGAGTTCAAGCCCCAGGACCGACAAAAAAAGAAAGAAAACAGTATGAAATACTCAACACCTGCCAACATTTATGGTTGTCAGTCAAATAGAAACTTATTCTGGCAAATTTGAGTGGAAATGGAATTTACTAGGAGCCTTTTAGGTAAATGTGGGATTATAGGGGAAGCTGGAGGAGCAGGTGTCAATGAGGAGGGGTAGGGGAGGCTGGAACCAGCATGTATGATCTAAAGAATGTGCTTTTGCTACCCCTGTTGGAATGCTGCTGCTACCTGTGTCCACTGGTAGGAAGCTATGACCACTAGTAGGAAGAACACCAGATGGGTCCACCTTCTTTATACATTTTCCTGAGTTCTCACAATCAGATCAAGGCACCAAGTTGTTGAAGCTGAGTTGATGTGCCCACAACAGATTGAGAACAAGTAGGAAGTGATATTTGAACCTTCCAAAGTACAAAGTGGGAGCCTGTATCCCATTTAGAATTACTCACTGAAAGATTCCCTCCCGCCAAAAAAAAAAAAAAATAGGAGGTTCATTTGTAGTTACAATAAATATGAACCCCAATTTAAATGATAGGTAAACTACCTGTACATAAATATGGTTTATGCTTTACCTCAGTCTTCCTTTGCTGGTGATAGAATCTGGTTATTTTGCTGTTGAGTTCTAAGGAGTAAATAAAAAGACATCTTTGGAAAACTCTTCCCCAAGCATCTAACTTTATAAAATCCCTTCCATAGCTGGCTAGGAGGGAACTAACCAGGATTTAGCATTTTCCTTTGTCCTTTTTGGCTTGTGTAATAGCACATTAGTACTTTTTTTTTTTTTTAAATCAGGAATGCTAATTATAGTGATAGGCCAAAAAAAATCCAAAAGAAAATTTATTTCACATACATAATGAAAAATGCATTTCAGTATCAGGCTGCTTTCCCTCCTCTTAATATTTTATGTTATATGTAGCAGTTAAATCTCAAAAAAACAAGCTAACTCCCAAATTAGCAGGTAGAAATAAATAATGAAAACCAGAACAGGCTGGCACACCCCTATAATCCTAGCAATTCAGGAGGCTGAGATCTGAGAATTGCAGTTCAAAGTCAGCCTGGACAGGAAAGTCCATGAGACTCTTCTCTCCAATAACCACCAGAAACTGGGAAAAGGAGCTATAGCTCAAGGTAGAGGGCTAGTCTTGAGCAAAAGAGCTCAGGGACAGCACTCAGGTCCTGAGTTCAAGCTATATGACCATCAGCAACTTTTGTCAGAAGCAAAGTGTTATATTTCTATTCAAACCAAGGCCTTCAGAACAATAGAAATGCTCCAAAATGTCACTGTCACTTATTTCACTGTTGTCAAACAAAAGTAAAGCTACTAACATAAGCATATTTTACAATCTTAAAATGTTTAATGTTCTCATAATGTTAAACAGTTGTGTTTGAGGAAGTGATTCAAGTGGTAAAGGGCTGACCTAGCCAGCACAAAACCCTGCATTCAGTCTCCAGTACCACAAAAAGTGTTCAGCCAGGGCTGGGAAGGTGGCTCAGTGGTAGAGCCATGGCTTGCCTTGCATGCCAGAGGCCCTGGGTTCGATTCCTCAGCATCACATAAGCAAAAAAGAAAAAAGCCTGAAGTGGCGCTGTGGCTCAAGTGGTAGAGTGCTAGCCTTGAGCTGAAGAGCTGAGGGAAAGCGCCCAGGCCCAGAGTTCAAGCCCCACGACAGGACAGGACCCCCCCCCCCCCCCCCCCCCCCCGCCCCCGAAAAAAAAAAAGTGTTCAGCCAGTTACCTAGATTTTGGCCAAGGCTCTTTATTTCCCTGCCACCTGAGCTCTGAGGATTGAATCCAGAGTCTCCTGTTCTACCACTTGAGCCATGGCCATACCTTCAACTCTCCCAACTTTTTAGCTTGTTTTTGAAATGAAGTCTCCCTTACTTTGCCCAGACTGGCCTAGGGCCTCTATTCACCTTCTCTGTCTTTTAAGTACTGACTTCCTTGGATTTTAACAAGGCTTACTCTGGGGTTTCACCATCACTGAATTCCTCACATCTTATATATGCTGTTTTTCTTTCTATATCTTTAGTCCTGTCACATGAATACGAGAGGGAATGCCACAGAATTCACACGTTTTAATAGAAAATTTTAAAAAAGGGTGGTTTAGAAGGACCCAATGACTCCTTGGTCCACTGGAAGGGCGATGAATGGCACCTTGCTCTGCTAACGGTCCCAGTCTATGTACTGTGCAGAGCATATCAGGTAAATAAATACTGACCAGGTTAGAAGGAGTAAACCGACAGGTTCCTCCAAAGCAAAGTCTATGCCTTGTTCCAATATTCGCGTTGGTTTCACCAGCCACGAGTTCAAGCAGGAAACCTCGCGAGAAGTGGGGGCTGCTCTTTTCTTCATTGGTCGCGGGCGGGCTTTAGGACCCAGTGTCTGGCGGAGGGGGGCGGGGCGGGTTAGGGCCGCCCGTCGCACACTTCTGACGTCACCAGCCCTCGTCGGGGTAGCTGAGGACCCCGTGGAAAGAATCATGGCGGCCTCAGTCCCGCAGCCGCCTCCTCAGGCCGTGAGCGGGAAGCGCAAAAGCAAAGGTCAGTACTTGCAAGCCAAGCGGACTCGGCGTTGCGACGTCGGCGGTTCGCGGCATCTGGAGCCGGGGTTGCAAGGCATTCTTATCACCTGCAACATGAACGAGCGCAAGTGCGTGGAGGAGGCATACAGTCTGCTCAACGAATACGGTGACGACCTGTATGGGCCTGAAAAGGTACCGGCCTTGGTTTGGGTCCGCGGGCCGGGAGGCTTTCCTAAGTGCAGGGTCAGGAGGAAGGCCGCTACCAGTCACGCATCTATCCGTGTTACGCATGCGTGCTCTCGGGGGCGGGGCCGTGGCCTGCAGTATTGCGCATGCGCTTGGCTAGCGGCCGGGGCCCCTCGTCGGGGGGCGTGGCCTATTCCTTTTTTCTAGCCGCTGCTGTCGCCACCTGGCGGACTCCGGGGTGGTGGGGGGCTGCTGAGCTGCCGGCCGCTTGGGCTTCTCTTTCCGTCTCTTGTCAGGGTAGCTCCTATTTGTTCATTGCTAAATTCGGGCCCGTTGATGCGCTGAAGAATTTTCAGAATCGTACTTCACAAAACGATACTGAGAAGGTGGCTGTAATCATGTTTTTGTGCTAAGCCACAGTATCTTAGAAGTACTAGTCGTTATGTCGAAAAATGAACTTTACAACTTTGGTGCGGGAGGGGGGAGGGGTAGCGGGGAGGATTGGGTAGGGAGGCGGGCGGGGGTGGGGGAGGATGGGAAGGGATGGGAAGGGGAAACTAAGGAGGAGGCTACAAGGCTTGATAAGAAATGTACTCATTATCTTGCCCATGTAATTGTAACTCCTCTGTACAGTATTTTCACAATAAAAAATAAATAAAAAGAAGTAGTGAGTTTGGTACCAATGCGCATTGTTTCTTAAATGCACGTAAAAATACATTTGGAAAACTAAAACCTTTGTTCCACTACTACTGAAAATCTGTTGTTCGATTGTAATTTGCGGAGAAGACTTAGAGACTGCACCAGCTCCTGGACTGACATGGGCAAATTATTTAATTTTGCTGAGCCAAACATAAAAGAGAATGGTAATACTTTCTAAGGTTGGCTAAAATGTTGCTTACATACATAAGTTACATTTTGCCATGTAAAAAGGCTCCTAAAATGTGCGATGATGATTAGTACCGCATTGGAAATGCCATTAGTAGGTCAGAGAACTGGTCAATGGGTGTATGTTCTGTCTACACTGATACCTGAGCCAGATCTCACTTGGCTTTGAGCAAGACCTTGCTCTGTAGCCCAGGCTGACCTCCTGACTGTGCCTCCCTAGTGCTGGGATTACAGGTATGTGCCACCATATTCTGTTCAAGCAAGTTCTTGAATCCTTCTGTGATCTGTTCCTCTGTAGAACAGTAATAACGTTTTTTTTAAATTAAATAGTTGTACAAAGGGGTTAACTTTCAACATGTCACCTTATGAGTATACTACATAGTTATCAATAATCACCTCTTTCATCATTCTCCTCCTTGCCAACCCCACCCCTTCCCTTAATTTTCCTAGTTTCATTTTATATGCATTGAATATAGGGTAAGAGTTTTTAATTATGTTAAGTATTTGCTTCTAATCCCACCAAAAGGAAAATATCAGGTACAAAGATATGATGATCTTACAGTCCACCCTCATGTGCTTCATCTGGGGAACACATTTTTCAACGTGCCAGTCTGTCAAAATGTTTTTGAAAACAATTTGTACTGGGCAGTACGGGGATTTGAACTAAGGGTGTTGTGCTTAATAGTTGAGCATTCTACCTCTGTACCACATGCAGTCCTGTTTTGCACTCATTATTTTGACAATGTGTATTGCTTCCTGCTTGTTCATATGCCTGGATATCTATCTGCATATTTATACGTCCCATGAAACTAAATGATACATGCATGCTGCCATATCCAGACATTGAGATGGGTTTGTGGATTGACAAATGTTTGTGAGGGGGATAGTACCAGGTCTTCATGTCAGGATATCATGGTCACTTGCTTGTTTGTTCATGGTGTTCTATCAACTGAACCATGCCTCTAGTCCAACTTTTTCTGTTTAAGTGGAGATGGAGTCTTCCAGACTTTTCTGCCTGGACTGGCTTTGAATCATGATACTCCAGGTTTCAGCCTTCTGAGTAGCTAAGACTATAGATGTGAACAATCAGCACTTGACTTCTGCAAGGGCAAGGAGGAGGGGAGAGGGGGAATGGGAGAATTGTTGGTCTTGGGGCTTGAACTCAAGACATGAGTGCTGTTCCTTTGCCTTTTCACTCAGGGCTAGTGTAACACTTGAGCTGTAGCCCCACTTCCAGCTTTTTTCTGGTTAGTAGGAGTCTAGGACTTTTCTATCCAAGCTCACTTGGACAGAAATCATCAGATTTCAGCCTCTTGAGTAGCAAGGATTACAGGTATGAGCCACTGGTGCTTGGCTTACTGAAAACATTTCCAATGATATTTACCACAGTCTAAAGGAATTAATTTCTTCCTCTACATTTTGGATGCAGTGTAGTCTCAGTCTTCAAGAAGTTTATTATCAGTTTTGAGTGGTGTCTGTCTGCCAATGGTAGTTTCACACGAGTAGTTAATTATAATGTCTGGGCTTGAGTTATTGTGTTACCGCTATTTATTGGTTTTATGTAAACAGTTTGTAGAAAAGGATCAGCAGCCCTCTGGAAGTGAGGAAGATGATAATGATGATGATGATGATGATGTGGAGTCTGCCTTGAAGAAAGAAGTTGGAGATATAAAGGCTTCTACAGAGATGAGGCTAAGAAGATTCCAGTCAGTGGAGAGTGGAGCAAATAATGTAGTCTTCATCAGGACACTTGGGATAGGTATGTCTAACTTAAACTTTTAAGATTATTAATGTCCTAATACATAGCCATCTCCCTATTTCAGAGAACGAACACTTTGTACAAATGGCTTCCTGGGCATGGCCTTATTAATCACTTGATTGTAACTTTACTTTATTAACAGTGGGTACTTAAGAGAGGTGGAATGGAGTAGTGCACATAGCATTACATTGAGAGTGGAAACCTGGCTCTGCCACTTATTATTGTGTGACCAGCTGCTGGTCAATTCCAGCCAGTAGTTGCCATTTGTGGGAAAATAAGGCTGGATCTTCTGGTTTTTCAAAACACTGGCATTCTAGAGAAGTTCTTTGAGTTTTAAAATGTGGTCAACTAATAACCTTAAAAAACACTGATTACCATTAAACAGTCTTTTTTTTTGGTTGTGGGTCTTGAACTCTGGGCCTGGGCCCTGTCCCTCACCTCTTCAGCTCAAGGCTAATACTCTACCATTTGAGCCACAGAGCCGTTTTGGATTTTCTGAGTGGTTAATTGGAGATAAGAGTCTCACAGACTTTCCTGCCCAGGCTGGCTTTGAACTGTGATTCTCAGATCTCAGCCTCTTAAGTAGCTAGAATTAAAGGTGTGAGCCAACGGCGCTGGGTGAAGTAAGTACTTTTCAATGTTTGTTACTCTGATAATTGCTACTGTTACAGGAAGACTGTAGTGGTTGGATAAATCAAGATATAAGAAAAAATGATTAACTTTGGTATCTTCTGGAACAGTTGTTTTAAACAAAGGCATGAATAGTGAAAAAAGATAAACATCTAACAAAGTAGGCACTGAAAAAACAGTTGGAAGAAAATTGTTTGTGTTGATTTTTTTTTTTTTTTTTTTGCCTTTCAGAGCCAGAGAAACTGGTACATCATATTCTCGAGGATATGTATAAAACCAAGAAAAAGAAGACTCGAGTTATTCTACGAATGTTACCGATTTCAGGCACCTGCAAAGCTTTCTTAGAAGATATGAAAAAATATGCAGAAACATTTTTGGAACCCTGGTTTAAAGCTCCAAATAAAGGGACATTTCAAATTGTATACAAGTCCAGAAACAATGGTCACATGAATAGAGAAGAAGTTATCAAAGAATTGGCAGGTATGTCTCTTACAGTGATTTTACACAGGTGTACTATGATTAGCACTTGTGTTTGTTTTTGTTTTGTCAGTCCTGGGACTTGAACTCAAGGCCTGGGCACTGTCCCTGAGTTTCTTTTGCTCAAGGGTAGCACTCTACCACTTGAGCCACAGTGGTACTTCTGGCTTTTTCTGTGTATGTGGTCCTGAGGAATCGAACCCAGGGCTTTATGCATGCTAGGCAAGCACTCTACCACTAAGCCACATTCCCAATCTAGCACTTATTTTTAAGGGTGTTTTTGTTGTCGTTGTTGTTGTTAAGAATTAAGACTTGTATTCTTCTATGTAGAACAAATATATTAAAATATCAAACAATTGATTTCAGTTTGTTGAATATGAGGTTTGCTGGTTGTTAGCTTTCTTTCCCCCAAATAGAGATTGAATTTTCTTTGGGAATTTATTTCCAAATATAGTTGTCTCTATACTCATGATAGGTAGTAGATTTTTCTAAGATCCCTTACAAATACCAGAATCTCAGGTCCCTTATGTAAAATGTACAACTGCATCTAACTTACTTGCACATCCTTCTGTGAATTTGCTGTTTTCTTTTTTTAAACAGGTTTCTTTTTTGATGTTGTTGTTGTTGTTTTGTTAGTTGCAGGGCTTGTACATAGGGCCTGAGTGCTGACCCTGAGCTCTTTTCCTCAAGGCTAGCACTCTACCGCTTTCTAAGTTACAGCACCACTTTTAGTTTTTTGGTGGTTAATTGGAGATAAAGAATCTCAAGGGCTTTCCTGCCCAGGCAGGCTTTGAACTGCAATCCTCATATCTCAGCCTTCTGAGTAGCTAAGATTACAGTTGTGAACTATCAGCACCTAGCTTAAAATAGATTTCACTGTGACCTTTTCACATGTGTGTTTACAGTATTTTTGGGTCATATTCACCTCCCACTCATCTCCTTCTCTTACATTACCCCTACCCCATTCTCTTCCAGCTCTTTTTCTTTTTCTTCCTCACCATCTTCTTCAGTTTCTTTTGACCTAGATTATGCATGTGAGAGAAAACACATTATACTTGTCTGACTTGTTTTGCTTAACCTTTCATGCATTTTGCTGCATGACATAATTTCATTCTCTGTATGGCTGAATAAAATGCTTGTGAATATATACCACATTTTCTTCATCCACTCCTGTGTTGATGTCATCTTGGCTGATTCCATAACTTGGCTGTTGTTAGTAGTGCTGCAGTAAACAGGAGTACACAGGCAGGAATAGCCATTGTTTTTTACTTATATGGTGTTATAGGACAAGATAATTCTTTCAGGGTTTTTTTGTTTTGTTTTTTTTGGTCGATCATGGGGCTTGAACTCTGGGCCTAGGCCAGGGAGCACTCTACCATTTGAGCCACAGTGCCACTTCCAGTTTTCTGGTAGTTAATTGGAGATAAGAGTCTCACAGACTTTCCTGTCCAGGCTGGTTTTGAACTGTGGTCCTCAGGTATCAGCCTCCTTTGTAGCTAGGATAACAGGCATGAGCCACCAGTGCCCAGCAGTTTTTGTTTTTTTTTTTAATGAACTTCCACACTAATCTTCAGAAAGATTACAGTAATTTACATCTTTACCAGCAGTGTTTAAGGGCTCCTTTTTCCTTTACATTCTCAGCACTAGTTCCTTGTATTCTTTTAAATTATATTGTTATCTTTATTTGTACAAAAGGGTTGCCATGCAACAAATCTGTTTATAAGTATAGAATGTCTTGATCACTATCACCCCTTTCATCATTCTCCCCCATCCCTCCCAACCTAACTTCTTTCTCAAAGCAATTTCAGTAGGCTTCACTAATTTTTTTTTTTTTTTTTTTGGGTTGGTCATGGGGCCTGAACTCTGGGCCTGGGTGCTGTCCCTCAGCTCTTCAGCTCAAGGCTAGCGCTCTACCACTTGAGCCACAGCGCCACTTCTGCCTTTTTCTGCTTATGTGGTGCTGCGGAATCAAACCTAAGGCCTCATGCATGCTAGGCAAGCACTCTACCACTGAGCCACCTTTCCAGCCCCACTAATATTTTTTTAAATTTGCATACTTTAGTTTCATTGTGACATTTTCATACATAAATACAGTATACCCTGATTGAACTTGCCCCTCACTTGTACTTCCTTATCTTCTTTACTCCTTAAAACAATTTAAACAGATTTTATTGTTCTGTTTTCATACATGCATATTAAATATTTTGACCCTATTTGCCTTCTTGCGTGTTTGGTCCTCTCCTTCCTGCTGACTTTTCTGATTATTTTAATCCAAGGTTGAACCTGTGGGTTGCAATGTCCATTGATAATGAGAGGCCAACTCTATTCTTTTTAAACATGGCAGGATCTCATTTGTGTTTACTTATTGAATGGACTTGGGGATTTTGATGTAAATTCATATATATCCTGTTTTAACAAATCCCAACAGAAGGAGATGAAAAACTTGTTTTATTCATAAAGTGTAATAATATCCTTCTCGACCTAAGTGTTTTCTTATTCTTGTTACAGGAATAGTGGCCAGCCTCAATTCAGAAAATAAAGTAGATCTCACCAATCCACAGTACACGGTGGTAGTAGAAATTATCAAAGCTGTCTGTTGCTTGAGTGTTGTGAAGGATTACATGCTGTTCAGAAAATACAATCTTCAGGAGGTGGTGAAGAGTGCTAAAGACCCATCACAGTGTCATCCAAAGCTGGGAAATGGGAAAGAAGTAAAATTGCAGCCTGGCAGCAAATTAAATCAAAATGATGCAGCAGAAGGAAATGAGAAGAAACAGGTGGTATCAGAGGATTGTGAAGAGCAAGGTCAGCCAAAACCAAGGTCTGAGATAGAGGTACTAGTGAAGGAAGAAGGGGGTAAACCTGAGACTGCAAGTCAAATCACAGATGAATCCAAGTCAAATGATAATGACTTCTTATAGACTTCATTTTGTATTGTAGACTCTCAGCTGGAATTCTATGAGATTGTACTGGGGTTTCATGTAAAATTCTGGCATAAAATAGTCTGACTTTTGTGTGCTTCATAGTGTTGATCTTAGCAGTACTGATCCCTGTTAACTCAGCCCTGTTAGCTTAGTAGTTTCCTCAGAGCTCTTACAAACCTGTTTGGTACATATGTTATCTATCACACTGGAATGTGTGGCAGAAGGATGATGTGCTGATTACTTCCCCTCTTTTTTTTTCCTGCCAACTCACTTACAGGAGTGAACAGTTACTGAGAAGTAGAAAACTAGAAGGAAAGTTTGATTTTAAAGCAATTTCCTTTTTCAGTGTGCTACAACTCAGCAATAGCCTGCCTCTTCTATTATAAACATTGCAAAAATGGCTTGTGTAAATTAGAAGTGAATTGTTTTGTGATGGTTTTGAACTTTGTGTTCTTGTTTAGTTATTCTATCCCTTTTTATATTTTATTAATGCTTGTAATGAACAAATATAATGGTCCATTGCTACAGTTTTGAAGGCACAATGTGATATAGAAGAACCACGTCAGCATAGACCTGTCAACATTTTTGATAAGGTTAGTGGTGACGAATTGCAATGTTCTCCATACATTAGCACGACAAAGGATAGAAAAATTCTCTTAACAATGAAAACTATGTCTCAGGGTTTTTATAAGGACTCATAATCCAAGCTGTTCTATCCAATATGCATGATCTGTGGCATGCAGCTTAGAGATCTAGCAGATGTTTCAACAATTGTAACTAAATCAGTTATTGGGCAAGGATCATGATTATCCTAAACAACATTTGGAATATCAAAATAGAGAAAAGCTTTTGTTGAAAAGGTCAACTAAGTAGAAAAGTTTAAGAAACAATTAAAAATATTATTATAAAGATGATGTATAGAGGGGTTACATTTACATGTGTCAGTTAATAAGTACATTTTCTCTTGTACAATTCTCTCCCATTCCCTCCTTCCATCTCCACCTTTGAGTTATTCACTTTCATCAGTGTCCAGTGCTCTCTATTGCTGTACTTTTTCACCCATTTTTCTAGGAAGGAAGCCAATTTTAAGTAGAAGATCTTAGAAAAGAAAATGTTTCATATTTGGTCAAAATTAAATGCCAACATTAAAATACTAGGCAAATACTGGGCAAATGCCCAGAGTTCAGGCCCCACAACCGGACCCAAAATAAAAAAAAAAAAAAAAAAGACCCTTAAGCCATCTTGTCAGACAAGTTAGAAAACTAACAGAGTGAACATTGCTTTATTTTCACGCGTGTGGTGCATAATTAATAATCTATTTTGTTAAGCTTAATTGATTTTTCATGGGTAAGAAATAACTGGCTGAAATCACATTTTTCTAAAGGTTAGTTATCAAATATCTCAATCTAGTTATTTCTGGTTAAAAAGTAAGTTCAGGCCTGGTTTCTGGAAGAGTACTAGGGCCTGCAAATTAAAATGGGATGTATAGTGTTTAGAGAGGAAGGAAATAGAGAATAGATACAATGACCCCCTCCACCACCAGTCTCTTCCACAAGGAATTCAGACAGATCAACTATTGTCTTTTCCCCCCTACTGAATCAGAAACAAAATGTTTACTAAAATTTAAGACTTCTATGATTTAGAACAAAGCTCCTAAGCAGCCACATTTTAGTGATATTAGTAAATCCCGAACAGTGGGAAGCAAAATATATATTTTGTACTGACCAATTTTGTGGGTGATCTCTTTCTACTCTGTTAAATACATCCAGAAACCAGATCTCTAGAGGCTATTCTGAAGCATCATTTCCATGTGGTTTTTGTGAGAGAAAGGAGGTCTTCTAGAGATTATGTAAATAGAGGTAAATACGTACATCTAGGAAGGTGTTAGTGTCAAACTGGACCATCTGGTGCACAAAAACACAGGCACCCCGAAGCCAGGAAGAAAATACACTACCAATGGCAGCTTTGATCCAGCCTGTATCAGACATATTCCACATGATATCTGAGGACTTCAAGTCTAACCAGTACCTAAGTGATACACAGAGGCAACAAAACAGCAAAAATAAATTATGAGTATGTATTCTATTTATTATAGATTTAAACATACTATATTATACTACAATATAATATAGAGCATTATAATATATAGTAGTAATATATGTATGTTTGTATATTCTATGTATTTGTATTATGGCACACAATATTATCTATTTATCTGTGATTATACACAATATATTATATATTATGGTTTTGGGTTTTTTTTGTTTGTTTTGTTTTTGGGCAGTTGTGGAGTGGGAACTCAGGGCCTGCGCACTGTCCCTGAGCTTTTCCTACTCAAGGATAGTGCTCTACCACAGCTCCACGTCTGGTTTTCTGGTGGTTGATTGGAGATAGGAGTTTCACAGACTTTCTGCCCAGACTGGCCTTGAACCTGGATCCTCAGATCTCAAAGTCTCCTGAGTAGCTAGGATTACAGGTGTGAGCCATCAGCACCTGGTGATATTAGGTATTTATGATATAGATAAGATTTGCTATAACATATAAGACATTATACACTATATTTATAGATAATACATATTTACACATTTATATTATAATTGCATACGTATATGTAATGTTTAATTATATATTATAGTTATCTATGTATATAAATATACTGATATATATATAAAGATAAAAAGAAATGTGTATGATTCTATTTCTCACTTGTCTTAGAGTTTTTAGAATCCTATGTGTTTTGGGAGTGGAATGCGAGACTGAATTTGGCATAATTTTGTCAGTTTGTCCATTGAAGAAACAGGTCTTTATTGAGCAATTTATGCTATACTAGGCATATATCTTCCGGTGAGCAAGATAGACTAGATCTCTTAGTGTAGAGGGACAGGAGGGAATAGTATACAATAAGGTAAATTAAGTATATTAAAAATATTGTAATTTCAAGAACTGATAAACAAAGTGATATGAGGAAAATAAAATAGAGCAATGTCCCAGTTTTAGATAGCCTTTCTTTTAGGAAGTCCCTCTGGATAGACTATTATTTTTTCTGTAATGAGAAGAGAATGTCAGACATGCTATTATGGGATTGAACCAAAGTTGAATGATAAGTTTTTGCTTGTTCTGGTGGATAGATGGCACTGTATTTACTGAGCCAGGGTGGAGCAAAGGCCTAAAGGGTTCTGTTTTATAGATGGTATATCCACTCAAGGAAAGGTATCAGGTAGGCAGGATTAGCTTAAGAGAAAGTTTATTAAAAACAAACATTTTCTCCCTACCTTCCGCAAAGGGCATACCCAATACCAAGGCTACTCTGTGAGTGCTGAGCCATCTTAGGGGAGCCCGTGGTTCCACTGGTGAAATAAATGGCCATTGGTTCTTGACTTCCTGTCTCCACACAGCTGTGCTCTTCAGAAGCAGATCTGCAAAATATGGACCCCAAAATGGTAGCTGAAAATGCTGCATCAGTTTCACTTTGCTATTGCTTTTGTTCTGCTACTTTTACCCTTTTGTAACCACAAGATAGTTAATAGAACTGAACCTAGTTCGAAGCTTTGCCAGGTGCTAGTGGCTCATGCCTTTATTCTGTATTCTCCTACTCAGGAGGCTAAGATCTGAGGATGGTGGTTTGAAGCCAGACAGGTTAGAAAAGTCTATGGCAATCTGATTATCTCCAATTAACCAGCAAAATGTTGGAAGTAGAGGCTCAAGTGGTGGAGACCACCAGTCTTGAGTGAAAAAGCCAAGTCAGCGTCTGAGGCTGTGAGTTCAATCCCAGTACCAGAATCCCCACCCTCACCCCGGCAAAAAAAAGTCCCAAGTTTTCCTGTGTGTGTGTGTGTGTGTGTGTGTGTGTGTGTGTGTGTGTGTGTGTGTGTGTGTGTGTGTGTGTGTGTGTGTGTGTGTGTGTGTGTGTGTGTGTGTGTGTGTGTGTGTGTGTGTGTGTGTGTGTGTGTGTGTGTGTGTGTCAGTTGTGGGGTTTGAACTCAGGGCCTAGTAATCCTCAGATGGCAGCCTCCTGGATAGCTAGGATTACAGGCGTGAGCCACCGATTTTTAAGATATCTTAGAAGGGACTTTGAAAATTAGTGCCAAGTTTAGTAGCTTAAGTATTTTTTTTTTTTTTTGGGGTCTGGTCATGGGGCCTGAACTCTGGGCCTGGGCGCTGTCCCTCAGCTCTTCAGCTCTAGGCTAGCGCTTTACCACTTGAGCCACAGCGCCACCTCTGGCTTTTTTCTTTTGCTTATGTGGTGCTGAGGAATCGAACCCAGGGCCTCAGGCATGCAAGGCAAGCACTCTAGCACTGAGCCACCTTCCCAGCCCATAGCTTAAGTATTTTTTAAGCTTATCTTCCTATAGACCAAATAGGTAGCCAAGGTAACTTTCAATATTAATTTTACAAAAGGATATGCATTTAATTTCTTTAATTTTCTTTCCTAAGTCTGTTTTAATCTGAGAATAAAAAAAAAAAAACAGCATTGAGCTAGGTGCCAGTGGCCTACTCCTGTGATAGTTACTCAGGCAGCTGAGATTTGTGGTTTAAAGCCAGCCAGGGAAGGAAAGTTTATGAGACTCTCCAATTAGCCCCCAAAGTAAAAGCTAGAAGTAGAGCTGTGGCTCAAGAGTGCTAGCCTAGAGCAAAAAGTCTCAGGGATAGCACCTTAGCACATAGCACCTTAGAACTGAGTTCTAGTCCTAAGGCCAGCACAAATAAACAAAGAAAATGAAAAAGCTTTTAGCAATGAGATATGATCCGTGGCTGCTTTGAAATTATGTCATTCTAAAGTCTTTAAAGGAAGATTTTCTCCATCTTGAAAACCACTCCAAAGATACAGATTTCAATTGAAATTCATGTAATTGTAGAGCCCTTTTCCTTTTGGGACACTTTTAAAATGTCTTAGAGACTCAATTGAACATTGCTGCATTATTTTGGGTAGGAGTTGCTTAAATTAGGGTGTTTGCTGTTCACAGAATGACTAAAATAGCTGGGATAAGGAGAAAACAGAAAACTTCAACTTACATGTACTTGAAAAAACTCACCCTTTAATATTTTTGAGCATTTGTATAATATGTAAAAGCACAGGTATATCATTTTAAAGTAAATAAATGTGTTAAGGGAATGTGTTAACATATTTCATTGATATTTGTGCATATTACAATAGACTGGAAGCCACTACCTTAGGAATCACTTCAGTGTTGGATCACTTGCTAATAATAATAGTAATTCCAATTTAGTAGTTAGTAATTATGGAGTAATTTTTTGTGTGCTGGTACTGGGGCTTGAACTCAGTGCTTGCTTACCTTGCTCACTCAAGTGCTCTTGCTTAGCTTTTTCATTCAAGTTCTCTACTGCTTGAGCAGATACATCCACTTCTGACTTTTTGCTGATTAAGCAGAGATAAGAATCTCCCAGACTTTTCCTCCCAGACTGTTTTCAAACTATAATCCTCAAATCTCAGCCTCTTGAGAGTTTCACAGATGTAAAGCTTCTACACCCAAGTGATAACTTTTTGTTAAGCATCATGTGGAGCATTTGTCATGGTCTATCATATTTGATTCTGCTAGCTCCATGCACTAGATACTACTGTTACCTTTATTTTTTTGTTTTTGTCAGCTGAGCCTGAACCCTGGGCCTGGGCACTGTCCCTCAGCTCTTCAGCTCAAGCTAATGCTGTACCACTTGAGCCACAGCGCCACTTCCAGCTTTTTCTGCTTATGTGATACTGAGGAATTGAACCCAGGGCCTCATGCGTGCAAGGCAAGCACTCTACCACTGAGCCACCTTCCCAGTTACCTTTATTTATTTATTTATTTATTTTTGGGTCTGGTCGTGGGGCCTGAACTCTTGGCCTGGGTGCTGTCCCTCAGCTCTTCAGCTCAAGGCTAGCGCTCTACCACTTGAGCCACAGCGCCACTTCCGGCTTTTTTTTCTGCTTATGTGGTGCTGAGGAATCGAACCCAGGGCCCTAAGCATGCAAGGCAAGCGCTCTACCACTGAGCCACCTTCCCAGCCCCGTTACCTTTATTTTATAGAGGAGTTACACACAATATAGAAGTGTTATTTGACTTAATTAAGGTTTATAAAAGACACAAGGATTTTTAAAAAAAAAAAAAGTAACCAGGTGCTGGTAGCTCATGCCTGTAATCCTAGCTGCTAGAGAGCCTGAATTATGAGGATCATGGTTTGAAGCCAGCCCAGGCAGAAATGTCCATGAGACTCTCATCTCTGATTAATTGCGAATTAATCACCAGAATACTCGAAGTGGAGCTTTGGCTCAAGTGGTAGAGAGCTATCCTCAAGAACAAAAGCTCAGAGACAGTGCCCAGGCCCTGAGTTAAAAAACTAATAAAAAGAAAGGAAAGAAAAACCTATTTGACATCTCCTTGAAGCATAACACTATCAATCTTTTTCTTTTTTTTTCTTTTTCTTTTTTGTTGTTGGTGGTGGTGTGGGGCTTGAACTCTCAGGGCCTGGGATACTGTCCCTAAGCTTTTTTTGCTCAAGGCTAGTGCTCTATTACTTTGAGCCACCGAGCCACTTCCAGTTTTCTGGTGGTTAATTAGACATAAGAATTTCACAGACTTTCCTGCCCATGATGTCTTTGAACCTCTATCCTCAGATCTCAGCCTCCTGAATAGCTAGAATTACAGATGTGAGCTACCAGTGTCTGGCCTCTATTTTTTTTTTTTTTTTTTACATCTTAGGAAGCACTTTTTCCAAGTATCAGCTTATTTTATCTTTTAAACTAAACTAGATATGTGTAGCATAATAACCTCATTTTACACAGGAAGAAAACTGAGGCTAACATCTTTGTTTATTCATAAGTGAATAAATAATTGATTTATTTAATAATTTTTTCCTAAGCACTCAGTGATGTGTAGTTAGTTCCTGGGGATAAAGTGATCAACAAAACAGACAAAGTCTTTATTTTTTTAGAGCATATAGTTTAGGGCAGGAGTTGGTAAATATTTTTTTATTAAGCATCACCAAATATTTAGGATTTATGAACCCTAGATGTTTCCGCTGCAAGTACTCAACTGTGCTGTTATAACAAAAGCAATCTTGAACATTGTGTGTGTATATATATATATATATATATATATACACACACACACATATATATGTGTGTATATTATATATATGAATTATATATAAATATATATGTATATATATATGCACAGCTGTGGTCAAATAAAGCTTTATTTACAAAAACAAGTATTAGGCCAGACTTAGCCTCTAGGCCCTAATTTATGGATCCCTACTCTAGAGGGAAAAACAAAATCTAAGGGAGCAAACAATTGGACCTGATCATTTAGGTAATGAGAATGCTGTGAAGAAAACAAGAGTGTGATGTGATAGAAGGCTTTGTAATTCTACTCTGGTTACGTTATTCAGGAAAACCCTCAGGATACAGCATTTGAACTAAAATCTTTCCTTTCCTTTCCTTTTTCTCTCCCTTCCTTCCTTCCTTTCTTTCTTTCTTTCTTTCCTTCTTCCTTCCTTCCTTTCTTTTTCTTTTTCTTTTTTTGCTTATGTGGTGCTGGGGAATTGAACCTAGGGCCTCAGGCATGCAAGGCAAGGCTCTACCACTGAGCCACCTCTCCAGACCCTTCTTTCTTTCTTTCTTTTTTTCTTTCTCTATCTCTCTCTCTCCCTCCTTCCCTCCCTCTTTCCCCCTTTCTTTCTCTCTCTCCTTCCTTCCTTCCTTCCTTTTTTTCTTTATTTCTTTCTTCCTTTCACTGGGACTCAAACTTAGTTCCTGACACTTCTAATCTGACATCCAGAAACAACCATGAAAAGGAGTAGGGAAGAGTATTCCAGGCCTAAGAAACAGATGGTGCAAAGGGCATATTTGAGGAATAGAGTGTGGTAGATGTGGTGCAGGAGTTAAACCACGATCAGATAGTTATCACAGGCCACAGGAGGAAGCAGAAAAACTGGCGCTGAGATATATCCCTTCTTTGTGCCTATAAATCATTTTATCAGGCAATTCTCTTCTTGGGGAAGGAGTCCAGATCAACTCATAGTGTTGCTGAGTCTTTGGGCAAATAGACTCTGAGATGTAGCTGTGATTTGTACTGTTGCTGGTCCTACAGAGGCTGGGGAAAATACTCACTGAAATAGGTCTTGGAAGTTGAGCCATCCATGGTGGCTTTGTGGAGACACCAGGAGTTTAGTCTTCAGGTTAGGGCACTCTGATGCAATGGACTCCACTGCTTGGGCCACCTCTTCACTGGCCACAATGCACTTGGCCTTGGATACTTTCAGTCGGTAGAGGATGTCTTTTGCTGTCAGCTGGGTTGTTCCTGGCATGAAGACAAGCCCTGTGAAGGATAGCGATCTCTGAGCTGAACAGTACTGCTGTCCATAGTGTATGTCTGTGGATTATGGGAAACCTGGGCTTTGGACTTGGGTGAGGAGAAAGCTCAGAATGCAGCCATCATCTAATCCTGCTTGGTCTTCAGGGACATTCCACAGGACCCTGATCACTAGGAAACTTTTAGATTACTGGCTTTGGAGTCTGACAGACCTGGGTTTAATCTTAGCCTTAGTATCTTTTTGACCTTTATTTCTCTGTGCCTTTCTTACTTCATCTATAAAATGGGTAAAATTGTGTCTTCTGGCATATAGGGGACATTATAGTGGTTGGGTATTAATATGTAGCATGTTAATGTAATATTTGAATAATTATTAAGCAACACTTAAATAGCACTTTGCACCTTGTGACACATCCTCACAAATACCATTTCATTCAGCTCTCTCAACCAGTAGTCTCCAAAGTGAGTTTTGCAAGAAAATCCATTGAGAATTTAAAAAAAAAACAAGAGAACATCAAGAAATTATTGATAACAGGATTTTAAAAATGTTGTTAGCTTTTTGTATGCTTTATAATACTATATCAGTACAGCAGAATAATATTGGAAGATGTGTCCAGAAATTTTACTGGCAAATTTTGAACTCTGATATGCTCAGAAGACTGCTGTGCTAAGCAGTCCTAACAGGTCCATGCAATTGTTATCTGGTAGAACATGAGATTTGGCATACCTGATAAGTGGTAGAACCAGCTCTCAGATCTCTAGATCCCAGAGGTTTAACAACACAGAAAGATGCCTAAAGTATATGACTATACATAATGTATCTTCCTTTCTCACTTCTTTTTAAACTGGCTGTAGCTAGCCCTGGTGTCAAATGTACCAGTTCGAAGGAAATGATAAATGGCAGAGTTAGATATTAGACAGAAAAGAAGTTTGTACTTTTGAAGTAAATCAATGAGAAGCAATGGCATTACAGGTAACCACTACCTTGTACTGAACACAGTGAATGCATGGTATTTTACTATAAACTAGTAACAACTCACCCAAGGATTGTATATTTCTTTTTTCTTTTTTTGCCAGTCCTGAGGCTTGAATTCAGGGTCTGGGAACTGTTCCTCAGCAATTCAGGTCAAACACGCTATGATTTGAACCACAGCTCCACTTCTGTCCTTTTCTGTGTATGTGGTCCTGAGGAATCGAACCCAGGGCTTCATGCACACTAAGCATCACCCCCAGCCCTCACCCAAGGGTTGTAAAGTCAGTAAGGTGGCAAGAGCCAGAATTCAAAGACATATTTTCCTGGGCTGTATACTTACTTATTTCATGGTAAGTTTCCTGAAGTAAGCTAAATAGGAAGATGTGTAGTTACATTTCTAGGAAGGAGACTGTTAATGAATATATATTTTTAAAATTTTTAGATAGTATTCCCTCTTGGTTAATAAATATGTGAAGATAGGAAAATTGATTAAGAAAACATCTTAGAAGAAGGTGCCAGTGTCTCATGTTTGTAATCCTACTTACTCAGGAGGGTGAAATCTGAGGATCACAGTTCCAAGCCAGTCCAGGCAGATAAATACAAGAGGCTCTTATTTCCAATTAACCGGTTAAAAGCCAGAAGTCAAGGTCTGGCTCAAGTGGAAGAGCATCAGCCTTTAGCGAAAATGCTAAGTTAGAGTATAGGGACCTGAATTCAAGACTCAGTATTGACACAAAAACAAAGAATCCCCTCAAACTCTGACATGTACTCACAAATGGACATGTTTGATCAAAACTCTTTTGTACAATGACTTAAATATTAAAAAAAAAGTAAGGGACTGTGTTCAGGCCCTGAGTTCAAGCCTCAGTGACAGTACACACGTAAAAAGAAGACAAAAATAAGATTGGCATTTTTTTCAGTTCATAAAATGCTTATTTATTGTTTCTGACTTGACTCATGACTCAGAAAATACAAAACTTAAACATTAAAAAAGATTATGCAATGTTCATTCAAGTATAAATATAAAATATTGTAATTCTAGCTACTCAGGAGGCTGATCTGAGGATTGTGGTTCAAAGCCAACCCGGGCAGGAAAGGTCATGAGACTTTTATTTCTAGAAAACTGGAAGTAGCTCTGTGGCTCAAGTGGTAGAGTGCTCTCCTTGAGCTGAAGAACTCAGGGACAGTGCCCAGGCTCAAAGTTCAAGCCCTATGACCAAAAAAAGAAAAAGAATATATATATATATATATATATATATAAAATATTATGTATCTTAAAAATCACTTACATCTTACAAATCAGTACCAGGACTTAAATCCAAGACCTTGCACTTTCTAGGCAAATACTCTACCACTTGAATCACATCCTCAGTCCCACCACTTTTTCTTTTTTTGGTTGGTCATGGGGTCTGAGCTCTGGGCCTGGGCGCTGTCCCTCAGGTCTTCAGCTTAAGGCTAGCGCTCTACCACTTGAGCCACAGAGCCACTTCCAGCTTTTTCTGCTTACGTGATACTGAGGAATCGAATCCAGGGCCTTATGCATGCGTGGCAAGCGCTCTACCACTGAGCCACCTTCCCAGCCCCACCACTTTTTCTTAATGACTAATAAATAATTAATCTCCTGGGTGGATTTGTGATGTGGTTGTGGTCAATGGATAGATCTCCAGCTTGGGGACTGGGAGACTATGTATAGTGGATTTCAAATAGCAAATATTTTAGGCTTTGTTGCCTACACCTCACAGTTATATTAATGTATTTTCCCATATGCTATATAGTACAAGTCATCTCAATATTAATATAAAAGATTTAATAATTACAAGTTAGAAGACAGTATTTTCAGCTGCATGCTTTACATTTGAGATGTGTGCGTGTGTTGTTTGTGCTGGTCCTGGAGTTTGAACTCAGGGTCTGGGCACTGTCTTTGAGCTTCTTTTTGATGCAAGCTAGTGCTCTTCTACCCCTTGAGCCATGTCTCCAGTTCCAGCTTATTTTTTAGTAGTTTACGAGACATAGAATCTCACTAGCTTTCCTGCCTACTCTGGCTTTGAATTGAGATCCTCAGATCTCAGCCTCCTGAGTAGCTAGGATTACAGGCGTGAGCCACTAGCACCTGGATACATTTGAGTTTTTGATGGTACCAAGGTTTGAACTTAGGGCCTCAAGTTCTCGCTCAGGTTTTCTTTCTCACAGCTGATACTCTGTCACTTCAGCTATACCTCCAACCTGGCTTTTTTGCTGATTAATTAGAGATAAAGTCTTGCAGGTTTTTCTGCCCAGCTGGCTTTGGACCACAAATCTCAGATACTTAAGAAGCTAGGATTACAGCTAAGAGCTACTGGCTTCCAGCTTGATTGAGTGTTTTGAGTATTACCTTCTGTTTGGTTTTCATAATATGTATAAGTTCATTTAACTACTATTAGATATGTATTTTTATGACAAACTACCCTAATCTTCTCCCAGCTCACAATGGATTTCACATTTTAAGTTCGCTTTTGTAGTAATGCAAAAAATTTAAATAACGCTTTTTGATGTATCATATTAGTAGCAAATCCATTTTTCAATACTATTATGAAATTCTTTTAAAAAAATTCTTATTAGGTTAACAGTATGATTTTATTATCTCACAATAATTTGATAAAGATAATTTGATAAATATAATTAATATTTTGATAACTATAATTAATGATCAAGGACAATATGTAAATGAATGATCATGGCCATATCAAAACTTTATAAAAACAGATTGTTGGTTTACAGGACCTGGTTTGCTGATTCTGCTGTAAAGGAAAAAATTTTATTTGGGGTGCATTATATTGCTACTTTGGGATGAAGTGTGTAATTGAATATGTTAATCTTTTTGTGGAAAGGAATGGAGTTTTTTAAGCTGAGGTCTACATTTGTTCATGTTCTCACAAATCAAGGAATTCTAAAATACCTCTTTTCCTTTTTTTTTTTTTTTAACCTCTTCTCCTTTTTGTATTTTCTTTCTTTCTTTCTTCATTTTTTGGGAGGGGTGGGAGGTGCTGGTCATGGGGCTTGAATTCAGGGTCTGGGCACTGACCCCAAGGGTTTTTTTTTTTTTTTTTGCTCAAGGCTAGTGTTCTACCACTTTGAGCCACAGCTCACTTCCAGTTTTCTGGGGGTTAATTGGAGATAAGAATCTCACAACTGGGGGTTGGCACTGACCTGTCCGCATGCAAGCCACATTGATAAGCCACCATTCAGGGATTCTGGGTAGAATCACAGCCACTCGGTCTCCTCTCTGCAGGTTGCAAGGCTTGGTGAGCATATTGGCAGCCTTTCGGGATAAGGTACTCAGGTCTCTGAAGCTCCATTTCACCTCGTCTCCTTGGCCATTCACCCACCACAGGGCTGGGTTGGCTGGTCTCTCCCCAATCTGGCCCGATGACATATCGAAAAGAGAAAAAAAAGTTGCTATGATTTGGAAGTGTCATGGAAAAGCCCACTTATTAAAGGTTTGATTCTACCACCTCCCAATAATCTGTGGCACTAGAGTCCAAGCTGGGGCCTAGAGGGAGGGAGTTAAGTTATTGGGAGTCATGCTCTTGAAGGGGATGTGGGATCCTAGACTCTTCCTTTTTCTTGCTCACTTTGCTTCCCAGCTACCCTGAAGTGAACAGGCCAGGCCTTCTCCCCCATACATTCCTCCCACAAGGTACTATGCTGTTACAGGCCCAAAGCAGCAGGGTCAAGCAGCCATTGACTAAAACCTCTAAAACTGTGAGCCAAAATAAAGAACTCTTTCTTTTAGGTTATTTATCTCAGCTATTCTATCCCAGTGATGGAAAGCCAACTAATACAGAAGGCCTATATGTCTGGTTATCACATAGCTAAAACACCTGCCATTCCTCCTCCTTAACACCTGTTCCTGAGCAGTCTAGTTTGTCTTTGGGGAAACTATTCCTTACCTATTAAACATGACCTTGCTGAGACAATTCATCCAGGAGCTTAGGTGGGCATGTGACCAAAGTTGGGCCAATCAAATCCTTTATCCTTGGACTTTTGAGTTTTCCAAGAACCAAAAGGTAGCAAGCAATTGCAGTAAAATAGTTAATATTTATGAACTTCCCAAACTCCCTGTAGTTTTCCTGGTTTCTTTCTTCACTAAGACAGACTCTCCAGAATCTACCCCAATTTGGGGAGCTCTCACATATTTTTCTGATAAATTTCTTTCTTGCTTAAGTTAGATTCTGTTCACCCAAATAACCTTAAGGGGAATACCAAGTTTGATCAGGAACCTGACATGTTTTAGTACCTGAAGTTTGAAGTGTAAGTTTTATAGGCAGGGATAGGATAGAGATGGGTATCACTTAATTGATTTCTGGAGGAAGCTTCTCAAGGATCATACAATAGAGTGAGTCACAAGTATTGGAAAAACCTCTGTGCTTGTTGCATTTCCTGGGAACATATCATTCCTTCCTTTTCTTCCCATTCCCCCCAATCTGGAATACCATCCTGCTTGAAAAATACTTCAAAGCACAATTTACATTTCAGTACATCTGTGAGCTTTCTTAAGCCTCCTTCTTTTCCTCATGATTTTGTCCATGTTCCATATCAGGCAACTCCATTGCCCCTGAATGGTATCATATTACAGGTATGTCCTAATATGGGTGTAGACCAGTAAGATCAGGGACTTGGTTCATGTTCTTTTGGAGCTGTGTGATCTTGGATAAGCAGCTTAACTTCTGTGAGGGGATAACTTGTTATCCCCTCATGAAATTATCCCCTCCCTGGCGTAGTTATGGGGATTTGATGAAATATTATAGGTTAGCATTTCTCAATCATTTGATCAGTGTTTCTGCCAGATCTGTCTGCATCTGCACTATTGTGCTTGTTATTTGTCTTTAATTCAACTCATTTGTATATGTCTACTTGAGAAGGGAAATGCATTTAATTAGCACTATAATTAGAAAATCAGCAGTCTTGTTTAAAAAAGGCTGCAGAAATATTTCAGTGAAAGTAAAAGTATCACCATAAATTTTACGTAAAGATTAACAACGTTTTTGTGTGTTTGTGTGTCAGTACTGGGGCTTGAATTTAGGGCCTCAAAGGGCTTCACAGTCTTCTTTTTTTTTTTTTTTTTTGCTGAAGTCTGCTGCTCTACCACTTGAGCCACACTTCCTCTTCCAGTTTTTTATTATTGTTATTTTAAGATAAAAGTATCTGGATTTGTCTGCCTAAGATATCTTGGAACTCCGATCCTCAGATCTTAGTCTCCCGTATAGCTAAAATTATAGGCACAAGCCACTGGTGCCTAGCAAATTTTCTAGTTTTTGAGGCAGGATCTTACTTTGTAACATAAGTTAGCCTCTGCCTCCTGAGTGCTGGGATTGTACATGTACACTACCATTCCTGGCTTGCAATTGATTAACTCCTATCTGCTCTCTCTGTTCAGAAGAGACTTCAGCAATGTAAGGTATGAATGATGCTGATTTTCAAGGACATTTTTCCTCATGTAATTAATAGGAGGACTATTTTAGTGTTCTTGAATATCTTGTATATTGAGGGCCTAACATCTACTTCTGAACCACAAGTCCCACAGTGCATTTTGATAAGCACTGAAAGGTAAAGTGCTTAGCTCAGTGCTGGCATAGTGTGGAGGAACAGTAAAGAAGGCCCTTTTCCTACTCCAAGATTCTGGAAGGCATGCTTGCTTGATTCTTGTCGCTCTCTGATTCCTCTCCAATTATTCCAATGATTACTATACTGATAAAACTAAAGCTGAAATTACTACCTTTTTTTTTTTTGTTGTTGTTGTTTTTTGGGTCCAGTTGTGGGGCCTGAACTCTGGGCCTGGGCGCTGTCCCTCAGCTCTTCAGCTCAAGGCTAGCACTCTACCACTTGAGCCACAGCACCACTTCTGGCTTTTTTTCTTTTTTCTTATGTGGTGCTGAGGAATCGAACCCAAGGTCTCAGGCATGCAAGGCAAGCACTCTACCACTGAGCCACCTTCCCAGCCCTGAAATTACTACCTTTTTGGATAAGCCTGTGACCATCTCAAACCCAAAGAGATGTTTTATGGGACTTGGAGAAAAAGAAAAAACCCTAAGTCTTTTGATTCATCATAGTGGAGGAAGTAGGGAAGGAGTGAAGGAACTAAGGAGGTTCCAGAGAAAGCTGTAAGTAGTTGAGTATCTATGATCACTGAGGAAAGAGGAAGGAAAGTAGAAAACAACAAAAGCTAAGGCAGGCTGGACACCATTGGCTTACACATGTAATCCTAGCTAGTCAGGAGGCTGAGATCTGAGGATCACAGTTTGAAGGCAGCCCAGGCAGGAAAGTTTGTGAAATTCTTATCTTCAGTTAAGCACCAAAAAAATTAAAAAAAGCCAGAAGTGGAGCTATAGCTCGAGTGGTAGAGCACTATCCTGGAACACAAAAGCTCAGGGACAACAGCCAGGCTGAGAATTCAAGCCCCAAGACTGGCACCAAAAACAAATCAAAACAAAACAAAAGCAAAAAACAACAAGTCAAGGCAGGTAAAAAAAATGAATTAAATAGAAAAGTTGACCACAAAGCAAGGAGAAAAAAGACAGAGATAGGGGAAGCATACAGTGAAGTCCAGCCATAATATACCTTCTCTTTTTGTGACCACTGATCTATCACATCCCCAGCAAAGTTAAAGTTCTTAGGCAGTGACATTTCACAACGATTGATGGCTTCCAAGTCAGCAAGAGCAAGGTGTGCCCCAAGTTGATGGTTTCTGTGGAAATGTCTGCCAGCTGGCTTGGTGAACCAGCTGAATCTAAATATCTGGTAGTGAAAAAAATTCATGATTCCACAGGACTTTGCTGGTGGAGAAGTACCACGGTCTGTGGGGAAAGATGGGTAGGGGGGTATCAGAAAAGATTTGGAAGTTGTCTTGTGGTACTACCTAGCAAGTTGAAAAACTTCCACCTTCAACTCCTTCCTTTGGAGTTGTTGCTCTCAGCCATTGATGGGTTTCCTTGCCATGGACTGTTCCTCTTCTTTCTGTCTATGACCAGAATGAATTCATAAATCACTATAATTCTGGGTGCCAGTGCCTCAAGCCTTTAATCCTAGCTACTCAGGAAACTGAGATTGTGGTTCAAAGCCAGCCTAGGCAAGAAAGTCTGTGAGAGTCCAAAAAAGTTGGAAGTGGAACTGTGGCTCAAGGACCCCAGGACCAGCGTGCGCGCGCGCACACACACACACACACACACACACACACACACACACACTCACACACTCACTCATTATTACTATAGGATTGTCAAGTTCAAGTCTTCTGTCTCTACTTTCTCTCCAGCAGTGTTGCCTGGATTGGCATTCAAGGCCTCCTTCCAATTGTCTATTTTATTCTTGTATTTATTCCATCTGCTACTTCTTCTGGGTGAATATCTTCTTTCAGTAAAAGTAGTCCATTTACTTTTCATGAATATCCATGAAATCAGGTAACTTGAGGGGGTGAATGGGGTTGGGATAGATGAGGAAAAATGATGGAAGGAATGGCATTGATCAAGATGCATTGTACTCATGAACTGACATACTGAATTGAAATCCTCTTGTATGCCTACTTAAAGATAATAAAAAGGGAATATTCATATTCATGTTTACCACTGAGATGTGGCTTGCCATTTTCCCTGATACTGGTTGCCCTGCCTTCCTCTTCTCTTCAAGCCTCCAATATAATTGGTTAGAAACCTTCAATAACCTGGCTCAGATATGTTCTGGCTATAAGACGTTACTCCTTAATGATCTCATCTATCAAATGGGAAAATATAAGACCTAACTCCCAGTGTTATTACAAAGGCTTAATGAGAAAATATGTGCAACATGCCTAGCTTGTAAAAAAGAGTTCATTTGTAAACTTCTTATATTTTAAGATTATTTTCATTAGTGCTATTGTGGTGCAGTTTTCTGAGACAGTCTTCCAATATTAATTAGGAGAGCTGGACTTTAATCCCAACTCTTTCAAGACTAGCTTTGTGACATTAGTAAAGCCACTCACCCTTTCTGAACTCCATCTATAATCTAACTTTTTTCCACCTAATTCCATAATCCCCCTTTCCTTTGAATTTCCTTAACTTGGATCATACTACTCATGTGAGACTTATCCAGCTTGTATTATTAATTATTGTTTTTATATATGTTCTTTGTTTCTGGAACACACCCAGAATGTATAAGCAGAAACAGTATATCAAATTAATAGTATAAATATGACTCAATAAGAAAAGCCAATGTTCATGAAGTTCCTGGTCTAGGCCAGGTCGTTTATGTACCTGATGTCATTCAACACTGATGCCAAATTTATGAGGCTGAAGCTTCTTTTATTTCAATTTTGCAGATGAAGAAACAAGCTCATTCAGACTGAAGGACTTGCCCAAGGTCATTCATCTTGTGGTGGCAAGGTCTGAAACTTTAGAGGCTGACTTCAGAGCTTGGTTAATCAATCTTCTTGCTATTGTATCCTTTATGCTACTTTCTTCAATAAAGTTTTCCTCCCACACTCCTTCCCTCCCTTCTTTCTTTCCTTCCTTTCTTCCTTCTTTCCTTTTCCCCTCCCTTGCTTCCTCCCTTCCTCCCTTCTTTCCTTCCTTCCCTCCTTGTTTTTCATTCAGTGGTACCAGGGTTTGAACTCAAGGTCTCACATTGGCTATGATCCCACTGACTCACATCTCCACTGAAGGTTTGAACACCATCACTTTTTGCCCTTCAATTCTACGCAGTTGATTTGCATAGAATGGAAAAATCTGCAGGTGCAAAGGGAACCTGGATCTGCAGCATTAATGACAACTAAGCAAAGAACAAATAGTGCAGGAAATGCTTTTGTCTCATTGTTATCAACCTTTTGGCTGCCCAGCTTCATGTAGATAAGTCTATTTGGTACAAATATAATAATTTAGACCCAGAGAGCTATATCTGGCAATGTGGTTGATGTTCAGCTCTCTGTTGTGTCAAGGCAGTAAGCAAGATCATGTATGGAAATATTACAATATGTGTTAATAATTATAATATATATCAAAAAATAAATGAGACATACTTCAGTAATTTTTAGGAAATGTGGTAGAGGTATCACAAGAAGAAAGGAATAAAAAAATAAGAGTAGGCTGTACTAATGACTCACTATCTGCCCAAAGTGAGACCCTCATTCTAACACACACACAACATACATGTACACACATGCATATGTGATACATTGACATACTATGCATATACATACACTTAAATTCACAGTTATTTCTCTGAATGACTTTTTCCAAGCTGATGAACCTTTCAGGCTTTCATTTTCATTCATCAGTGACAAAACTATATTCACTGGCTAGTTGTGAGCTTTTTATGATACTGGGGACTGAGGACATGGCTATGACCCAATAAATACTGAGCATGAAAAAAATCAAGTGCTATTTATGCTGGAAGACTCTGGCTGTTTGACATACTAAAAATAATACAAAAGCTATTGGATTGGAGCCATTGATATTTACTTCTGCCTGTTCTAATGTCACACCAGTATGCCTGCCACCTGCTACTTTGAAGCATTGTGGGCACCACTTCCATCACTTTAATCTTTCTTGGTTTGGTTTAATAATAAACTGGAAAGATTTCCAAGACATGAGATATCTAGAGCTCTCTTGCTTCCTGATCCTAAGGAGGATAACATGAAATGATACCAGATAGATTTTCTAATGCAAATCTCTTCTCAATCTTCTCCAAGTTAAAAGATGATGATTTTCATGAATCATTTTTATTTCCATGGACAAATTTAACATATTATAATAAATCATAAATATATCAACAAATAAAAAATTACAGTATGTAAATAGAATGGAAATGAATACATACTTTAGCATTTTATGTATTCTATACATGAGCAATGTGAAGTAGGTATTACATAAGCACATGTAATTATTAGTAATCCATACTATCATCTTAAAGAGTAAGATTTTTAATTAAACTATTTTATGATTTTGTCAATAACGTGTCTTCTTTTCTGTCTCTTTGATTTGCTTTTGAGTTTTCAGAATAGATTCAAGGCTAATAAGCCTGATAAGACCCTGTACAAGGGAGGCTAATAAAAATATAGCTTGGTTTTTTTTTTTGGGTCCGGTCGTGGGGCCTGAACTCTGGGCCTGGACACTGTCCCTCAGCTCTTCAGCTCAAGGCTAGCACTCTACCACTTGAGCCACAGCGCCACTTCTGGCTTTTAATTTCTTGCTTATGTGGTGCTGAGGAATCGAACCCAGGGCCTCGAGCATGCAAGGCAAGTGCTCTACCATTGAGCCACCTTCCCAGCCCAAAAAAATATAGCTTGTTAAGACAGTTTTGAGAACATTGTGGTAATATGTATATGGTGCTCAACACTTTGTTGTCACAGCTACCAATGCAGAAAGTGCTTTAATTACTACTTTAAAATATGACATATAAATTGGGAGCTTACCTTTTCTTCTTTATCGAGATAAAAGTCAGTGGGCTCTGTCAAGAGGATGGGCCCAGGAGAATTTTGTTGACCTCACCCTTTCAATAAAATCAACAGAGTGCTCACTTCAGCAGCACATACACTAAAATTGGAACGATACAGAGAAGATTAGCATGGCCCCTGCTCAAGGATGATATACAAATTTGTGAAATAAAGTCAACAGAATATGAATTTCATATTAATTTATGTTTCAAAATAAGACTTACCCATATAATACTTCGAATCCTGAGTTTCTCAAATTTTAAAACATAAAGCCTGGCAAATACATAATATAATTTGGAACGATATTATGTTTCTCATTAATACAAGTATATAAATACCTTATATAAATATATAGAATTAACCATTGCTATGGTTAAACATGAATTTAAGACATAAAAAAGACATGTTGGTGGCTAAAAAATAAAGAGAAAGCATTAAGGAGACTTTAAGGAGACTACAAAACTGAGGGGCTGCCATTTTGTATTGAGCAGAATTGTTTCCTGACTTGGGGTTTTGTGGTAAGTTAATCTGATTCTAGGTTCAAATATAAGAGTTGTTGACAGGTTTAACTGAAATATCATTGTAGAAATTTGAATATAATCACATGAACAAAATAAAATACCTTTAGAAAATTCCTCTGAAGGGCTGAGAGTATGGCTCAGTGGTAGAGTGCGTGCCTAGCATTCATGAAACCCCAGGTTCAATTCCTTAATACCACATAAACAGAAAAAGCCTGAAGTGGTGCTGTAGCTCAAGTGGTAGAGCACTAGTGTTGAGCCAAAGAAGCTCATATACAGTGCCCGGTCCCTGAGTTCAAGCCCATGACAGGCAAAAAAGATAAAAATAAATAAATAAAATAAAATGCCTATGAAAGTAAGAGTTGAACTAAGTAATTTCTAAGGCTTTAGTGACTTCTAGAGTGTTAAGAGAAACATTATCAGTGGAAAAAAATTATTGAGCAATTGAAGACTTATCACATTAATAACATCTATTTGTTATCTTGTTAAATTTTTCCCGCAGTCCTGAAGGAAGGTATTTTACCTCACATACATACAATTATTTTATATACAAGACATTGGGGGGCATTAAAAGGAAGTAATTTAGCACAGGCTGTTGACTTAGCAAGCAGCAGACATTCTAGCCCACATTTGTTCTCACCAGGTCCAGTGAAAGGAAAAGCTATCTCTGATTTTTCTACATTTTTACCAGTCTTTATAGAGTAGAACAGTTCAACTGTCAAAGAGAGACAATCTTCTTTGCTTAGGTTTTGCAGTGATCCAATTATGGCATTGCAGTGTGCCTCTTTTCTGCTGCTGTGCTAGAGTCACAGTCAGTTTGATGTTAGGACATGCACCTACCTTACTAGCAAAAGTTATTATGGATCCAGAAAGATCTTCCGCATCTTCACAAAGACTCTCAGTTCTGTATCTGGTAGAAAGTTGGCTTTTGCCCCCTTCTTTTAGGGGCATCTATGTCATTGTGGCTTCAAGTCTCAGATGTGCAGTTGGGAGGATTGTTATCCTCTGGGAGGAGAGATTTTGTTTCTCTGGACAACCTGTGGTTAAAGAGACAGTAGCTTATAAGACTGAGTAGAGAAAGGAAATACAGGGGCAACCTCCTCCCACGGTTCATTGCCAAACAAAAGCTGAGCCCCAGGAGATTAATGGATTAGTCTCATTCCTGGAAACAATGATATTGAGATCCATGCAGAGCAAATAGTCCATCCCAGAATCTCTTGATATGATTACCAAGTAGTCCAGGACACTAGCATGCTCAGTTATGGTGGTGTAGTGATTCTTTTTTTATTATATATATATATATATATATATATATATATATATATATATATATATATATATATATATTAATGTTTTTTGGGTCCGGTCGTGGGGCCTGAACTCTGGGCCTGGGCGCTGTCCCTCAGCTCTTCAGCTCAAGGCTAACTCTCTACCACTTGAGCCACAGCGCCACTTCCGGCTTTTTGCTTTTTGCTTATGTGGTGCTGAGGAATTGAACCCGGGGCCTCAGGCATGCAAGGCAAGCACTCTACCACTGAGCCAACTTTCCAGCCCTGGTGTAGTGATTATAATCTGGGCAAAACCTAACAAAGTAGGACAACCAAATAAACCACATTTGAACTGTTTTTTGTTTTTTTTTGATCAGTCTTGGGACTTGAACTCTGGGCCTGGGTACGGTCGCTGAGTTCTTCAGCTCAAGGCAAGCACTCTACCACTTGAGCCACAGTGCCACTTCTGGTTTTCTGGTGGTTAATTGGAGCTAAGAGCCTCAGGCCTTTCCTTCCTGGGCTGGCTTTGAAAAGTAATCCTCAGATCTCAGCCTCCTGAGTAGCTAGGATTATAGGCATTAGCCATCAATGCCTGGATTCACATTTAAACTCTTAACTGATTGATTAGAAGAGATATTGAGAAATCTTTCGAACTTTTGGCTTTTATTGAGCACCTACTGGGACTATGGTTAAAGGAACAGCACTGTTAAATACATGCCTAAGGTTATTTCATTTTGGAATCATTTGTTTGTCTGAACAAACACAACAAAAGAGAAGTACTAATTTTGGCATTATAGTTGTGACAAATGTATAATGATAATGTAAGGTATTATCAATGGAATTTGGGTGAAAGGCATAATGGAAGTCTTTATATTGGCTTTGCAACTTTTCTGTAAATCTAAGACTATAATATAAAATAAAAATCATGTCTAAAATTACAACTACAGAAATATAATGAAAGATTGATTATATACATACATATGTAGTGTATAAAAATCAGTATGTAAGAGGAAATAATGGTGGCTATGTTTAATCTGATCCAACATTTGAGAAGTTGCATCATGCCCACAAGTGGACATATTTAGTGAATAAATAAATATGGCTACTGAGGAACAGAATAAAGTATTTCCTCTAAAGTAGATGCAGATAAGTAAGATAGGGGGGAAATAGGGGACAAAATAGGGGGGGAAATAATGGGAAATAAGTACACAAAATACCAAAGTCTTACACATTTGTTAGAAGAAAGCCAGAAATTTGGCTAGAGCTTTCTTTCTAAAGAGAGTTTGTCTATAAGACAAACGCAACACAGACCAGTTGTTCAGAAATATGTTAACTTTTTCTGTTATTGAGACCAGATGAAAGTTTTAACTTATTTTTACTTTTTTTTTTTTTTGCCAGTTCTGGGGCTTGGACTGAGGGCCTGAGTGCTGTCCCTGAGCATCTTTTTCTCAAAGCTAGTGCTCTACCATTTGAGCTATAGCTCCTTTTCCGGTTTCCTTTATTTTTTTATTGGAGATAAGAGTCTCATGAACTTTCCTGCCCAGTCTCCTCCAAACTTCAACCCTCAGATCTCAGCCTTCTAAGTCACTAGGATTACAGGTATGAGCCACTGGTTCCTGGCTCAGAAGGAAGTTTTTTTCTCTTAGATCTTCCTATGAAAATCATCTTCAATATCATCATACACTAAACTCAGCAATCAGCTTTTTTCTAGTTTATTTCTTTTTTTTTTTTTTTTTTTTTTTGGGTCCGGTTGTGGGGCCTGAACTCTGGGCCTGGGCGCTGTCCCTCAGCTCTTCAGCTCAAGGCTAGCGCTCTACCACTTGAGCCACAGTGCCACTTCCGGCTTTTTTTCTTTTTTTTTGCTTATGTGGTGCTGAGGAATCGAACTCAGGGCCTCATGCATGCAAGGCAAGCGCTGTACCACTGAGCCACCTTCCCAGCCCCTCTAGTTTATTTCTATACCCAAGCAAATAGCGTTTCAGCAACATACATTTTGATAAAAGCAAACTCTATGAAGGTTAGAAGCAGAGACATAGTTGGAACACAGCCATTAAGTCTGTATATTCTGCTGAGGAGGGGGTTTGGAACCAACATCCTCTTTAGAAAGTCAAGTCTGACGAAGACCATACATATATCAACTACACATAGCAATTATTGTCAGGGGAGAAATAATCACTGGACTACTACAGTATTTCAAGCATATAGTAGGAAATGGGGCATCAGAGACGAAAAAGATATGGCATCTTCCCAGGAGAGAAATTCTGGCTAGAGAGCAGTATTTAAAGAAATTAATGTATATGTGATTGGATAAACATGAAAGTGTTTATCGAGGGAACAGCTGGTTATACTCTAGAGATGTAGGAATCAGGAAATAGAAGCTATTATGGTGGTCATAGGGTTGAGAACACAGGCTACTCCAAGAAGTTGGTTGTCTGATAGACAAATCTAGGAATCTGCCTCATTTAGTATATGCTGGTTGTGTACTATATTTAGGTTCTGGAGTGGGGGATCTGAGGCAGGGCCCAATTTTCTCTCTCATGTGTATTTTATTTTTTTGTACTACTTTCTGAACAATTTGCTCCTAAAATAAACTCCTTACATTTCTTTCTATCCTAAGGGCCACCGTACAGTATTTGGGGTCAAGGCTGTCCAATCACTATCACTTGGGACCTGTTTGGCTCCCTGTGTATTCTCAAGTCTTTGATCCATTTGTATTGAAAGAGCTAATGTCTCCTTCTTACAAAGGACAGGGCATATTCTATTTTTCTTGAGAATATAGATGTCTTGTGGGAATCTCCTACTTCAACAAGAAAGCAAGATAATAAGTCATCATTGGATTGCCATCAGCTTTCCAATGCTTCTTTTGGAAGAACCAAGATTTCTTCTGAGGATTTTAAGCACCAAGGCCCTTATTATTCAGGAGACCCCAGGGAGCATGTGGACATGCAGTTTGGTCATTAGCTGTGCCTTCAGGGAGCATACTCCTTCTCTGCAACAGGCGGAACTATAGCAACTGAAACTGGGCATAGGTTTCGAAAGGAACATGTGAAATCATGTCAGAACAGAATCTACAATTAGATAAGTTATCTCCTTGACCAGAGACTTAGAACTTAGAATCATTTCTTAGGGTCTTAAAATCACATCAATTCAGAAGCAGAGTGTCATAAATTCTCAGTGATCTGCTGCTATTACTATGTCTCAGGACTTTCTAATGCATATTACCTTGAAATTTCCTGGTACATGCTATTATTTCCCTAATCCTCACAAAAATCCTGTGAAATAACACTGTAATTTTATAAGCAGAGTCTGAGAGATTAAGTAAATTGCGCAGGGCCAAGTTTTATTTTAACACTGTATTCTTTATGTTCTTCTTCTTCATCCTCATCTTCATCATCAATTTTTAGCATGTTGATGCCCAGCAACCTGTAATGATGACTAATGAATTTTCAAAGTATGATTATGAACTCATAAGTACTATATATAGGTAGTATATATAGTGTAAGTACTGCATACAGTATTTATAATACAATATATAGTAAATATAGATAAGAAATACTATATAGTAAATATAATATATAAAATTTATGTACTTTTTGCATAATAAATAAGTACAATATATAGTAAATATATGCAATATATAAATACTATATATAGTAAATATATAATATGTAACATATAATGTGGATATATACACATTGTTTTAATTTCCCTGTTGATTCCTCAACAAACACACAAGATTTCTGGATATTTCAAAAATTGTTAATCTATAACTGAAACTCAACTAAAGTTTAGCAAAATACTAAATATTTTTAAATATTCCACCTTAAGATATGACCTTGTACACTGAGTGTTATCTCCTTCTAAATAATTATAAACTGGCATTACAAAATGAAACATCTGTATCATAGCTATGAAAATTATCAACTGGCTAGTGAGTATATTCCAGAGTTGCTTATAACTTGATATATTTTCTCTCTTCTATTAGACCATTAACTCAGTAAGGGTTAAAAACTAACTTCTTTATATTCTGCATGTGCATAATAAAATTGTTTGAAGTAGCAAAAAAATGCTCAAACTGTCCAGAAGGGAATCTTCAGGCTGGCTTCTTTAGTCTTTTTTTCTCTCTCTTTTTAAAAAATTGTTATTTTTGTCAAGGTGATTTACAGAGGGGTTACAGTTACGTAAGTCAGGTAATGAGTACATTTCTTTTTGAACAGTCACCCTTCCCTTGCTTTTTCACAGGTTTTCCCTCCCTCTCCCCCTAGTTACATAGATCATTTTCAACACAGTCTTTAGTGTGTATCACTGCTGCATTTCTTCACCTTTTGTTCCACCATTTCAGTACTTCCCCTTGCCCTCCCCCTTGTATACAAGATAAAAGGTACAGCAACAAAAACAGTGATAAAGGAGAACAAAAAATTCCCATTTCTACAAGTAAACACACTGGACAGTGAAAAGACAAAAAAATACATTTGGACATTCCCACAGTGAGAACAAAGGAGGGTAATCTTAGGAGAGAATGACCAAGGCTCAATATTCTATAGTCTTTTTGATGTGACCCCATTTGCCTTTGAAAGCTTTCTTATTTTCTGACACAATAAAATGCCCCATTTCATTTTGTACTTTTTCTGTCCCATTTCGAAAATCAGCCATATCTCCAAGAAGTTCTGATTTCCTTTAGTGAGAAATGATGTTTGTCATTCATTTAACTGACCACAATTTTCTATGGTGCTTTACTAATATAAGACTGACTAGCTATTAGTAGGAATAGTAATGTGTATGCATCTGTAATCCCAGCATTTAAGAAGCTGAGACTGAGCCAGGAATCGTTGGCTCATGCCTGTAATCCTAGCTATACAGGAGGCTGAGATCTGAGGATTGCAGTTCAAAGCCAGTCCGGGCAGCAAAGTCCATGAGACTATTATCTCCAATTAACCATCAGAAAACCGGAAGTGGCGCTGTGGCTCATGTGGTGGAGTGCTAGCTTTGAGTTGAAATTCTCAGGGACAGTGCCCAGGCTCAGAGTTCAAGCCCCATAACAGATCAAAAAAAAAAAAAAAAAATGAAGCTGAGACTGGATAGCTGAGGACTGACTATGTAGTACAGGTTCCATAGAGAGACCCTATCTCAATAATTTACTAATAAGGTTTAGCATAACAAAGTGTTAGACAAACAAGTGGCATTTTAATCATGGTGAATTAAGAAGTCCTGTGGCAGGGCAGTAAGTTGCCTGGACCTCCTAGCTTGTGTTAATCAGTATTATATGTCTATATCTATAGTTGGTTGGAACCTAGGATTATTTAGGATACAGTTGCTCCTTAAATATTTACTAATTAATTAATTAACACTTTGCACCAGACTGTGCAGGATTCTAGCGCTACATAAGCTACATAAGATACACATTACCTCACCATTGCTGGAATAATAAGAAGAAGAAAAACATGGGACATGGCTGTCACTTCTCCCTGTCTTCATTCCCTCTGGAACAAGCTGATGGCACATATTCACACTTAGTTCAGAATGACTGGTGGTGTTTTCTTTTTTACTCTTTAAGTAGTTGTGCAAAGGAATTTCAATTCAATATATCAGCTTATGAATACAATGCATCTTGATCAATCCCCTTCCATTGCTCCCGCGCCATCTCTTCCAACCACCCTCATCCCCTCAAGTTACCTGGTTCCATATTTACATAGGGACATTGAATATAATGACTAATTCTGCCCACCATTCTGTTCTCCTTTTGTCTGCCCTCCCCTTCTCATCTCACCCCATATGACAAAACATGTTTCATTTCCTGGTATTCATTTTGTTAAACTGTACATTAGCTGTTCAGAGGCATTACTTCCCTGAGTATACCATACTCTAGTCAGTTTGTGTATCTTATGTGTATGACCTATATATGTTTTCATATATGTTTATAATTTAGTTCTAACTTGAGTGGTAGTAGACAAGTAGAGACAAGGATTGTGTTAGTATTGACTTCAGGCTTTACCTTCTGAGCCTCTGGCCTGAGTGAGCTTCTCTAAGGGAGATATAGTTGCTATACAGCAATAGTACCTTCAGAGACTTTTAAGGGGACAAAGAACTTTTAGGTACCAGAGTAATTGATTGAAACACTGAGTCCACTTCATCCTTTGGGCCAGTAGGCAGGACACCAGGTGCAGCCAGCAGAAGAAAGAGCCATTGTTTCCTATGAATAGAAATAAAAAACCTATGTTTAAGAGTTTAAGTCAAATTAATGATATACATTTCAGGGCTCCAGGTGGTATAGTTTGGATTATCACATAGTTGACTTAGGCTTTATTCTAAATATCACTAAGGAAGTTTGTTGGCTGGCCACATTTCTCATTTATCCAGATGGACACTCATGTCATGAGAAATGGGTGGGGTCTCTAACAGCACAATACTTATTTTTAGAGCCATGACATTACCTTTCCTCACACCATTAGAATATAACCTGCAAGAAAGCAGGGATTTTTGTTTGATATTCTATCTTTAGCACCTTGGATAATGGCTAGCCCAAGGTAGCTTTCTCAAATACTACTTGTTAGTTGAATTAACACAATTTTCCCATAACAACATGGATTTGTGTAGGCTGTTCTCTGGAGATTTTGTTTTGCTCTTGCTTGGTTTACATAGAAAGCATCTGTGCCTTGAACCAGTCAGGATAAACTATACTATGATGTGAAATAAACAATCTCCCAAATCTCAATGATTTTAAAAACAACAGAGTGTTGTTTATTTCTTGTTCCCATTGCTTATCTGGCATAAATCAGCTGAGAGATTTTCTATGACTTGGAGGACTGAACAATTATTATTTGAAGGATTGTCAATAATGTTGAGGAGAGAGCAGTTGCATATATACTCTAACCTGCAAATGATGTAGATCATTCTAGCTCACAGTTCATTAACCAGAACTTGACATATGGCACTACTAGTAGGTACACATTTTGTAGGGTAATGATTATCAAAGTTGTAGTTTATTTATTTAATGTATTCTTTATTTAGGCAGTACTGAGGGTTGAACTAAGGACCTCTACTTGCTTGTCTTGGTTGCTCAGATTGTACCCTCCCACTTCAGTCACACTTCCAGCCTGCTTTTTTTTGTTGGTTGTGGGGCTTGAACTCTGGGTCTGGGCACTGTCCCTCAGCTCTTCAGCTCGAGGCAAGCGCTCTACCAGTTGAGATACAGCACCACTTCTGGTGTTCTGGTCGTTTATTGGAGATAAGAGTCTCATGGACTTTCCTGCCTGGGCTAGCTTTGAACTGAGATCCTCAGATATCAGCCTCCTGAGTAGCTACAATTACAGGAATAAGCCACCACCAGCACCCAGCTCTCAGCCTGCTGGTTATGAAATGTCATAGGCTTTTCTGCCCAGGCTGGCTTTGAACTATGATCCTCTAGAGCTCAGCCTCTTGGATTATAAGTATGAGCCATTGGTACTGGGCAAGAATGTTTTAGATTTATTCTATTTCTAAAAGTTTTCATAACAACCCAAGAACACTTTCCTAGAAGAACAATACTTTTAAAAAGAAGTCAGACTGTGGATCTGAGGGTGTAGCTCAGTGAGAGAGTACATGCTTAGCCTCAGACCCTGAGTCTAGTCCCCTACATCCAAACAAAAACAACCCTCAAACTAAAATCACTTCCCCACATCACCCCAAATCAGACTGGTCATATTCAACAGACTTAGTCTTACATGCAACCCAGTGGCAATAATCACCAGCCTTTTGAAATCAGAGAGACTTGAGTTCAATTTCAGCTCTGCCACTTAAAAGTTGTATGACAGTCTGTAAAGATGGTCTATCTTTCCAGGATTGGCATTTTCATCTCTAAAATGGGTTTACCTCCTGAGTTTCTGCTCAAAATTCTACATCTGTAGTAAAGCAGTGCCTCATGCACAATTAGAAATGACCAATCAAATCCATTTCCAAATTGACTTCAGTATTCAAACACTACCAAGCATAACCAGTTGGGCTTAGTTCTGAACTTGAGCTCTGAGACAGAGAAACCAAAAAAAGAACCAGAGTGGTATGGGCAAGACCAACTCAAAGCCAGTGAAAGAAAGACCACGCAGGGGAGGAGATATGGAAGGTGTTCCTGTACTAACAACCTACCTCCATAAAGATCAAGATGGACTCCCAAAGACCTCTCTCTAGGGAGAGTTTATATTCTATTTTTGCTTTCAGTAAACTTGCTGTTTTACTACAAAGAACCAAATAAATAAAATGGATTTACCACACAGATAGGATCCTCTAGGGAAAGGCTTAGCCTACCACCTGTGGCTTGGTGTTTGATTTAGTACAGGTACTCAGGCTTGAACTCAGAGCCTCCAAATCTTAAGGTGTTTTGCTCAACTCTTGGGCTCTACCAGGCCTTCACTTCTGTTTTTTTGCTAGTTAATTAGAGATAAGAGTTTTACATGAACTTTTCTTCTAGAGCTGGCTTGAGTAGCTATGACTGTAGACATGAGAAATAAGCACCTGGCTTAGTATTAACTTATTAATATTAAAAGAGAAATCGATAAAACCAAGAGAACACATACATATATTGTATGCTGGGCCTAAGCTTTGTTTACCTTGCTGAGTTCTCACAACAAGAGATGAGTCTAGAAGCTGGCCCCAACCCCCTTTCCTTGAGAGAGCTTTCCTTTGGATAGCTATAACCATATAAAGCAGCAAGATACCCTAAACCTCACAGGTCATATGGGTCACCTGAGAAGGCATTCCTTTGGGGCAGCTATGACCATGTAAGGCAGAAAGATTCCCCAAATCTCAGAAACAATTAACTGGCACTACTTCTCACTTCTCCTTTGTGAGAAGGGGTCTTCTTGCTGGACCTTTACTGGCAATAAACCTTTTCTTTGTCTTTTTTTGTACCTGTACATCTGCATGGTTTTCTGGCAAAGTCTAAAATACTTGGGCTGGGAACTAGGTTTATCTCGGTGAATTTGCTCATCAAGCTTCCCAGGAGCCTGGTTCTCAATTGCCTCTGTGCTAGTCACTTTCTCACTCTGAGAGTTGCAACCCCAAAGCCTGGACTTCTGCCAGACTGACACAGCCACCACATGGTCTCCCTTCTGTTACCGAGCGCTCTCCTACATCCAATTCACCACCCTTCATCTACATGGGGTAAGTGGACTTGAGATTCCTCACAGTTAATCCTTTGAAGCCCTGGTACCAGGCTACTGTGAGACTCCAGCAGAAGGCCTGGGGCCTGAGGTCCAAGACAAATGGGCTGGGTGACAACCCTTCTGCTGTGTCTTGCTACCATTATTCTCTCTAAGGAGAGTCATTCTGGGGATTCCTGGACTGTTTTGGCCTTAGATCAAGTCACCAATTGGTAATTCTCAGCCTAAGATCCATCTGACTCCCCCCTGGGGTGCATACTGACCAATATGCTCTCTTCACTGGCCCCTGGCCTCAAGCTCAGGTGCCTCATTGATCTGTACAACTGAGCACAGCCTGATTATGATCTAGAGAGCCAATTCAAATGGCTGCTTAAAGGTACCTTTAACCCTATCATCATTCTGGCTTTATACAACTCTTGTGAGCACTTAGAAAATGGAGCACATCCAGGACTCCTCATTTCTTCACTCTCTCTACCTCCAGACTAAAAATTATCTCTCTCCAAGCTAAAAGTCATTTAAATTCTCCCTCTCAAGGCTAAACTGTCTTCAACCTCTCTCCCTCCTGCCTTCCCTGCTGTTCTAATTGCCATGGTGGCCATTGCCACTGTGGCCATTGCCTCTGACTTCTCGACTCCTCCCCCTTGCAACTTCCTAGGGGAGGGGTCCCAGGCAGCACAGGGCAGCTCCCTCCTTCCACCCCAGCTGTCACTTCTGCCCCTCTTCAGCAGCTCCTCCTACGCCTCCTCCCTTGGACAGTCACTGGTCACTGTCTCAGCTTCTTCTCCCACTTCACTCCCTCCCATCTTCTTCAGCAGTTCCTCCTCTCCAGCAAGCTCTCAAGACCAAAGCCCTCCTCTCTCTCAAGGCTAACTCTTATGTGTGTGGCACTGCTCCTCATTCCAGGCCTTGGCCGCCCCTCCCTTTTCCAAGTCCTCCTATACTCCCTCTACTCCAACCCATCCCATTTGTCCTACACTGCCCACTATAAGCATTATGCCCACCTTTGGTCCCCAGCTCCACCCAGACCTGAGCTCCTCCCTGCCCTGGAGTTCCTGCCATACAGCTGGCCCCTCCCTCTCTCTGCCTAAACCCACCTGAACTCCCATCTACCTCACTTCCTACCCTCCAGAACCTGCTGCTGCCTAGATAGTGGAGGCTGCCATGTGCTCTCTCTCTGGGGGGAAATATGGCTCCTCTAATAAACCTTATAATAATCTTTCTACCTCTTCGTGGTCCCCTGGGATGGATGGGATGGATCCTTTCACCCACTAAGTCCTTCTCTGCTCTAAATCTCCTAGCCATCTCCTCTGACTTTTCTTGTCTGGTATTTTCTCTTTCCTGAGTCTACCCACTTTGGTATCTGAATTCTTAATTTCTCCTTTAAGCCAAACTCCTCTAGGAGGCTACAAAATAAAAATCTCTTCCTCTCACCTCTTCCCTATCTGGATACCTCTATTCAATTACCTCCTCTCATTAAAAACCTCAGCAACCCCCTCCCAAAATTCTCTTTACTGGCCTTGGAGGCTGACACCTACGAAGAGACAAAAGACACATGGTGGGTTTTCTACACTATCTCCTCCTTTTCCACCAGGATAACTCTTCTTCATTCTTCTAGGTGTTAAATGATTCACTCATATTCTGTTATGCCTTGCTAACAGAATTACTGCCTCTCTTCACAGGCCTGTAAATTGAGACCTGACCATCTAATATATTTTGTTAGCAAAGATGTGTAAACAGCAGGACCTTAAGGTTTCATGCCCAGAATCTTAGCTACTCAGGTGCTAAGATCTGAGGATTGTGGTTCCAGGTAGGAAAGTCTGTGAGACTCTTATTTCCAAAAAAAGAAAAAAGAAAAACAGAAGAGGAACTGTGGCTCAAATGACAGAGCTCTAGACTTGAGAAGAAAAAACAATTCAACAACTTTCCTCCCCGCCCGTCCCCCCTCCCCACCAAAAAAAAAACCCACCTCGGGGACTATGTCCAAGCAGCCCCAGGACAGGCACATGCGCACACACACACTCACACACACCCACACACACCCACACAAAATAAAACATATATAGGAGCCAGAAGAGATTTATAAGCCACATCATAGAGTTCTACCTTTGTGCCCAATGATAAAACACTAGGTCTTTGTCTCTGACTGATAATCTAAGGAGTTGAAAGTTCATGTAAGTAGGAACTTTACATAACTTTGGTACAGCATTGCCCAAAAAATCTTTCTTAGTTATAAAAAATAATCAAGAATAAACAAAGTTTGGAATGAATGGGAGAGAATGATGAAAAAGCTGATGCATTGTACTCATAAACTGACATGTTGAATAGTAACATCTTTGTACAACTTGTACATAGTTATTATTATTAAAGATAATAAAATATCACCACCACAACAATAATAATGAAAAGAATAAACAATGGCTAAATTATTTAGAGCTGAACTAAAAGCCTGCTTTAGGGGATTGAATAAAAATATCATTGGCAGTTGCCACAGGATGACAGGGCAATTAATATAGTTCTAGAATCTAGACTAAGTGGTTAGTCAGCGAACTGGGATATATCTTGCCCAGTCAACAACAATTAAGTGTAGTAAAATAAGGGCTGATTTTCAACTTTAATTCCTGATTTTTAATTCTAGCATACAGTAATTCTAGCATACAGTATTCAAATATATTTGGGATTCAAACTATGTATCTTATCACCGGCAGGCTAACCTCTTCTATCATAAAGACAACTTCTATATGGACAACTGAAATCCAGCTAGTTGACTGGAGACAGATTTGAGGAGAGATCAGTGCCATTTTCTAATTCCTTTGACTTGGTTCAGTGGGATCAAGCTTTGGACCTATTTTCCCCTTCCTAGCACGGATTTTAACCTTTTTACTCTCTAGTGAACTTTACTTTTGTCAGTTATGGGGCTTGAACTTTGGGTCTGGGCACTGTCCCTGAGCTCTTCAGCTCAAGGCTAGCACTCTACCATTTGTGCCACAGTACCACTTCCAGTTTTCTGGTGATTAATTAGAGATAAGAGTTTCTCAGCTTTTTCTGCCCGGGCTGCCTTTGACCCTTGATCCTCAGATCTCAGCCTACTGAGTAGCTAGGATTATAGGTGTGAGCCACCCAAGCCTGGCTTCTAGTGAACATTTCTAATATTAAATACAGTTAAAACATTTCTATGTAACTACCATGCACAAGGCACTATATTAGATACTGAGGATGAAAAAAATAAACAAGAGTTTAAATCCACTTTCTGTGCTTAAGCCACAGCAATTCCAATGTAACAGACTTTTCTTCACAAGCATTCGAACACTTGCAGAAGTCCAGGCTGTGTAATTTCAACCAATGAAATTCTGAAAAGAACTGTACTGAAAATGTAAGTACAAGTATAAAATAGAATAACAGTAACATTTTTGAGAGTCATGTAGATCAGGAATGAGAATCAGAGGGTATTGGCTATGAGTTCATTTCGACTCTATCAGATTACCTGTTTTAAGATTTTGTAGGAAGTTAAACCTGGTACAACTCTGAAGAATAATTGGAGTATGTATGGCAAGTACTCAGTCCTCTGAAACATTCTGTAAAAGTAGCATTTTTCTAATGATATCAAAAAGTTAATACAGTATAGTTATAATGTTAATAAAGTTAACATATGCTGAGGCTCTGGGTAAAATGACTACCAAAAGGGAAGTAGAGCTATGGCTTAAGTGGTAGAGTACTAGCCTTTAGCAAAAGCAGCTCAGGAACAGCAACTAGGTACTGAGTTCAACCCTGAGGACTGGCAATTCAAGAAAATGACAACTAAGAAAGCAGTATGAGCTGGGCACCAGTGGCTCACACCTACTCAGGAGGCTGAGATCTAAAAATCATGGTTCAAAGGCAAGCCCAGGCAGGAAAAGCTGTGAAACTCTAATCTCCAATAAACTACCAGAAAACTGGAAGTGGTGCTGTGGATCAAGTGGTAAAGTACTAGCCTTGAGCTGAAGAGCTGAGGGCAGCGCTCGGGCCCAGAGTTCAAGCCCCAGGACCGACAAAAAAAGAAAGAAAACAGTATGAAATACTCAACACCTGCCAACATTTATGGTTGTCAGTCAAATAGAAACTTATTCTGGCAAATTTGAGTGGAAATGGAATTTACTAGGAGCCTTTTAGGTAAATGTGGGATTATAGGGGAAGCTGGAGGAGCAGGTGTCAATGAGGAGGGGTAGGGGAGGCTGGAACCAGCATGTATGATCTAAAGAATGTGCTTTTGCTACCCCTGTTGGAATGCTGCTGCTACCTGTGTCCACTGGTAGGAAGCTATGACCACTAGTAGGAAGAACACCAGATGGGTCCACCTTCTTTATACATTTTCCTGAGTTCTCACAATCAGATCAAGGCACCAAGTTGTTGAAGCTGAGTTGATGTGCCCACAACAGATTGAGAACAAGTAGGAAGTGATATTTGAACCTTCCAAAGTACAAAGTGGGAGCCTGTATCCCATTTAGAATTACTCACTGAAAGATTCCCTCCCGCCAAAAAAAAAAAAAAAATAGGAGGTTCATTTGTAGTTACAATAAATATGAACCCCAATTTAAATGATAGGTAAACTACCTGTACATAAATATGGTTTATGCTTTACCTCAGTCTTCCTTTGCTGGTGATAGAATCTGGTTATTTTGCTGTTGAGTTCTAAGGAGTAAATAAAAAGACATCTTTGGAAAACTCTTCCCCAAGCATCTAACTTTATAAAATCCCTTCCATAGCTGGCTAGGAGGGAACTAACCAGGATTTAGCATTTTCCTTTGTCCTTTTTGGCTTGTGTAATAGCACATTAGTACTTTTTTTTTTTTTTAAATCAGGAATGCTAATTATAGTGATAGGCCAAAAAAAATCCAAAAGAAAATTTATTTCACATACATAATGAAAAATGCATTTCAGTATCAGGCTGCTTTCCCTCCTCTTAATATTTTATGTTATATGTAGCAGTTAAATCTCAAAAAAACAAGCTAACTCCCAAATTAGCAGGTAGAAATAAATAATGAAAACCAGAACAGGCTGGCACACCCCTATAATCCTAGCAATTCAGGAGGCTGAGATCTGAGAATTGCAGTTCAAAGTCAGCCTGGACAGGAAAGTCCATGAGACTCTTCTCTCCAATAACCACCAGAAACTGGGAAAAGGAGCTATAGCTCAAGGTAGAGGGCTAGTCTTGAGCAAAAGAGCTCAGGGACAGCACTCAGGTCCTGAGTTCAAGCTATATGACCATCAGCAACTTTTGTCAGAAGCAAAGTGTTATATTTCTATTCAAACCAAGGCCTTCAGAACAATAGAAATGCTCCAAAATGTCACTGTCACTTATTTCACTGTTGTCAAACAAAAGTAAAGCTACTAACATAAGCATATTTTACAATCTTAAAATGTTTAATGTTCTCATAATGTTAAACAGTTGTGTTTGAGGAAGTGATTCAAGTGGTAAAGGGCTGACCTAGCCAGCACAAAACCCTGCATTCAGTCTCCAGTACCACAAAAAGTGTTCAGCCAGGGCTGGGAAGGTGGCTCAGTGGTAGAGCCATGGCTTGCCTTGCATGCCAGAGGCCCTGGGTTCGATTCCTCAGCATCACATAAGCAAAAAAGAAAAAAGCCTGAAGTGGCGCTGTGGCTCAAGTGGTAGAGTGCTAGCCTTGAGCTGAAGAGCTGAGGGAAAGCGCCCAGGCCCAGAGTTCAAGCCCCACGACAGGACAGGACCCCCCCCCCCCCCCCCCCCGCCCCCGAAAAAAAAAAAGTGTTCAGCCAGTTACCTAGATTTTGGCCAAGGCTCTTTATTTCCCTGCCACCTGAGCTCTGAGGATTGAATCCAGAGTCTCCTGTTCTACCACTTGAGCCATGGCCATACCTTCAACTCTCCCAACTTTTTAGCTTGTTTTTGAAATGAAGTCTCCCTTACTTTGCCCAGACTGGCCTAGGGCCTCTATTCACCTTCTCTGTCTTTTAAGTACTGACTTCCTTGGATTTTAACAAGGCTTACTCTGGGGTTTCACCATCACTGAATTCCTCACATCTTATATATGCTGTTTTTCTTTCTATATCTTTAGTCCTGTCACATGAATACGAGAGGGAATGCCACAGAATTCACACGTTTTAATAGAAAATTTTAAAAAAGGGTGGTTTAGAAGGACCCAATGACTCCTTGGTCCACTGGAAGGGCGATGAATGGCACCTTGCTCTGCTAACGGTCCCAGTCTATGTACTGTGCAGAGCATATCAGGTAAATAAATACTGACCAGGTTAGAAGGAGTAAACCGACAGGTTCCTCCAAAGCAAAGTCTATGCCTTGTTCCAATATTCGCGTTGGTTTCACCAGCCACGAGTTCAAGCAGGAAACCTCGCGAGAAGTGGGGGCTGCTCTTTTCTTCATTGGTCGCGGGCGGGCTTTAGGACCCAGTGTCTGGCGGAGGGGGGCGGGGCGGGTTAGGGCCGCCCGTCGCACACTTCTGACGTCACCAGCCCTCGTCGGGGTAGCTGAGGACCCCGTGGAAAGAATCATGGCGGCCTCAGTCCCGCAGCCGCCTCCTCAGGCCGTGAGCGGGAAGCGCAAAAGCAAAGGTCAGTACTTGCAAGCCAAGCGGACTCGGCGTTGCGACGTCGGCGGTTCGCGGCATCTGGAGCCGGGGTTGCAAGGCATTCTTATCACCTGCAACATGAACGAGCGCAAGTGCGTGGAGGAGGCATACAGTCTGCTCAACGAATACGGTGACGACCTGTATGGGCCTGAAAAGGTACCGGCCTTGGTTTGGGTCCGCGGGCCGGGAGGCTTTCCTAAGTGCAGGGTCAGGAGGAAGGCCGCTACCAGTCACGCATCTATCCGTGTTACGCATGCGTGCTCTCGGGGGCGGGGCCGTGGCCTGCAGTATTGCGCATGCGCTTGGCTAGCGGCCGGGGCCCCTCGTCGGGGGGCGTGGCCTATTCCTTTTTTCTAGCCGCTGCTGTCGCCACCTGGCGGACTCCGGGGTGGTGGGGGGCTGCTGAGCTGCCGGCCGCTTGGGCTTCTCTTTCCGTCTCTTGTCAGGGTAGCTCCTATTTGTTCATTGCTAAATTCGGGCCCGTTGATGCGCTGAAGAATTTTCAGAATCGTACTTCACAAAACGATACTGAGAAGGTGGCTGTAATCATGTTTTTGTGCTAAGCCACAGTATCTTAGAAGTACTAGTCGTTATGTCGAAAAATGAACTTTACAACTTTGGTGCGGGAGGGGGGAGGGGTAGCGGGAGGATTGGGTAGGGAGGCGGGCAGGGGTGGGGGAGGATGGGAAGGGATGGGAAGGGGAAACTAAGGAGGAGGCTACAAGGCTTGATAAGAAATGTACTCATTATCTTGCCCATGTAATTGTAACTCCTCTGTACAGTATTTTCACAATAAAAAATAAATAAAAAGAAGTAGTGAGTTTGGTACCAATGCGCATTGTTTCTTAAATGCACGTAAAAATACATTTGGAAAACTAAAACCTTTGTTCCACTACTACTGAAAATCTGTTGTTCGATTGTAATTTGCGGAGAAGACTTAGAGACTGCACCAGCTCCTGGACTGACATGGGCAAATTATTTAATTTTGCTGAGCCAAACATAAAAGAGAATGGTAATACTTTCTAAGGTTGGCTAAAATGTTGCTTACATACATAAGTTACATTTTGCCATGTAAAAAGGCTCCTAAAATGTGCGATGATGATTAGTACCGCATTGGAAATGCCATTAGTAGGTCAGAGAACTGGTCAATGGGTGTATGTTCTGTCTACACTGATACCTGAGCCAGATCTCACTTGGCTTTGAGCAAGACCTTGCTCTGTAGCCCAGGCTGACCTCCTGACTGTGCCTCCCTAGTGCTGGGATTACAGGTATGTGCCACCATATTCTGTTCAAGCAAGTTCTTGAATCCTTCTGTGATCTGTTCCTCTGTAGAACAGTAATAAAGTTTTTTTCAAATTAAATAGTTGTACAAAGGGGTTAACTTTCAACATGTCACCTTATGAGTATACTACATAGTTATCAATAATCACCTCTTTCATCATTCTCCTCCTTGCCAACCCCACCCCTTCCCTTAATTTTCCTAGTTTCATTTTATATGCATTGAATATAGGGTAAGAGGTTTTAATTATGTTAAGTATTTGCTTCTAATCCCACCAAAAGGAAAATATCAGGTACAAAGATATGATGATCTTACAGTCCACCCTCATGTGCTTCATCTGGGGAACACATTTTTCAACGTGCCAGTCTGTCAAAATGTTTTTGAAAACAATTTGTACTGGGCAGTACGGGGATTTGAACTAAGGGTGTTGTGCTTAATGGTTGAGCATTCTACCTCTGTACCACATGCAGTCCTCTTTTGCACTCATTATTTTGACAATGTGTATTGCTTCCTGCTTGTTCATATGCCTGGATATCTATCTGCATATTTATACGTCCCATGAAACTAAATGATACATGCATGCTGCCATATCCAGACATTGAGATGGGTTTGTGGATTGACAAATGTTTGTGAGGGGGATAGTACCAGGTCTTCATGTCAGGATATCATGGTCACTTGCTTGTTTGTTCATGGTGTTCTATCAACTGAACCATGCCTCTAGTCCAACTTTTTCTGTTTAAGTGGAGATGGAGTCTTCCAGACTTTTCTGCCTGGACTGGCTTTGAATCATGATACTCCAGGTTTCAGCCTTCTGAGTAGCTAAGACTATAGATGTGAACAATCAGCACTTGACTTCTGCAAGGGCAAGGAGGAGGGGAGAGGGGGAATGGGAGAATTGTTGGTCTTGGGGCTTGAACTCAAGACATGAGTGCTGTTCCTTTGCCTTTTCACTCAGGGCTAGTGTAACACTTGAGCTGTAGCCCCACTTCCAGCTTTTTTCTGGTTAGTAGGAGTCTAGGACTTTTCTATCCAAGCTCACTTGGACAGAAATCATCAGATTTCAGCCTCTTGAGTAGCAAGGATTACAGGTATGAGCCACTGGTGCTTGGCTTACTGAAAACATTTCCAATGATATTTACCACAGTCTAAAGGAATTAATTTCTTCCTCTACATTTTGGATGCAGTGTAGTCTCAGTCTTCAAGAAGTTTATTATCAGTTTTGAGTGGTGTCTGTCTGCCAATGGTAGTTTCACACGAGTAGTTAATTATAATGTCTGGGCTTGAGTTATTGTGTTACCGCTATTTATTGGTTTTATGTAAACAGTTTGTAGAAAAGGATCAGCAGCCCTCTGGAAGTGAGGAAGATGATAATGATGATGATGATGATGATGTGGAGTCTGCCTTGAAGAAAGAAGTTGGAGATATAAAGGCTTCTACAGAGATGAGGCTAAGAAGATTCCAGTCAGTGGAGAGTGGAGCAAATAATGTAGTCTTCATCAGGACACTTGGGATAGGTATGTCTAACTTAAACTTTTAAGATTATTAATGTCCTAATACATAGCCATCTCCCTATTTCAGAGAACGAACACTTTGTACAAATGGCTTCCTGGGCATGGCCTTATTAATCACTTGATTGTAACTTTACTTTATTAACAGTGGGTACTTAAGAGAGGTGGAATGGAGTAGTGCACATAGCATTACATTGAGAGTGGAAACCTGGCTCTGCCACTTATTTGTGTGTAATTTCTGGCAGAATGAGAGTGCATATTCTGCTTGAAAGAAGCAGCTGCTGGTCAATTCCAGCCAGTAGTTGCCATTTGTGGGAAAATAAGGCTGGATCTTCTGGTTTTTCAAAACACTGGCATTCTAGAGAAGTTCTTTGAGTTTTAAAATGTGGTCAACTAATAACCTTAAAAAACACTGATTACCATTAAACAGTCTTTTTTTTTGGTTGTGGGTCTTGAACTCTGGGCCTGGGCCCTGTCCCTCACCTCTTCAGCTCAAGGCTAATACTCTACCATTTGAGCCACAGAGCCGTTTTGGATTTTCTGAGTGGTTAATTGGAGATAAGAGTCTCACAGACTTTCCTGCCCAGGCTGGCTTTGAACTGTGATTCTCAGATCTCAGCCTCTTAAGTAGCTAGAATTAAAGGTGTGAGCCAACGGCGCTGGGTGAAGTAAGTACTTTTCAATGTTTGTTACTCTGATAATTGCTACTGTTACAGGAAGACTGTAGTGGTTGGATAAATCAAGATATAAGAAAAAATGATTAACTTTGGTATCTTCTGGAACAGTTGTTTTAAACAAAGGCATGAATAGTGAAAAAAGATAAACATCTAACAAAGTAGGCACTGAAAAAACAGTTGGAAGAAAATTGTTTGTGTTGATTTTTTTTTTTTTTTTTTGCCTTTCAGAGCCAGAGAAACTGGTACATCATATTCTCGAGGATATGTATAAAACCAAGAAAAAGAAGACTCGAGTTATTCTACGAATGTTACCGATTTCAGGCACCTGCAAAGCTTTCTTAGAAGATATGAAAAAATATGCAGAAACATTTTTGGAACCCTGGTTTAAAGCTCCAAATAAAGGGACATTTCAAATTGTATACAAGTCCAGAAACAATGGTCACATGAATAGAGAAGAAGTTATCAAAGAATTGGCAGGTATGTCTCTTACAGTGATTTTACACAGGTGTACTATGATTAGCACTTGTGTTTGTTTTTGTTTTGTCAGTCCTGGGACTTGAACTCAAGGCCTGGGCACTGTCCCTGAGTTTCTTTTGCTCAAGGGTAGCACTCTACCACTTGAGCCACAGTGGTACTTCTGGCTTTTTCTGTGTATGTGGTCCTGAGGAATCGAACCCAGGGCTTTATGCATGCTAGGCAAGCACTCTACCACTAAGCCACATTCCCAATCTAGCACTTATTTTTAAGGGTGTTTTTGTTGTCGTTGTTGTTGTTAAGAATTAAGACTTGTATTCTTCTATGTAGAACAAATATATTAAAATATCAAACAATTGATTTCAGTTTGTTGAATATGAGGTTTGCTGGTTGTTAGCTTTCTTTCCCCCAAATAGAGATTGAATTTTCTTTGGGAATTTATTTCCAAATATAGTTGTCTCTATACTCATGATAGGTAGTAGATTTTTCTAAGATCCCTTACAAATACCAGAATCTCAGGTCCCTTATGTAAAATGTTGTACAACTGCATCTAACTTACTTGCACATCCTTCTGTGAATTTGCTGTTTTCTTTTTTTAAACAGGTTTCTTTTTTGATGTTGTTGTTGTTGTTTTGTTAGTTGCAGGGCTTGTACATAGGGCCTGAGTGCTGACCCTGAGCTCTTTTCCTCAAGGCTAGCACTCTACCGCTTTCTAAGTTACAGCACCACTTTTAGTTTTTTGGTGGTTAATTGGAGATAAAGAATCTCAAGGGCTTTCCTGCCCAGGCAGGCTTTGAACTGCAATCCTCATATCTCAGCCTTCTGAGTAGCTAAGATTACAGTTATGAACTATCAGCACCTAGCTTAAAATAGATTTCACTGTGACCTTTTCACATGTGTGTTTACAGTATTTTTGGGTCATATTCACCTCCCACTCATCTCCTTCTCTTACATTACCCCTACCCCATTCTCTTCCAGCTCTTTTTCTTTTTCTTCCTCACCATCTTCTTCAGTTTCTTTTGACCTAGATTATGCATGTGAGAGAAAACACATTATACTTGTCTGACTTGTTTTGCTTAACCTTTCATGCATTTTGCTGCATGACATAATTTCATTCTCTGTATGGCTGAATAAAATGCTTGTGAATATATACCACATTTTCTTCATCCACTCCTGTGTTGATGTCATCTTGGCTGATTCCATAACTTGGCTGTTGTTAGTAGTGCTGCAGTAAACAGGAGTACACAGGCAGGAATAGCCATTGTTTTTTACTTATATGGTGTTATAGGACCACAAGATAATTCTTTCAGGGTTTTTTTGTTTTGTTTTTTTTGGTCGATCATGGGGCTTGAACTCTGGGCCTAGGCCAGGGAGCACTCTACCATTTGAGCCACAGTGCCACTTCCAGTTTTCTGGTAGTTAATTGGAGATAAGAGTCTCACAGACTTTCCTGTCCAGGCTGGTTTTGAACTGTGGTCCTCAGGTATCAGCCTCCTGTGTAGCTAGGATAACAGGCATGAGCCACCAGTGCCCAGCAGTTTTTGTTTTTTTTTTTAATGAACTTCCACACTAATCTTCAGAAAGATTACAGTAATTTACATCTTTACCAGCAGTGTTTAAGGGCTCCTTTTTCCTTTACATTCTCAGCACTAGTTCCTTGTATTCTTTTAAATTATATTGTTATCTTTATTTGTACAAAAGGGTTGCCATGCAACAAATCTGTTTATAAGTATAGAATGTCTTGATCACTATCACCCCTTTCATCATTCTCCCCCATCCCTCCCAACCTAACTTCTTTCTCAAAGCAATTTCAGTAGGCTTCACTAATTTTTTTTTTTTTTTTTTGGGTTGGTCATGGGGCCTGAACTCTGGGCCTGGGTGCTGTCCCTCAGCTCTTCAGCTCAAGGCTAGCGCTCTACCACTTGAGCCACAGCGCCACTTCAGCCTTTTTCTGCTTATGTGGTGCTGCGGAATCAAACCTAAGGCCTCATGCATGCTAGGCAAGCACTCTACCACTGAGCCACCTTTCCAGCCCCACTAATATTTTTTTAAATTTGCATACTTTAGTTTCATTGTGACATTTTCATACATAAATACAGTATACCCTGATTGAACTTGCCCCTCACTTGTACTTCCTTATCTTCTTTACTCCTTAAAACAATTTAAACAGATTTTATTGTTCTGTTTTCATACATGCATATTAAATATTTTGACCCTATTTGCCTTCTTGCGTGTTTGGTCCTCTCCTTCCTGCTGACTTTTCTGATTATTTTAATCCAAGGTTGAACCTGTGGGTTGCAATGTCCATTGATAATGAGAGGCCAACTCTATTCTTTTTAAACATGGCAGGATCTCATCTGTGTTTACTTATTGAATGGACTTGGGGATTTTGATGTAAATTCATATATATCCTGTTTTAACAAATCCCAACAGAAGGAGATGAAAAACTTGTTTTATTCATAAAGTGTAATAATATCCTTCTCGACCTAAGTGTTTTCTTATTCTTGTTACAGGAATAGTGGCCAGCCTCAATTCAGAAAATAAAGTAGATCTCACCAATCCACAGTACACGGTGGTAGTAGAAATTATCAAAGCTGTCTGTTGCTTGAGTGTTGTGAAGGATTACATGCTGTTCAGAAAATACAATCTTCAGGAGGTGGTGAAGAGTGCTAAAGACCCATCACAGTGTCATCCAAAGCTGGGAAATGGGAAAGAAGTAAAATTGCAGCCTGGCAGCAAATTAAATCAAAATGATGCAGCAGAAGGAAATGAGAAGAAACAGGTGGTATCAGAGGATTGTGAAGAGCAAGGTCAGCCAAAACCAAGGTCTGAGATAGAGGTACTAGTGAAGGAAGAAGGGGGTAAACCTGAGACTGCAAGTCAAATCACAGATGAATCCAAGTCAAATGATAATGACTTCTTATAGACTTCATTTTGTATTGTAGACTCTCAGCTGGAATTCTATGAGATTGTACTGGGGTTTCATGTAAAATTCTGGCATAAAATAGTCTGACTTTTGTGTGCTTCATAGTGTTGATCTTAGCAGTACTGATCCCTGTTAACTCAGCCCTGTTAGCTTAGTAGTTTCCTCAGAGCTCTTACAAACCTGTTTGGTACATATGTTATCTATCACACTGGAATGTGTGGCAGAAGGATGATGTGCTGATTACTTCCCCTCTTTTTTTTTCCTGCCAACTGACTTACAGGAGTGAACAGTTACTGAGAAGTAGAAAACTAGAAGGAAAGTTTGATTTTAAAGCAATTTCCTTTTTCAGTGTGCTACAACTCAGCAATAGCCTGCCACTTCTATTATAAACATTGCAAAAATGGCTTGTGTAAATTAGAAGTGAATTGTTTTGTGATGGTTTTGAACTTTGTGTTCTTGTTTAGTTATTCTATCCCTTTTTATATTTTATTAATGCTTGTAATGAACAAATATAATGGTCCATTGCTACAGTTTTGAAGGCACAATGTGATATAGAAGAACCACGTCAGCATAGACCTGTCAACATTTTTGATAAGGTTAGTGGTGACGAATTGCAATGTTCTCCATACATTAGCACGACAAAGGATAGAAAAATTCTCTTAACAATGAAAACTATGTCTCAGGGTTTTTATAAGGACTCATAATCCAAGCTGTTCTATCCAATATGCATGATCTGTGGCATGCAGCTTAGAGATCTAGCAGATGTTTCAACAATTGTAACTAAATCAGTTATTGGGCAAGGATCATGATTATCCTAAACAACATTTGGAATATCAAAATAGAGAAAAGCTTTTGTTGAAAAGGTCAACTAAGTAGAAAAGTTTAAGAAACAATTAAAAATATTATTATAAAGATGATGTATAGAGGGGTTACATTTACATGTGTCAGTTAATAAGTACATTTTCTCTTGTACAATTCTCTCCCATTCCCTCCTTCCATCTCCACCTTTGAGTTATTCACTTTCATCAGTGTCCAGTGCTCTCTATTGCTGTACTTTTTCACCCATTTTTCTAGGAAGGAAGCCAATTTTAAGTAGAAGATCTTAGAAAAGAAAATGTTTCATATTTGGTCAAAATTAAATGCCAACATTAAAATACTAGGCAAATACTGGGCAAATGCCCAGAGTTCAGGCCCCACAACCGGACCCAAAATAAAAAAAAAAAAAAAAAAAAGACCCTTAAGCCATCTTGTCAGACAAGTTAGAAAACTAACAGAGTGAACATTGCTTTATTTTCACGCGTGTGGTGCATAATTAATAATCTATTTTGTTAAGCTTAATTGATTTTTCATGGGTAAGAAATAACTGGCTGAAATCACATTTTTCTAAAGGTTAGTTATCAAATATCTCAATCTAGTTATTTCTGGTTAAAAAGTAAGTTCAGGCCTGGTTTCTGGAAGAGTACTAGGGCCTGCAAATTAAAATGGGATGTATAGTGTTTAGAGAGGAAGGAAATAGAGAATAGATACAATGACCCCCTCCACCACCAGTCTCTTCCACAAGGAATTCAGACAGATCAACTATTGTCTTTTCCCCCCTACTGAATCAGAAACAAAATGTTTACTAAAATTTAAGACTTCTATGATTTAGAACAAAGCTCCTAAGCAGCCACATTTTAGTGATATTAGTAAATCCCGAACAGTGGGAAGCAAAATATATATTTTGTACTGACCAATTTTGTGGGTGATCTCTTTCTACTCTGTTAAATACATCCAGAAACCAGATCTCTAGAGGCTATTCTGAAGCATCATTTCCATGTGGTTTTTGTGAGAGAAAGGAGGTCTTCTAGAGATTATGTAAATAGAGGTAAATACGTACATCTAGGAAGGTGTTAGTGTCAAACTGGACCATCTGGTGCACAAAAACACAGGCACCCCGAAGCCAGGAAGAAAATACACTACCAATGGCAGCTTTGATCCAGCCTGTATCAGACATATTCCACATGATATCTGAGGACTTCAAGTCTAACCAGTACCTAAGTGATACACAGAGGCAACAAAACAGCAAAAATAAATTATGAGTATGTATTCTATTTATTATAGATTTAAACATACTATATTATATTACAATATAATATAGAGCATTATAATATATAGTAGTAATATATGTATGTTTGTATATTCTATGTATTTGTATTATGGCACACAATATTATCTATTTATCTGTGATTATACACAATATATTATATATTATGGTTTTGGGTTTTTTTTGTTTGTTTTGTTTTTGGGCAGTTGTGGAGTGGGAACTCAGGGCCTGCGCACTGTCCCTGAGCTTTTCCTACTCAAGGATAGTGCTCTACCACAGCTCCACGTCTGGTTTTCTGGTGGTTGATTGGAGATAGGAGTTTCACAGACTTTCTGCCCAGACTGGCCTTGAACCTGGATCCTCAGATCTCAGCCTCCTGAGTAGCTAGGATTACAGGTGTGAGCCATCAGCACCTGGTGATATTAGGTATTTATGATATAGATAAGATTTGCTATAACATATAAGACATTATACACTATATTTATAGATAATACATATTTACACATTTATATTATAATTGCATACGTATATGTAATGTTTAATTATATATTATAGTTATCTATGTATATAAATATACTGATATATATATAAAGATAAAAAGAAATGTGTATGATTCTATTCCTCACTTGTCTTAGAGTTTTTAGAATCCTATGTGTTTTGGGAGTGGAATGCGAGACTGAATTTGGCATAATTTTGTCAGTTTGTCCATTGAAGAAACAGGTCTTTATTGAGCAATTTATGCTATACTAGGCATATATCTTCCGGTGAGCAAGATAGACTAGATCTCTTAGTGTAGAGGGACAGGAGGGAATAGTATACAATAAGGTAAATTAAGTATATTAAAAATATTGTAATTTCAAGAACTGATAAACAAAGTGATATGAGGAAAATAAAATAGAGCAATGTCCCAGTTTTAGATAGCCTTTCTTTTAGGAAGTCCCTCTGGATAGACTATTATTTTTTCTGTAATGAGAAGAGAATGTCAGACATGCTATTATGGGATTGAACCAAAGTTGAATGATAAGTTTTTGCTTGTTCTGGTGGATAGATGGCACTGTATTTACTGAGCCAGGGTGGAGCAAAGGCCTAAAGGGTTCTGTTTTATAGATGGTATATCCACTCAAGGAAAGGTATCAGGTAGGCAGGATTAGCTTAAGAGAAAGTTTATTAAAAACAAACATTTTCTCCCTACCTTCCGCAAAGGGCATACCCAATACCAAGGCTACTCTGTGAGTGCTGAGCCATCTTAGGGGAGCCCGTGGTTCCACTGGTGAAATAAATGGCCATTGGTTCTTGACTTCCTGTCTCCACACAGCTGTGCTCTTCAGAAGCAGATCTGCAAAATATGGACCCCAAAATGGTAGCTGAAAATGCTGCATCAGTTTCACTTTGCTATTGCTTTTGTTCTGCTACTTTTACCCTTTTGTAACCACAAGATAGTTAATAGAACTGAACCTAGTTCGAAGCTTTGCCAGGTGCTAGTGGCTCATGCCTTTATTCTGTATTCTCCTACTCAGGAGGCTAAGATCTGAGGATGGTGGTTTGAAGCCAGACAGGTTAGAAAAGTCTATGGCAATCTGATTATCTCCAATTAACCAGCAAAATGTTGGAAGTAGAGGCTCAAGTGGTGGAGACCACCAGTCTTGAGTGAAAAAGCCAAGTCAGCGTCTGAGGCTGTGAGTTCAACCCCAGTACCAGAATCCCCACCCTCACCCCGGCAAAAAAAAGTCCCAAGTTTTCCTGAAAGTTTTTGTGTTTTTGTGTGTGTGTGTGTGTGTGTGTGTGTGTGTGTGTGTGTGTCAGTTGTGGGGTTTGAACTCAGGGCCTAGTAATCCTCAGATCGCAGCCTCCTGGATAGCTAGGATTACAGGCGTGAGCCACCGATTTTTAAGATATCTTAGAAGGGACTTTGAAAATTAGTGCCAAGTTTAGTAGCTTAAGTATTTTTTTTTTTTTTGGGGGTCTGGTCATGGGGCCTGAACTCTGGGCCTGGGCGCTGTCCCTCAGCTCTTCAGCTCTAGGCTAGCGCTTTACCACTTGAGCCACAGCGCCACCTCTGGCTTTTTTCTTTTGCTTATGTGGTGCTGAGGAATCGAACCCAGGGCCTCAGGCATGCAAGGCAAGCACTCTAGCACTGAGCCACCTTCCCAGCCCATAGCTTAAGTATTTTTTAAGCTTATCTTCCTATAGACCAAATAGGTAGCCAAGGTAACTTTCAATATTAATTTTACAAAAGGATATGCATTTAATTTCTTTAATTTTCTTTCCTAAGTCTGTTTTAATCTGAGAATAAAAAAAAAAAACAGCATTAAGCTTGGTGCCAGTGGCCTACTCCTGTGATAGTTACTCAGGCAGCTGAGATTTGTGGTTTAAAGCCAGCCAGGGAAGGAAAGTTTATGAGACTCTCCAATTAGCCCCCAAAGTAAAAGCTAGAAGTAGAGCTGTGGCTCAAGAGTGCTAGCCTAGAGCAAAAAGTCTCAGGGATAGCACCTTAGCACATAGCACCTTAGAACTGAGTTCTAGTCCTAAGGCCAGCACAAATAAACAAAGAAAATGAAAAAGCTTTTAGCAATGAGATATGATCCGTGGCTGCTTTGAAATTATGTCATTCTAAAGTCTTTAAAGGAAGATTTTCTCCATCTTGAAAACCACTCCAAAGATACAGATTTCAATTGAAATTCATGTAATTGTAGAGCCCTTTTCCTTTTGGGACACTTTTAAAATGTCTTAGAGACTCAATTGAACATTGCTGCATTATTTTGGGTAGGAGTTGCTTAAATTAGGGTGTTTGCTGTTCACAGAATGACTAAAATAGCTGGGATAAGGAGAAAACAGAAAACTTCAACTTACATGTACTTGAAAAAACTCACCCTTTAATATTTTTGAGCATTTGTATAATATGTAAAAGCACAGGTATATCATTTTAAAGTAAATAAATGTGTTAAGGGAATGTGTTAACATATTTCATTGATATTTGTGCATATTACAATAGACTGGAAGCCACTACCTTAGGAATCACTTCAGTGTTGGATCACTTGCTAATAATAATAGTAATTCCAATTTAGTAGTTAGTAATTATGGAGTAATTTTTTGTGTGCTGGTACTGGGGCTTGAACTCAGTGCTTGCTTACCTTGCTCACTCAAGTGCTCTTGCTTAGCTTTTTCATTCAAGTTCTCTACTGCTTGAGCAGATACATCCACTTCTGACTTTTTGCTGATTAAGCAGAGATAAGAATCTCCCAGACTTTTCCTCCCAGACTGTTTTCAAACTATAATACTCAAATCTCAGCCTCTTGAGAGTTTCACAGATGTAAAGCTTCTACACCCAAGTGATAACTTTTTGTTAAGCATCATGTGGAGCATTTGTCATGGTCTATCATATTTGATTCTGCTAGCTCCATGCACTAGATACTACTGTTACCTTTATTTTTTTGTTTTTGTCAGCTGAGCCTGAACCCTGGGCCTGGGCACTGTCCCTCAGCTCTTCAGCTCAAGCTAATGCTGTACCACTTGAGCCACAGCGCCACTTCCAGCTTTTTCTGCTTATGTGATACTGAGGAATTGAACCCAGGGCCTCATGCGTGCAAGGCAAGCACTCTACCACTGAGCCACCTTCCCAGTTACCTTTATTTATTTATTTATTTATTTTTGGGTCTGGTCGTGGGGCCTGAACTCTTGGCCTGGGTGCTGTCCCTCAGCTCTTCAGCTCAAGGCCTAGCGCTCTACCACTTGAGCCACAGCGCCACTTCTGGCTTTTTTTTCTGCTTATGTGGTGCTGAGGAATCGAACCCAGGGCCCTAAGCATGCAAGGCAAGCGCTCTACCACTGAGCCACCTTCCCAGCCCCGTTACCTTTATTTTATAGAGGAGTTACACACAATATAGAAGTGTTATTTGACTTAATTAAGGTTTATAAAAGACACAAGGATTTTTAAAAAAAAAAAAGTAACCAGGTGCTGGTAGCTCATGCCTGTAATCC